CATTTATCTTATCCTAGGGGTGCAGATGTGTATTTCAGTGTCATATTAGAAAGCAGAAGTGGGATTTGGAAGTTCCAGAATTCTAGTTCCCACTAGCCATTAACTGGGTCACTTCAGGCCAGTCTCAGCCTAAGTTAGTTCATAGGATGGTTGTGAGGATAAAATGGGCAGGAAGATGGCTCTGTAAGCCACTTTGACTTCCTTGTGCAGGAAAAAGGTGGGATTAAAAAAATGGAAAGCTCTCAAGGAGGTTCTGCCTCCCTATCCTATAGAAATACAAATCATGCATCAAAGTTATGAAATCGGAAAGCTGAGGTTGAAGAATTGACGCCTTCGAATTGTGGTGCTGGAGAAGACTCCTGAGAGTCTCCTGGACTGCTAAGAAATCAAATCAGTCAATCTTAAAGGAAATCAACCCTGACTGTTCCTTAGAAGGTCAGATAATGAAGATGAAACTCAAATACTTTGGCCACCTAATGAGAAGGAAGGACTCACTGGAGAAGACACTGATGCTGGGAATGTTTGAAGGCAAAAGGAGAAGGGGATGGCAGAGGTTGAGGTGGCTAGATGGGGTGGTGGCTGTGGTGTTGGGTGGACTCTGGGGGATGGTGGAGGACAGAAGAGCCTGGAGGAATGTTGTCCATGGGGTTGTGAGGGGTTCACAATGACTGCAATGAACAAAACAAAGATGCAATAAAAGGTATTTGTAAGGTGTGCAAATGGAGAGGAAGCTAACCATATCAGAGAACCATTTAGTCTGGGGCCAGCTGTGACAAGGAGTAGAATTGTATCAACAAAATTCATGAGTCCTGGAGTAAAGTGACTGTACAGCAGTATTCAGAATAAATGGATACCCATCAAAATTTGAACAATCTTCCATGCTGTGCTGCTCACCCAGCTTCCTCCAAATGACTCTTTCATGTGAATGCTTATCCCAATATGAAGACACTAAATTGTGTATTACTAGAGTTGAATAAAGGCTCTTGCCTAAACTTTAAAAAAGAAAAATATTTGGCAATGCAATCTGTACTATTCCTTGGAAGCTTATGCACACCCAGTGCATGGAATAAGGTGCAGCAGTGTTGATCTTTGCCACTACTGTGCCTTGCACACTACATTGCATCCAGGTGGCTGTTTCTGGCAGTGGAAGGCAGGAGCTTGATCTTTGGTTGCAGGACCTTGGAGCAGGATCTGCAACTAATCCTATGGTGACCCAGATAACATCAGGACACCAGGTATGTTGGCCATAGGATTGCACCTAAGCTATATGCACGTTAAGCTCCACTGGAAAATGCAAGAAAAGTGACATTAAAAACAGTACAAAGCATTCATCAGATGGCACCAGAATCAAGTCAGATTATCTAATTTATCAACACTGCAATCTGATACCTTCCCAGACAATACTTTTGATTATCCATCTGCAGTTTCATAGGGAATGATGAGTTCCAAAGAATAGGCGCTGCCAAATGAGATGGTCTGGCTCCTTCTGAACTCAAGTCTTGCTTCAGATGAAATTCTATCTTTTACCATCTCTAAAAACAGCTAATCTATAGCCTAGGGATATATATTATAGTGCTGATGAATCAGCTAATCCATAGCCTAGGGATCAGAAATTTGCAGGCTTCCAGATGAGCTGAACTTCAACTCGCATCAGCCTCATCCAGCCTAGCCAGTGTTCAGGGATAATGGGGATTGCGGACTGATGACAGCTGAAGGTAGCCTTATCTCCAGCTCTTAGATTTAAGGCCTTTTTTCATGGTACTGGGCTATTGGTGAATTCTCACAAACAGTCTTAGCACAAGATTGTAGCAATTATTCCATTGATTGGTGAAGCACAAACACAAATCCTGCTTTTCCACACTAGCAGCAGCTTTTAAAAAGTCAGTAGAGCTGTGATATGCCAAAAATCACAGGTTGTGCTTATCACAAACAGCTCATTTTGCCTACATGTTCTACCCTGAGCTATTCCAAGCCTGTTGGATCTCTCACATACAGTAATTGGCAAGGAGAAGCAGCATGTTTGCCTAGCATTATCCTACAACATGGTATTTATGTATCAGTGCTTGTTTTTTTCTCATTTCTGCTCTTTTTGTTTTGTGAAAGATAACAATAATAAATGAATAAATGACTGTTTTATATGCAGGAAGAAAAAATATCAGGCAAATACTGACCCCTCCAAAATGGTTAAATGTATGATAAAAATAAATCTATGTAAATTTTCCTTACCTTTGCTAAATATATTGAGAAATACAACGAGGTACAAGACTTGCCATTTCATGGTGGTTACTGAAGAACAAAAATGGATGCCACTTCTCATTCAAGACTGTCTTCCTTTGACTTTTTATAACCTAATACTCCCCTCTCCTTTCTTATCTCATTCCCCTGATAGGCCAGAATCTGTGAGAGTGTTCACTAAGCAAATAGCTAATTTGCCTAGAGCAAAATGGGTGTTTCAGGTGAGAACCTGCAAGGTTGACACTGTTTGCTTGAGGTTGACTTATGGAGTTCACAACTGCTTCTGATTTATCTTTGTCCTATCCTGAGCTGGCAAAATACCCTTTCACAGCATGCTTTGCCTCTCATCATCTTCTGAGCATCACAATTCTAGGAAATGCATTTGATCAAAACATCAGAATTCAGGAATGTCAAAAAAGCAGGGCTTGCCACTTTCAGGAACTCATCCTTGTTGGAGAAAATATTCTAAAACCTGCTGTAGGTTTGGAGAACACAAGTACACAAAGTTTGTTTAGTCTGAGTTGGGTCATTGGTCCATCTGTTCCAGGTGGGCCAACCTTGATGGACAATGACCTAGTTTAAACTACTGGATTGCCCAGCAGGGCTTAAATTATCTGTAAGGGCTATTACATCATGCTGAGAGCCCTTTTTAATGGTACTTGCAGGTACCCCTGGGTACTGTGGTTTTCTCTATTGTACAAATCTGGGGTTTTGGGTTGTTTGAGGGGGTAGACAACCCTTAAATAGGGGAGTGAGAGTGGTGATGCCCATATTAGTGAGACTTCTTATCCAGTTCAGCTTTTACCCTGAGCTTTATGGGAGTTATTCATGATGCTGAACTCTATCTCCAAAACAGGTTCACCACTATAGAGCAACATGAATAGCTCCGATGAAGTTCTGAATAAAAGCTGTAAGAGATAAGGAGTCCCACTGACTACTGACACACAGGAATCAGCAGCCTCCCCTTCCCTCCAATTATCCCAAAACAAGCTTAGGGTTGTCTAGCTCATCAAACAGCACATGATGCTCTATTTGCATGATGTAGCAAGCCACCACCTGCATATTCAAAATGGCAGCAGGTGTGCTCTGCTAAGCTCCATATGGAAATTAGCTCACAGTGCTTTAGCATTACATGAGGATAACTTCAGTGGCTGTCACAAATGAAATCAGTTATCTTTTCCAGGCCTGCAACCAGAAATCATTCAGTTGATGTCAGGAAGTGAATCTACTGGATTCAAAACACATGCACTAAACAATGTCCACTAAGCTATGCAGGCCATTTACAGGTCCTCTTGATTGCATCAATGACATTTAATTTAGGGTGGCCATGGCCATATGCCCTCTGTTACACAGGACCACACTCTGTTTGAGGAACTGTCCTGTTCAATTCCAGCTTAAAGGGAAAGAACCATAATGCCTGAACAGCAAACTGGACAAGCAAGCACACAGATTGCTTGGTCACAATCTTCTACTCTATGATGAGATGTAGTTCTAAGTTATCATTATTTCAAAATGTCCATATATTCACATACATACATACATACATACATACATACATACATATATATATATATGCAATTTTTGTGTGTCAACATCCTTTTCTATAATTTGTTTTGCTGAATTAGTTTCATTTTGGGGCTGATGCATTAGTGGCCACCTAAGGACTTAAGAGCATCCACCAAGGCAACAGGAATGCAGGGATACTTTACAGAGGACTAGCAGGATGGAAAGGGGTGCACCCACAGACACTTTCTTGTCCAAAGCCATTTCACATTAACAAAAGGTCTATTTGGTCACCAGATGAAGTTAACTACAGGTTATCTTAGTCTGTTTTATGAGCCAAAAAGAGGAGCAAACCCCCTCTGTGAAGAACAACTCTACACAACCCCCCTCCCCGCCAGAAATAAAAACCATTGAGAGAAAGCATTTTTATGCTCATTTGATCAGAGGCCCAACTATCTTTATGCAGATTAAGGGTTGATAGGCCAAGGATTACTATGCAGACTTTATTGTGATGCACTGATGCAAGAAAGACTACCTGTAGCAGCTGAAACTGAAATTTACTCTTATATTGATTCAATTTGCCCTGGGGAAAACATTTAGTCAAACATAGGCTTTTCAAATGTAGTATTTGTCTTGCCTGACACATTTATGTCTGGGGTGACAAAATGTTCCCCCCCGAGCAAAGATCAGTTTAAAAAAAGGTCAAAGGACAGGTACATAAATGAGAGACGTTGGTTTTCTTGTTCTAAAAATTAACTTTGCATGGTCAGATGCGATATTTATTACAGACCCCTCTTTTGATAAAGCAATTGATATTTCTTTCAGCTTACTCACTTTCATGACTCACAAGCAAGTACCAGCACCTATTTTATATAACTTAAAATCATAGAGACATTTAAGGAAGCCATCCTCTAATATTTTTCAGTCCCACAGGATTGGCATTGTGGGAGGACCCTATGAGCCATGGAGGCTGGGTGATAGAGGTATAGGAACCACGGAGATGAAGAGGTTTGCAGGAGTCAAAGAAGCTTAACTCTAATGATGATGAATTTGGCAAACAGAGGAAGCAAAGTGAAGGAAGGACATCCTGGGTATGTGGCCATGTCTTCACATTGCACTAAAGGTCAAATGTTTCCATGCTGTTCCTGGGAATGTTTTGATTTTAACATAACATTTCACTAGATTTGAAATTCTCAAGCATAGTATGTTAAACACTTTTAACTGTAAAAACTATGTCCCAAATGATTTATAAAATGAACAGCTTTGTGTGAAAGATATAAAAAAGTTTATTTTTCTTACATAACAGCCATGTAGTTTTTAAATTATAAATTCCCATATAAATAGAACAGTTGCAGCAGAGCAAAAAGAATGTGTTAAAGCAGAACTTTGCTATCATGAAACTATAACCATACAGCCATTATGTTAAGCAAAAACATACATGGCTCTTCTTTGGCATTCCCACAGTAAATCATTATTCAGCGAGACAGGCTCTTCCATTGTACAGGACATTCTTCAAACAATAGCACTGAAATCAAAGGGGATGATTCTCCTTGTAATTCTAGGTTCTTGCACAGAAGAGGCATATGGTACAAACATATGTGTGATAAGAGTACATTACAACTCTTCTCCTCTTCTGTGAGCATGAAGATTAAATAGAGGTTTGACAGCTGAAAATGTAGGAAAGGGAAAAGAGCATCCCAGTAGTGATATGCTATTGAATGCAATGGAAAGTCAGGTCACTGGTGACCAAGCATTGATTGTCTTCACAAACATCTAAAGCGCTTAAAACAGTACTTACTGAGGAAAAGTTTTTGTGAAAGTAATTTATATACCATGATATACTGTTGGTAGTTTATATTTGATTGAATAAAAACTGCAGAAACAGCAAACAAACATAATGGTATTAAGTACCCTATTTACAATAGGATGCAGAATGCTGTTTTCATATATCCAAATGAATACTGTACACAGATGTTAGTAATTTTTGCCAAAAAAAAGGGGGGAAGGGAGACCTGACTTCTTTGACTTCCTGCATTTAAACAGCTGTACAGCTCTAGAATGTATTTTTATTACGATCACAATAACACTTCAAAAATTACAAAGCAGACAATATATATGCAAATTATATATACATATATCCATACAGTATACAAAATGAGACAGTGCAGTTCTAAACCTGGAGTGCTATAACTGACATCAGACACCTATGAAATGCGTTCAAGCTTCAATATTGCAATTTGGGGGTTTTTTCCACCTCTAATTTGTGGCACTGGAAAATTCTTGCAGTACTTTACACTTTTTTGATATATTTTGAAATCAAAAAGGGTGTTCATTTTTACAAGAATTTCTGCTGCCCATTTCAATTGTGCTAGAAGAGAAGCCTCCTTTGAAATAAGTATCTGGCTTGTTAAAATGATGCCTTGCCATATTCCTGGTCAATCCAAAGAAAACATCTTCATTTTTTCTGCAAGCTCTTGTCGAACCTCAATATGTTTTCTTAGGTTTTGCACTTCGTGTGGCAGATTAATATCCCATACAGACACACACGATTGTATTCCTGTGAACAAATGGGGGATGGGGTGACTTAGAATATTAAACAGAAAAAAATCTGCAACATTTTTCATTTTTCCTCATTCTAAGAAGCAGAGGTAAAGCACTATAAAACCTTATGAAATAATACATTGTTTAATGGATGAGTGAGGGACACACAGTTAAGGGCACAAAGTAGACATGACAGCAAGAAACTCAGTTGAGCAAGCTAGCTAACTTCTATTTTCTTTTTCATCAAATCTGGCATGAGTGAGGCTCACATGCATTCTTAATTCCTTCATGTGGTGCCGATAAGTGCCATGAAGGCCTCACATAAGAAAAGTCCCCAGTTTGTTACAGGGCAGAGTGGTTTTTTTCAGGGTGAAAATGTTATCTCTGGATAATCTCAAACTAGAACAAATACATTTAGTGGTGGCATTACATAAAGGGTGTGGTGTTCTATTACGTAATAAAATGATTCATTCCTACCTTTAGCATATTTGTTGTCTTCATTCTGACTTTTATGGCAGTAGCCCAGCACCAAAACAACATTTCTGAGAGTACCTTTTACCAGAAAGCAGGAAAAATTATCATTGTTAGCAGTACTTAGATTTAAAATTCTATGCATGCACTGGGGAAGGGAAGGACTTTGTTGTTTCTTCTAAAGGTTCCCAAACATTTTACAGGGGGTTTTCAGGGACAGCAGGAAAGTCTCTATCTAATTAGAGTTTTGGATCCAAACCTCTATTTTTTATGGAGTTCCAAAATGCAAGGCTGAATGTTGTTATGACAGATACTTTTTATGATTTAATACTCCCTCTTTGGTATGGTTCATTTTTGGAAAAGGCCATATGAAGATGAGGTAAGAATCTAAAGAAAATTTGAGGGTTGCTAAGTCATGTTCAGAAAATGATCAAGAGAAAGTAAAACTGACTTTTTGTAACACAATGAGTTGATTGCAAGTCTGGTTGTAGTGAAGATTTAATCAAAACCTAGCAAGGAAGTCCTGTCTAAAAGGAATTAAGCAAAAGTACACAGGAAGGAGAAAACATTGGTCTTGGTACATATTCCAGGGATCATGAGATTAACCAGGAAAGAGCTAGAAGGAATAAGTTCACTAAGAAAGATTTAATGAATTCCAGTTTGGATTAAAATGTCTCACTGAGAGGCAGATCACAATAATGGTGATACAATGGAAGTTTTACTGACTCATTCAAATTACCCCTCCTTTCTTCTTAAGAGAAATTAGGAAATCAGAAGTATGTTTGGTTCCAACATGGATCCAGTTCAAAGCTCACCCACCAACCATCCATGCCTGTGTCTAAGCAGCTACAAGGGTCATCCTTGCTGGATAAAACTTCAAGATAGGTTTTTGCTTATGGGCCTTCAATTTTTTGTTTAAAGCAGGGTTCTCATCCCCATTCTCTTCCACAGGCTATGCAGTGTGCTTTTCTCTTAAGCATTAAGAAGTGTGAATGTGTATGATTTATGTTTTGCTCCCTTGCCTTTTACATTGGTAACATTTGAACTGCAGTTTTTGACTTTGTATCTCTTCTATTTTTCATGTGATAAAAGCAAAAGCTCTTGTGCCTCTCAGGAGAGTGTGAGGTTGGATACACATCATAGATAGGTACCTACTAGGACATATCTCAATTGTAACAGTGTCATCAAAGAAATAACCAGCAGATGGCAGGAGGCAAAGATAAGATAGAACCACAATTCTGCTAGAATTGTAACAAGTAGTTCTATTGCACCAAATGTTGTTCTCGGGGGTTTTTCAGTTAGGAGGAGATGTCTTTAGGGCTTTAGCTCATGTAGCAAGCAATAGCAAATCTAACATAAGGCTGCAACCTTATACACATTTATCTGGGAGTACATTCCATCAAAAATAATGAAACTTCCTTTGACTAAAGAATGCTTGACAAAACTTTTAAAATATTACATCTACTTGTGAACCTTGCCAAGGTCAACACAATTTAATTCAAAATGACTGATGCCTAATTTGTTCAGTGATTATGTTCCAGTGCAACTTAGCCAGGCCAGAGTGACATGCAGATGCAATACATGTATTGGTTTGGTGGAAGATAAAACTCTTTTAAGCATGATGCCAAACAAACTGCATCCTTATCTAAATTTGATCTAAGCTGTCATATCACTTGTTCTGTTTAATGGTTTTCCATTAATTAGCTTCCATGACCATGCACAACACAGCTATTTCCAAAGGACTGGAATAATGAAAATGGTATTAAGAACAAAAATCTAACATCAGCTTTGAGAAAGTGAGAGAATTACCACCAGCTACCCAGCCTAGAGTGCATTCATATTACCAAAACAGATTCCAAAGTTATTAGAATGGTGCTGAAATGGCTTCTTCTTCCATCTGCTGCTGAGTTCCTCACTCTCTCCAATTTTATTATCCTGGATCTCAGGAATGGCTTATAAAGTCTTAAGCAAGTGGTTCTTTGGTAATTGCTTCCAAGAACAGTCCCATGGTTCCTGGGAGGGATCACAGGATGCTGTGGAATACCCCTTTCCCAGAGGCTGAAGGCACAATTCTCCCCTTTCCCTCCCCTCCGCATGGGGAAAATCCAGGTGAAGATTCCCTCACTGCCATCGCAGTCACCATGGTGACTCCTATTCTGAAGCCCCAACAGTGACCTTGGAAGAAGGGTGGGGAGAGAGAAAGGGACAAATGCACGCATGCACTTGTAGCATCGAAAATAGTTTCTATATATGCTTCACTTACCTAGCTGGGCTGTCAACATGAGTCTAACAGAATCACAGAAATCACTTATGATTCTTATGGGCAGACGTGTGGAGAGGTCAAGCAATAAAATGTGCCCTCCCCCAGTGCCTATCCAGAGGGCTGTGTTCTTTTGCAGGCAGAGGCTCTTCACTCTTCCAGGATATGCAAGTTTTTGTATAGATTCATGATTTAGCTTTGGTACCTCCTTTCTTTAATATGAGAGAGAGAGAGAGAGAGAGAGAGAGAGAGAGAGAGAGAGAGAGAGAGAAAATTTAAAATAGGCATGCCATGAGTGGAGCTGACTAGGACCTGGGGTCAGATTAGATGGCCTAGGAGACCCCCTCTGCCTCACTCTGTTTCTGTGCTTCTAAAATATAGGATGCCATTTATGTTAAAACTGCACAAGATTGTGTCTTCCTTTTTGATCCTTTTACAAATTTTGGTAAGCACGTAACAGGACCATTATTCAACTGGATGGATATGCTCCCATGCTGTTTTGCCTTTGCACAATTTCATAGAATTCTACAAGTAAACATCTAGTTTATGCAACCTTTTTCCAAAAGTAGAAGTGGAACCAATGAAAGAGTGGAGGACATGATCCAAAATGGCAAGCCTGTTCCCAATTCTCTCTCCTTAGCTCTGCACTGTGAAGTTATATAATGCCATGATTTGTGACCCTCTTCCTGACAGCTCAGGGCAGCCAATGCTGTTATCTGGTGTTATGGTGACATGCAGGACGTTACCATTCCACCAGTCACATGTTGCCATTATTACATGTTAAAGGACATGCAAAACAAGTATGCCATTTTTGGCAGTAGTCCCAGTTTTCTTGTAATATTTAGTTCTGTCCCAACAAAGAATACGTGATGTATTCCTTTGACCTTATGTTGTGGCCAATGTCAATTCTACTTGGAAAGAGCCACTGAAATGAATGGAGCTTAAGTAAAGCAACTATGGATGCAACACACTGGATAAACATCTTTGCCACAGTACAGAGAAGCACAAACTGCTCTCAGACATTTAAGAAGCCCTAAGAAGAAAGGGCTTCCAGGTCAAAGAAAAGGGGTTCTTTTTAATATGCTTGAGGATTGGAGCAGCTTTCCCCAACCTAGTATCCTCCAGATGTGTTGAAATGCAAGTGCCACAGGTAATGGCCATGCTGGCTGAGAATTATGGGAGTTGTAGTCCAACACATCTGGAGAACACCAGATTGGGGAAAGGTGGCTTACAAAATGTGCATCCATCATTAGTAATAAATCTTGCTCTTGTAACATGCTTTATTTCTTCCCTCCAAAACTTAGTTTTATTGTAAGGATAATAAGTTCATATGGATACCTCTGAACAGCAGAACGTTACAAATTTCACCATGAAGTTTTTTCTCCACTGTTTCTTTTTTTAATGCATGCTTTCATGGAACTTGGGAATGGGAACAGATTCATGTCCAAAAGCACAGTTAATCTGTGTAGATCACATACATGCTGGTGACTTCAGCTGGATTTCTGTACTGGGCCTCCATGAGGCTACATCTGTGTAGGCCTCTGTTCTCATTTCTCAAGCTTCTGACATGTGACAAAAGGCACTGCTTTGTCTCTCTTTCTGTTATTTCTGACTTAAGACAATAAGACAACCAAACTATGAACCTGGAAAGCTGCCATGTGTATGGACTTCTAGGTACCTTATAGGTCAGATACAAAAAACGTTTAAGTAATCCTTACTTGATTCCTAAGTAATCAAGCAAGGATTACTTAATTACTTTTCTTATTTTTCAAGTAAGTAAGTAATCAAGTTAGGCTGACTGTAATATTGGACCAGTTAGCGGAAGAGAGAAGGCCAAGAATTGAAGAACTGTATAACAAAAAGCAATATTCATGCTCTTACACTGTGGTATCTAATGTTTGTTTTGCTAGAAGTTCCAACCCTGACAGGAAAATGATAGTTCTGTTTTAGCATGAGGATTTTATTTTTTGAATCAGCTTGCTGTCCTAAGACATCTCTATTTTTTCTGTGACAGCTCTATGCAAGATGTCTCACACTCACTTTAGAAAATGAACACAGTCGATTAGTTCATACATTTTCTCCGTCTTTTTATCCCATATTTCCACAAAATAGCTATTCTTCTTTGCCACGTAGATGGATTTGTCTACTGCTATTGAAATAATATTGGCATCACTGTAATCCTTGTGCCATAATCTGAGATGCAAAAGAGACAATCAGAATGATATATTATGTCTCAGTATACATTTCTTCACATAAATGATAAACTTTTGAAAAAATGAACACCTCTGAAAAAGCTCTGTGGACTTTTTATTTTCATTGCCTGAGATCCAAAATGGCACACACAGAGCTCTCACATATGTGCTTTTGCCACTGTAGTGGTTCACCTTCCCTGAAAATTTCCATTTGAGGGTCAGGATACCCCTTCAGCCAATTGATTTGCATCATCCTACTTGAGCAACACCATTTTAATTCTGAGCCCCTTTTGCAGTTTTAACTATCATAGAAAAAATGTGGTTCCTAAGAATTCAACTGACTTGACCAATCAAAAAAACAAAGTATGTTTAATACAAATTAAGCCATGTCATCTATATAGTATTTAGTGAAATAAACTGTATTTCCATACAATTATTTTTGGACAATGGTTTCCATGCCACAAGGAATCTTATTTTGTAGACCTATGCAAACATTGCCATTAATTATGCTCAATAAAGATTTGATTGATATTCCATTGGTCCTGACCAGAATATTTCCTGGACATCCATGAGTTTTAGATCAGTTTCTGGATGTAAACAGGCACCAGGGAAAATCAGCAGAAATTGCAATGGCTACAAAAATGTATTCCAAAGCATTTATAAAAAAAACACCTCAATAAATGGAACAAATGCATGTGGGAACGTTATACAGCATTTATGCAAACATAAAAATACCTTAGCCCCCTAAAGTTCAGTCAAATGAATTCAAGACACACAGTACCTTTGAAAACTAGAAACAATTCAGTTACTCTTATTGTATGAATTATATTTTATAGTCGATGAGGCCAAATAAGTATCCCTGTTGTTGTTGTTGTTGATGGAACCCTATCATTTCGACACTGTCAAAAATAGGCAGATCAGATTATTTATTACTTTTCTATACTGCCCAGTAGTTGAAGCTTTTTAGGTGTTAACAAATAAATGTAAAGTGCAACAACTAAAAAGTAAAACAAGATATTTAGAAATACTGGACACAGTTTTCAGCATTTGTAAGCCACTCAGAGAAACTTCAGCTTATGTGGTGGCATAGAAGTGGAATGAAATAGATAGTTTGGAGAAAGCAAGCAGGAGAAACAAAACCAACTTGTTTTAACTAAAAAAAACTTACATTTGGCTTTTCTTTGTCTCAATTAGTTTTTGGACAGAGAAATCAGTGGACAATGATACAATCTTTGTCCCACAGCCTCCCCAGATGCAATTTTTTTCAGATGAATAATTAGAGTCACTTAAACACATAAGTGGAGTGCTGATGTTCCCAAGTGGTAAGACCTTCAAGGGTGCAGCTCCTTTGCACTGGAAACATTGAAAACAGTGAAAAAATCTTTAAGCATTGATTGAACAGCAATAATTTATGAAAATATCCAGACATGACTGCCTGAGAGGCTAGCTGATGATGGCTCTTGGTTTATGGGAAGGAGAGTCATGTCTACCAGTCCCGCTTCACAGGGTTTCACTGTGAGTAACACACACTGGCAAGCTTGGCTTTCCTAGAATTCTTCAAGGAGCACTACATTCCAAGGTGAAAACAGGCTGGTCACTAACGGCTGAAAACTTTTCAAGAGACCAACATGAAGGCATGTTTTAGCAGGACATGTCCTATGGTTAGGCAAAGTCAGGTTGCAGATACATAGATGTAGCAAAAAGTTTGGAGGGCACAGCTGAGTGTCTGCCCCGTGCCTCTTAAGCTAGCCTGCTGCCTTCAGGCGTTCAGGAAGAAGTTGTCCCATTGGCAGCATTGAAGGGCAATCAATTGGCAGTCTAGTCAGCTTTTGTATATGGAATAGGAGGATCCTTGCTCTTCACCTCATTGTCTTGAGTAAGTCTCACCTTGTAGTGTGAACAGGTCTTCACACCAAAGTCATTCCCAGTGCAGGGCCAGGACACTAAAGCCTTATGAAGAATCATATTTGGCATTCCTGCTCATATGTTAGAATGTCTGATTTGCACTAATTTACATACAATTTATGATGCAGACAAGTGCCCCCTCCCACAGTCTCATTCCTATCCACTCCATCCTGACCCATTTCTAAAATGTCCTGCAATACAGAGACTATCTAAATCCATATGCATATCCACAATACAACTGCTTGGCATTTAGCACAGACTGGAATCATGGGCACCGCTTCCCTGCATGATAGTTACACAATAGCCAGCACATTTTCACCTATTAGCAGTGGCCAGGATTCAAACAGTCCCAAATGATTTTTTCCTATTATTTCATTTGAACAGCAGGTCTATATGGCAGACCGAAGTCCTCATGATGTGTAATCCTCTTTCAGAGAATGTCATGTGCCTGCTTTTCGAGGGATACCTCCTTTAAGATTGCTGGACATGGTTCTTTGGATCCAAGGCAGCATGATGCCAGTGGATTTCTGATCAAAAGATTTAGTTACAGCACACAGTTCAGCAGAACAAACAAGGAAGTCTGATGTTGTCAAAAGATGACATTTGTGAAGTACTGTGGATTTAATGGATGAGTTATTGTAACACTGACCTATCCGTGCATGTGCATGGGTGGGGGAGTGGTACTAGTGGTAAAAAAGAATGCCAGCTTGCAAACACTGAAAGGGAATTCTCTAAAGCAGGGGTCTTCAAACTTTTTTTTTACCAGGGAGACAGTTGAAAGGTGCCGGTACTGGGCGCGGGCCGGAAAGGTGGTGTTGGTGGTGCATGCGGGCCAGCACAGGGGCGGGGGAGGCGCGTGCGAGCGCGGGCTGAGGCGGGGGGCACAGCAACGCGAGGAGGGTGCGCAAGGCAGCAGTTTGCTTGTTTGGAGATCGTTTTCTTGGAGTGAGCAAACCAGTGCCTCCCTGTGCTTGGGGCGAGGTGGGCGGCAGCAGGCGCACGCATGGGTGCAAGTGCACACGCAGCAGGTCCAAATGGGCTTGGCGGGCCGGATAAAGGACCTAAAGTATGGGTCCTAAAACATTAAAGCGTTCAATTTATTACATAAAGCATGGGTCCTCAAACTACGGCCCGGGGGCCGGATCCGGCCCACCATGCCCATTTATCCGGCCCATCATGCCCATTTGTACTCGCCACATGCACACACGCACATGTGCCTGCCGCCGCCCACCTTGCCCCGCACGCAGGGAGGCAGCAATCTGCTCACTTGTAGAAAACAATCTCCAAGCGGTCAAGCCGTTGCCTCGTGCGCCCGCCTCGTGGCGCGTGCCCGCCCCTGCCTCCCCTGTCCTCCCCTCATGCCCTGCCCCCACCTCAGTGCACGTGCCTGCACATGCTCCCCTCCCTGCGCTGGCCAGCGCACACTGCTGGCACCACCTTTCCAGCCTGCGCCCAGCCTGTGCCCAGCACCAGCACCTTTCAACTGGCCCCCTGGTGGAAAAGTTTGAGGACCCCTGCTCTAAAGAAAGGCTTCACAGCAGTTAACCTAGCCTATTTTCACATGTTAATGAAAGAGAAAGAGAGCAACAGAAGAAAGAAATATAAGCAGCAGGAGGATTAGTACTGGCAACTTATAAAGGACAATGAAAATATTCAGCAATTCTTGTCACAGTTTTAGGAAGCTATCCTGAACAACAGCCTTCCCCAACCTTCTGTCTCCCAGACATGTTTGGGCTGCAACACCCAGAATTCCCAGTCAATGGCTGCTGGATGAGAATTCTAGGAATTGCAGTCTAAATGCTCTGAAGGCCACCAGGCTGGGGAAGACTGCTGAACAAGAAAGCCCAGGATTCAATAGTATCATATTTATTTGGAGCTCTTTGAAAAGAAAGCCATCTCTTTCTTTTCTATCCACATGAAAATTCTAATGTATAATATATGCATTTCAGTGTTATATAATTTCTGGAAGACAGCACTGTATACGTACCCTTACTGCTCTGTCTTCAAAAACTGCTAGCTGTCCATCAGCTGTACCAACTAAAAAGAAATTCTTCTGCTTGCTGTAATAAAAAAGGAATTATATACATGTATTACTAAACTAAGTCTATCACATAACCCGCTGTATGTCTTACAGAGATTTTACTGCATTCCTGAAGAGCAAAATTGCATAGACCCTGTGTTAGTTAACAGCAGTAATATACAAGCACAAATTAATAACGAACAAGCACTTCATGTATATATGAAATGTATTCAACTTTCCATTTTCTATCCTATCCTAAAAATGGTCTTGCCATTTGACCTACACTGAAAGTGAGTAACAATTCTGTCAACAGCCATCCCTCAAACCGCCCTGTAACATGCAGGAATGGATACACAGCTATGCAAAATTCTTCCCAGAATGGTAATTTGTTGTATTTTTCCGAAAGATTGCCACAAAGAAAAAAAATGCTATGATGTTTAACCTAGAATCATACTCATCCATACTTTTGCTTTGCAGAAAAGCTGCAGTAAAGACATGTGACAGAATCTGTCATCTTCTGGAGTTGGTGCCTGCGCGTCTCATCTTGTGTGTGAAAAGCCCACAACAAGCCAGATTGTGTTCCTGCTGCAATCCAGTTTTCCTTTTCTGCAGGAAGAGTCACCAAAGCTAAGCACAATATTCTAGTGTCTGCAAGATCCTGGGAAGGGGAAAGATGAATCATTGGCCTAGATTCTATTAAAAAAACCCAGACATGTTCATTGTTCTAGACTAGTTTTAGCTTTTATCTCCCCTTCTCCAAAGGAAAGCCTGAGTTGCATTTTTTATTCTCTCTAAAAGCTGTTGTAGGCCAATACACAAAGGTAAAGCATTAACCAACTTCTTTCCTCCCGCCATCTCTCTACTTGAGGTCAGATCCTCTTGAGGCTGTAATTCATATGTGTATGTAAGAAAGAGGGCCAGGGTTCACAAGTGCACTGTGTAGTTTGTTCCTATGGCTCGAATGTATCACTGCATAAGAAGGTAGGACTAGATGCCTAACATGATGGAGCAGAAAAGAAGAGAAATCTGAAAGCCCAGCCTCTGACAAATATTTGGATCGAATCACATCTCCTGCTTGAATTCTATTCTAATTCCACCCCCCACCACCAGACTTGGTGTGGGGAGAGACTAACATGAAAAGGTTTCAGTCAGAGTAACATCTCTCAGTATGTGTTCATGATCAAACAATTCTGTTACTGAAAACTAAAAAACTGTACATGAAATCTAATTCTAAGACCTGATTGTGTAAGTTTCCAGCAGCATCTCGATGGACCATTGCAAAATTTTTGCTTAAAATGCTCCAGGTCTATATGGTACAAGCTTATGCATGAACTACATGCTAACATACCTGACCCCCTTCAACTCTACTCATTAAAACATTCAATTTATTACATAACTACTGAGGGGAACATCGAATGTTGATACCCACCTGACAGGTATGTCCATCTGTATTTAAATCAATGAATGAGAGTTGTGCTCCTTCTGTGTTACCGGTACCTAACCAGACTCCTGTCTTCTTACAACTTTGATTTGTAGCAACCATGCATTCTGATGCAGAGGTGCATGGTACTGAAATGTATCTCATCAAGCAAACAAGTTTTGCAGAAGTCAAAATATCATACACCTGCCAAAACATCACATTAAAAGCACAAGTGAGTGAAGGCTATTGCTGAATTCCTTTGTACATAACATTTCACATAGCATGATTGTGTTTATTGACAAGGCTGAAGTAGATATTTACAGAATATTTTTTCTTACGGAGTATTACTTTTAGATATTTTCAAGATGCATGTATTTTTATAACTTGTGAAAATGGTGCCGAGCATATTCTAAATACTCTCTTCTTTCGTTCTTTCAGTTGTAAGCCACACTGAACTGGTGTGAAGAGCAAGGACAGAAATATAGTGGCTGAACAAATTACTGAGAGATAATTCAGCATAATCACAGGTGAAGGTTAAGAATGTCTGAGCATTCTATTTGTGGGATAAATATTCAATGCATTTTCTTCCAGTTTGTCCCTGTGGATTTTGTTTCATTTCCTCCTACTGGCATTGACTTGATTTGTAGCAAGCCAAGCCAATACCTAAATTCTGTTGTGTTCTGGTGACATTTTGTACAAGTTGGGGTGGGATCTTGCAATTTGCACAAATTGTCATAACTTTTTGAAAATATTTATTGACAATCTTTCCACAAGAGCACAAGTTTGCCTCCAGAGGCATGTTCCCATCTTGTCAACAGTCTTGTCAATTTCACCCACTTCACACATTATTTTATTTTGCCTAACAGCCGTATTCTGTACTTTTCAAAGAACTTGTCAATGCCCTTCTCCAATAAATCCTTTGGGAAGTGCAGAAGTGGAAGATGAAACTGAGAATTGGGTTAAACAAAGTAGTGTGTGGAGAAAGGGTGAAACCTACAAGGATATTTACAAGAGGAGAATATTGAGGACAGGTAGGCAGGATCATGAGCACTTCTGCAAATTCAGCAGTGGTATCTTTCAAAGCTATGCCACCATTCACCCCTTTCCCATTTGTACAAATTATGTTTTGTGTAAATGGTACAACCTGAAAAATGCACACTTTTTTCTGAGTTTAGGAAAAAAAGACTTCCACAGTCCACCACCATAGACCAGAATGGAGACTCTGACAGGCTTAAACCGAACAGAATTCCTAGCATCATACATCCTTAGTCAAGATTTGACTTGGTAGCTCTATGCAGGGCATTTATCTCTCAGTCATAGCTCCTGCACATCTCCAAGATGAAGATAATGATATTGGCTGTCCTTTTAAGGTTATTGTAAGCATTGCCAAGATAACGTACGTGAGGTATTTGAATATTCTAAATTACTATTTAATGCTAAGTATTACTATAAGGATATTTAAAAGTGGAAGGGCAAATAGAAAACATATTTCTCTGGTCAAACCAGCATAATTTTAGATCAACAAAATGCTAGTATGGTAACACATCATGAGGTGGTTTGCATGTAATGCTGAACTATATGTTAACATTACACAAACAAGCTACAGCAAGTGTCAGGGAAGGCTGTGAACACTTTAGATGCTCCACTTTAGAATCCATTTTGGATTATCCATGGCTTGTTCCTCAGAACTGAGCAAGAGTAGTTAATCTTGACTCTAGTTTATCAGACCAAAACCAAGTTCAAATCATGGAGAAACATAGTTAAGATTAACCACAGTTTTCTGGGTTCAGGCAAATGCTAAGCTGTAAGTAATCTAAAGCAGAGGTGGAAACTTCCAATTGCCTCTGCTGGCCAGTGGCCCTATGAAAGCCTGAGGCTCACTGAAGTTTATTGTCACAACACCAATCCATGGCTTGACATTACATGACACCCTTCCTACTAATGGATTGATAGCTACACCCCAGCTTAATTACGTATCACACAAATACTACTTTTATAAGATCAAAGGCTAATCATGTATACTTATGCATACAGAAAACCTTCAGTCCCACTGCACTGTATAAGTAAATATGCACAGGATGACATCGTTAGGCTGCCAATTTATCTACGGAACAGATCAGGTTGCATTTGTAACATTAATGCCATCCTGATAAGTAAGAAACAGAAGGAAACTTATAAATACATGCCACAGAGGAAATGCCCATCTGACCTACCTGAGCAGATGTAGGCCTTTCCTGAGGATTTTCTTTCAAACACTTCTTAATTAAATCTTCAACTTCTGGCCAGGGAGTGCAGCCATGCTCTTTGACAGGATCTAGAATAGAAGTTTTTTAGATTCAGTCTGAGAAAGAGAACTACCCAAACCAGTGTTAAGTGCAGCAGACTACATTCTCAAAAGAATTCCTTCAGAGAGATTTAGAAAAATGTTCATGCAAGATTAAAATCTGTGAGGCACAGACATTCACCTTTTCAGGTACCCCAATGGAATCATGTGGCCTTGCCAAAGGGAGGCTGGAGACACCAATGAAGATATGAACTGCATCGCACATTATGTACTTTAATGATTAATAGTTAATTTCAATACATTGCAAAGTGATCTATACTTCCAGAGCTAAGCTTACCCACTTACAAAGCTCCAGCATTGCAGGCACTGATAATTAAACCAAATTACAATTCTTTACATATTTGCTCTGATTCAAAGTGACATGAATTATGATCGGTGGATGGTACCAGGTTCCTTAACAGGAACTGTAACCTTGTTCTTTTCAGAGTAAATACCACTTGCTTACATATAAATTTGCTTGACTTTTCCTTGTGGTTAGCTGGCAAACGCTGTGCATTCATAAATGGAGGACCTGCAGGCATACCAAATCCTGCAGAAAGCATTCTGTTCTTGCAAATATGCATAGTGTCTCATGAATCATTTTATACAAGAGGGACAGTAAACAAGGAAAAATAAAAGCAGTGGACAAGATGAGCATCTCAACAAAACAAAAGATGACCTCTGTTTATTCTATAAACCTAAATGGTCAGTTCACAACCTCAACTTCCTTATGAGTTCTACAGCAGTACAACTCTGAGCTTTGAAGAGACTGTGTTCAAAGCTCCCTGGATACCTAGTCCATTGCAGCTGGCCATGGTGGCTCATGGTTTAGTTACAGCTTGATCTGGATTACTATTACTATTAATGAGATTCATGTGCTGACTCTGAAAAGAGTTTGAAAACTTCATATATTCTTGGAACTAGTAATCAGGAACAGACAGGCCAGCCCAAGACACTTTTCTCCCTTCATGGTGTCTCCTCAAGCTCTGCCCAGTCAGGATGCATGATACCTAAGACCGGCCAACTTGTTTTGACAGGTGAGACAGAAAATCCCATATACACTTCTCCCCTTCTCTGGAAGTAAAAATGCAACCATAATTCTGATTTTGTCAGTTGGGAGGATGAAGAATTGCTCTGTGCTGAACTTTACGGAGGAAGGGGAGACATGCCCATTTGGAGGGATGTGGAAGTCCAAATGCACAGAGAAACAAAAGGGATTGGGAGTATACAATGAAGCAGTCTTGGATGCATGGAGAAATGGCATTCGGAGAAAGGGAGCACTGAAGAGAAGTGGTAGGAACAGCAAGAACAAGCAAAGATGTGTGGGAATAAAGAAAGAAAAGGAAAAGGCAAACAAAAAAAAATCTCAAATGCCTAGAAAACTGAAGAGAAGGGGAGTAGAAAACAGCCAGAAAAAAATCCCAGATTCACAGAGGAGAGGACCGCTTTGGAAAAGGGAAGGGGATAGCAAATAATAAAATACAAATATCAGATACAGATAAACAGAGGACAAAGAGGATTATAGTAAAGCAGGGGCTGGAGGAGACAAGAAAAAAAAACATAGGAAAAAAGGAGGGTTGCAGAGACATGAAAACTGGAGAAACAGGAAGGTGTCAGTAGGGAAAAAAGCGCAAATTGAGAAATGAGCCAAGAAGAGGTAGGAGTTGAATAGAGCTGTGGCAAAAATAAAGGCCAAAGAGAACTGTGGGGCTGAGAAAAGCCTGAGAGACTATGGGCCAAACTGAAAGGTTCTGTGGCCGCTAGCCTTCCCCTTAATTACCCAACTGAGCTTAGCAAGCTCAGCTGTTGTCCACATGGTTAAACTGGTATAATCACATGGTTAAACATGGTATAATCAAGTTAAACTGTTGATTATGATGGTTAAAGCCCTAGATGTCTTTGGAACAAGTTACCTGATGGACCATCTTCTCCACTATGAACCTGCCAACATCAGAAGTACAGTGGCAGGAATGTGAGATGGGGTTTTCTTGGTATCTGTATGCCAGCCCTGCAGCTTCTGCACTAAAGAGGCCCTCAGCTCACTCTCCAATGCCCTTTGGCCAGCAGATAAAAGTACCTATTTAGACAGGCCTCAGATTGTCAGATTTTTCCTGCTGTTGGGGATAGTTTTATTATTATTTATTTATCTGCATTTATATACCACCCTAGTAGCCCAGAGGGCTATCTGGGTGGTTTACAAACATTAATAGTTTAATTTAGCTGGCAACATTATTACATTGGACTTTACATGGTGCTTAGTGAGGAAAGGCAAGATATGGAAATTTAAATTATAACAAAAACACACAGTTTTACTGTCTTATACTATAAGATAATGCCCTAAATTCTTGTACCAACATCATAAGGACATTACACTTTTGGCATATGAAAAGTTAAGAATTTGTTTATCTTGTTCTGCTATTACTCTACTGATTTAGTGGGTATTTGCCAATTAGTTTCAGATGCATAAAATGCAGAAGTACAAGAAAAATTTGGCTACAACTATTCTCCATTCAACATGTTTAAACTAATGTCCATTGAATTCAAAGAGGAAACATCAGCATGAGTGAGAGATCAATAGCCTCTTAGGACATTTTCAAAGATTGGACTTGCTTCTGTATACCGTAGATCATTTAATCTCTAAAATGCCTAGTGGGCATGAGCCAAAAAATATTCAGAGGCACTCAACCCTCACCAGTTTTAGTAGACTTAAGTACACTTAATTTTCTTTGATTTAACTTACTGAGTTGGCAATGCTTAAAGTTTTCTGACCACTTGAAATGTTTATTTACTTATAATATTTTGTCTTTTATGCCTGTGAAAAGACAAAATGGACCGTTTACTGGACTATCTACTAAAAGGGAAAATACTTCAAAAGTAGAATCACACTGTGCTTATAACAATCTCTGGATCCAATCATGTGATGCTAGGAAAATGAAGCATACCTGGCAATTTTCCATGGATAGCTAATTCATCAAATTCATTAGGAAATTTCATGCCTTCTAATATTCTCCTACCAGCTGTTAAAATGTCATACAGGAGCAAGCCAAATGAATAAACATCAGCTTGCTGATTGTAAATAACATTTCCTTTTGCGACTTCTGGTGCTCTAAATCCTAAAAAAAAGCACAAGACATTAATTGTTATGCTCATTGCCAAGCTGATGTTCTACTTGTTTTAATTTCAGAATCTTAAATATTGTTAAGTGCCACAGGAGCTAAGCAGCAACAAAAATCAAATAATATGGCCTAGAAGAGACATGGGCTTCTAGAGGCAATTATGGAATGAAGAACATGAACCAGTTAAGAAGTACAAGCACACATGCAGCCACTCTCCACCCAGCCACTCCCACATATTCACAGGGAAATGGGACAGTCCATCAGGCCTTTTGCACAGGCTCTTCATTGTTCACTCCAAGTCCTGACACATGGGAGAGGGCAGCCACAGAGGCTAGAGCCCCAAATATGGACAGTGGAAACATTGGCCATGATAGAACTTCTAGGCCAGACTTCCCCAACCTGGTGCCTTGCAAATGTGTTGGACTGCAACTCCCATCCTTCTAACCAGTTGCCATTAGGTCAGTCAATGGTCACACTGGTTTGGGCGGAAGGAAGTTGCAGTCCAATACATTTGGAGGGCATCAGCTTGGAGAGGGCTGGCCTAATGGCAACTAGTATCATTTTCAGTCAATATAACAAACAGAACTCTTACCAGATCTATAATGCATGGCCACTGGAATGAGCATGATTAAACCAACGTTTAAAAACATGTGTTATACAACATTTCTCATAATATTCTATCACACTCTACTCAGAAGTTATAATATAATATAATATAATATAATATAATATAATATAATATAATATATATATGATGGAACCATGCAAGGAATTAATCTGGAAGATGATCAATGGCCATCACCACCCTTTGAGACCCCAGCCTTCCAGAAAGAGCAGCTATTATTCAGGATTATCTGAATGTGAAGGAAAATCATTTTCTTGGAAAATGTTTTCCCCTTCCAAAAGGACTCTTGGGCAGGGAAATAACATGTGGGTCTCCCTTTCACCATCTGCATAACCTTGGTGTGGTTGACGCGATTAAACATTATTTCATCTTTCATACCTGGTGTTCCCTCTGAAGTTTTTATACCCATTCTGCAACAATACTGGGCAATACCATAATCAGCAATTTTTGCAATGACAGCTGAATTGGGATACAGTGTAAAGAGCAGCACGTTGTGGGGTTTTAAATCACGATAGATGATCATGGCTGAATGCAGATACCTAGACAGCAATATTAAACATGAGATCCACATATTACAATCACCCCAGCCCCCAAGAATTAAGGTTCGTTCACAATGCAGCTTCAAAATGGGTCATACGTGAAGCTGGTGCACAACACTTTAGACTTACGAAGGTTTCAGCCATGCTGATCCGTTCCTCCTCTGTTACAGAGTGAGATTATTGTGGGCTTGTGTCTACTGGAAGCAAAACTTACTCTGGGGTGACATTGGCCAGTACTGAGCAGTGTCATTCCACAAACCCAAACAATGACAGCACAGCTCTTCCTCAACTTTCTGTTGTGCATATGCTTGTTCATTACACTTGCGTGTTTGTTTTCCCAAGCAGCTGTACAAGCTTTATGTGCAACCAGTTGCACAACAGATATTGCAAAGTATGTGTGTAACTGGCTGTACAAGCATAATATATAACTGCTTGTGCAGCTGTGTTTGTACAAATGTAACTTTAGCTGGATTCTTCTTTATGTTTACTTTGGAACTCAGCTTCAGCTAGACCAATGTCATTTGTACTAGCAGAATATGACAGCTGATACAGCCCAACAGAAACAAGTCAAACCAGCATTTATTCTCACACTTGGTTTAGTGATAAGCCCTGAACTCACAGCACAAGCGTGTTACTAACCTTAGCTATCCTAACCCCACATTACCCAAGCCTCTCTTTGTTCCATTTTGTTTGCCAGGTAAAAAGCATTCTGGCATTTTTATGGGATAGTGTTTTCGACAATAACCCTTAATAAGCATGGCTGTACTGCATGCAATCATCATGAATGGACTCAGAATGCCCTGTGTGACGTTAATGAATTAAACACTTTATTGTGACATCATTTGTTATAGGAAGTATATCCGAGATATGAATTCTTTGCTATTGTAGCTGAACAGTCATACAAGGAAATAAATTTATATAAAATAGAATCTATTCAAAATTATTCTAGTGAAATGTACTTTATGTATTATAACTTTTATCAGCAGAATCCAGATAAGTCCCAGCTGTTAAGTCCCAATGAGTTCAATGGGGCCCACTATGAGGTAGTGCAAAATGTTAAAGCCTAGGTAGGACAAAAGAGTAAAGCCTATATATACTAATGAGCAAGAAATTAAGTGAAATTTAGAGAAAAATCAAGCTGTAAATCTTCCCTGGAATCAGTGGTATTTAATGGAACCAAATCTTCTGGATCAGGAACTTATTCATTTCTCCAATTATAGAATCTTATCACTTCTAGGATTATCCAAAATCAGAACTTGAAAGAGTGCTATATTGGATTTACACATATTCCAGGGACAAAAGATTTTTGCAGCACAGAATCCTTGCAGAACAAGCCAAGAAATCCAAAACTAAATAGTGAGAATAAGTGAACAGATAGATAGATGTATTGTATAGGCCTCAAGGTGGAAAGGCTGAAACAGGTATTTCATAGATCATTTTACCTTAAACCATCAGCTACATGTAGCGCTATTCTGTGCTGGAGTGTTCTAGTTAGAGTTGCATTGTCTTGTTGCAGCAATCGATCTAAAGACCCCTTGGTGGCCAGTTCCATGACAAGCATCCGTGGACGCACTGCTGCAGCCAGCAAAAATACTAAACTAGGATGATGAAGATGGCAAAGCACCGCAAGTTCCTGCAAATACAGCACAAGTGTTTCTGTGAATGTTTTCTCCATCAGCAGCTTTATTCAAGGGCATGGGTGGGCAGGAGATCAAAACAGTGCTGTGGGGGCAGCTGTCTTACATGTAGGAGGATGCAGAAGAACATTTGGGAGGAACTTTTACATTTTTACTCTTTCCTGTCATCCAGATTTTTTTTTAAATAAAAAATTAAGGGTTCAATCCTGTATTTATTTAGCAAGCCTGAATCTTTCTGCTGGTTAGGGAATGATGAGAATTGTAAGGAGTTTTTTTCATTTCTACAAAAAGTATAAAATTGCACCTTAAATAGATTAAAACATTGGTATTTCAACTTTCTTTTACAGAGAACATCCAAGGTTTTGCAATTTAAAATATAAACATAAAATTGTAATATTTAACCAAATATTGTAAATAAAAACCTTGATCAAAACAACCCCAAAACCACAGCAGAAAAGGATAATTGAAGCAGGATTCACGGTCACGCTGCACAACCCCCGAAGGCCTTCCGCAACAGCCACCGCTTTAACATGCAAGGAAAAGTAACATGACCTGGCCAGGCAGGCCTTCTAAGGGAGAGCATCCTGTTGCAGAAACATTCTGTGGTGTGGGCTGGTAAGTTTACACTCTGGAGTTAATGGTTTTATGAAGGGACTGGCTTCAGAGAGCCATGTGTATTACTTCCCTTCTCCCCACAATTACTATTACATGGGGTACAACTGCAACTACATTCCTAATATGCTGGAGCACAAAACAAAAACCTTTGTGCCAACTCTGATTGTTTCTGAAAAAGGGTTGTTTCAAACATAAGCAGTTCCGCATTTTAAACTAACTGAAATCAAAGAGTCCCTGTGACTATAAGAATGAAATAGAATTTGGTTTTTTTTCCTGCCATGATGCTCAACACATTGACTTGGGAGCAGGCATCATTTTGTTGTGATGGAGGGAGGGTGGATAATATTATCTTTTCTATATTAATATAAATAAATAATATTTAACATTGTTTTAAAGTAAGAATATTGAAATCAGTATCTGCATATCCAGCTCCCCAGCTCCCTGACAGTATTTTTTCCATAAGAAGAAAAGATGCAAAAGCCAGCCTGGTGTGCCCCAGCAGGCCCATGCTCACCCATGTACTGACACCAGTTCTGGTTGCCACTGTCCCATCATCGGTCACTCTCTGGGTGGCTGTGGGGCTCCTTGAGCTCTGAGGCCCTGGACTTGACCCCAAGGTTCAGCCCTAGCTGCACCAGTGGCAATGCTACAAAGGCCCTGTTTTTCATATAAGTATGCCAAATTTCAGCCAGAAGAGAAGGTGATCCTTGAAGTGCCTTAGTTCTACGCTATTTAGGGGGGATGATAGATGAGGTCAAATTTAAAAAAAAATAAATTTTAGCTTAAAGGTCTTACTGCCAATTAGAATTGGAGAAAATATCAAAAGCTTGAAAACCACCAAACCATCTGTGCCCAGGGAAAAAAGAATGGCCATTTGTAGAAACCAGAAAGGCCAGACTGGGGCCCCAAGCTGAATTTGTCCTGAGGCTCATCACCCCTGATTTAGAGCTCTGAAGGTGAGTACCAGCCCTTTGAATTGGGCTCAGAGGTAAACTGGCAACCACTGAAGATGAAACAGTACTGGAGTCACATATTCCACCTGGTTAGGTGCCGTTAATATTTGGGCAGTGATATTTTGAAAGCATTTCTATAAAACTGTTCAAAGGTATTCCCTCTTACAGTACATGACAGCAGTCTCATCTGGACACTTGTAAGGCATGAGTTAAGTCCCTCTGCTACAGAAAAGGGCACAGCTGATATACTAGCAGCCTAAGCTAATCAAAAGTATCCCTGGGAACTATCATGATCTGGGCATCCAGGCGGAAAGCTGAAACCCAAAACATGTGATATTTTACAAACATGGCCAACAGCTATGCCTTTTAATTTATTTTACTGTGTATTATGCACAGGACCAATGATACAGAAACTAGAGCGAGGAGCAGGAAGGATTTAACACTCCTCTCTGCTGTTTGCTTGCATTTATATTGTTAGAATGATCCAAATATACTTCAGGTAGAGGAAGCCCTGTCCAGACTGGGCTTACACAGCTGAAGGTGAAGTGTTAAAGCCTCAGTTAATATTTCTCCCTGAAACAGGGTGGTTTGGTTTACTGATTCCTCAGTGTTGGCCCGTTATGCAAACTGGCTCAAGAAAAAGCTAGGCCATTTACTTACTTGTCTTAGAAGCCTAAGAGATGTGTGCTTGTTAAAAATCTTTACAGCTACTTCTTCTCCACCATAAGATGCACGGTACACAGATCCAAATCCACCATCACCTTTTCCACAAGCAAAATATTAAAAATAAATGGATTATGAGGCTTCGCAGAGTTTGACTGGATCTGTTTTCCAAACATTCTGAAAAATTATATCTCTGTGTTCTAGATACAGCTACTCCTCCATATAACATTCAAGTAGCAATCAATGCACAAGTGAACAAATTAGGGCTCAACAAATTAATCATTACATTAATATACTCAAACTTAGTATTTTATTCCTCTGTGAATGAAAAGGCTATATGTTAAAATATTATCTTCATGTTTGCATCAGGAAGTTTGCTAGCGAAAGCCTCATTCTCCCCATATATGTGTCAACCAGTGCCAATTTATTTGAAAAAATCATACATGCCAGCAACATGCGTGGCTGATGCACATAGCCGCTATTTTTTGTTACATCCGCTCACCGGCATGGTGCATGTGGCCAATGCATCATTTGCATTCTCAGTTACAAACACATTGCAATAGAGAGCACCACACTAAAACAGTCCCATGTGATTTAAGCAGGAGCACACTCAATGGCAATTTTGTGGTCATGGCAAAAATGCCAGCCAACTCAAATCAATCACGTAAGAATACAAACTGGGCTGTTAAAGACTGTAGCTACATATACACCGAGAGACTTGGAGCCATCACAGGTATCTAGCCACAGTAGATTATTATGCCATCCAACCATTGACCATTTCATCCACAGAACCTATCAGCTGTTGTAGTGGTTGTTTCACCCACAGGTGGTTGTCATTGTTACCCACTGCTTGGTCAAATCCCCTTTATAAAGTGGGTGGGATGCACTTTTGTACTTTTCCAAGCATCGGGAGTCTTGGGGAAAATGCTAACTGTCTGAGGAATGCTAACTGTCTGAGAAAGGTCAGGGCTAAAAAGAAAAAGATGATGCTCTAACCATGAAGGGGATGTAAAAATCACTCCGCCCCTTTTTTGCAAGTAAGCATTCCTCATGCCTTTGTTTTGCCTTGACAGCTTGCCTTCTGGCCTGTCAGGGGAAAGCAAAGTTGCCGCTGATGCCTTTTAACTCTTCTTGGAGTATCTCTGAGTCAATTTCAAGGGTTGACATCTGCTATAACCTGACAACATGCAACTGGACTCTCCCCAGGTGAGGTCTATTTGGAGGCGCAGAAGCATAGGTCTCTACACTTGAAGTCTGAATAGAAAATGTTTTGAAAACAAAGTAACAAAAAAGTTGTGCCCATTAGGAGTACAACATTTTTTTAAAAAAATAACAGGTTTCCAACCAGGGAGAGCTGCTCTATTGTTCCACTTGGTCACTTCAGAAGTCAGAAGCGGTCACTGGCTGTCGGAACAGGGTAAGGAGGGAGGAAGCCACAGTGCATCAAAAATGGCTTGTGATCAAAGCAAGGGAGATGGACAAGCTGATCTTGCCATGAAGGGATACTGGTGGAAGACTAAGAGGGAAAGAAGGGGAGAACAGTCCATGGAGAACCTGAACATCAGCCTGGTGCTCAGTGGACTATTTGCAAAACCAATCAACCATGGCTTATTGCAGATGGTAAGGAGCATGACATCTGACTGCCCCCCCTCCCCCAACTTGTGAATCAGGTAGATCAAAAGGTTTAATCCTATGCATAAAAGTAATGGCCACTGAATTCAATGGCGCTTGCTCCTATTGGTACAGGTATAGGATTACAGCCTTGACCATACAGACTGTTTTTGAGTGGCACACTGAATCAAGTATGCATTACTTGACTGAATAGTATTTCATTTTTTTTAATTAAACAACACAAAAAGTGGTTGCGAGGTATATATGTTCTGCTTTAATATCCTGCACTCTTCATGGAAATATTAATAAATGATTGACAATGTATTGGATTCCTTGCTTAATTTAAACAAACATAGGTCTTTGATCATGAAGGTATATGCCACAGCACATTGGTTAATGTTTAAGAAATTTGCTAAGCCATATAAAGACTCTTCTTCTTTCTAGTTTCAGGACAAAGAACAAGAAAAGTTACCTAGAAGAAATTCTGGAATTTGTTCAAACTGCAGTTCATCATTGTTCAACATGATATTTCTAGGCAAATCAGCCAGGATCAGGTCTGGAGCAATCTGAGCTATTGGAACAGTTGATCTGGGCTGATCTGGATTTACCAAGAGATCACCTGTGTGGGATAAACAAACACATAGAAGTACAATAGATTGTGACAGAATACAGCGTACCATTATTCCATTAACTCTCAGCATTTGCCAGCCAGGTGAATATAACCAATCAGACTATTACTGGGTCTTGAAAATACTAAAATATTGATGAATACAGAAGTACAGAATTTATTTGCAAGTGAAAAAGTATTTCAGGATAGCCTTGTTAAAACACTAAACATACCTTCTTCGGCTTTTTCAAGTAGATCATCAAGCAGTATTTTCTGATGTTCGTCACCATCCTCAAAACTATACAATGCCCATTTTTTCAAGAGTGTTTCTCCTTCACCACATACATCTACTTCCAGTAAGCCAGGAAACCATTCTTCCATAAGAGAATCAATGTGATCAACAACTTGCCCCAAGAGGATGCAACCTAAAAGGAGCCATGGACATGTTATCAGAATGGTGAAGTGCTACACCTACCATTATAAATATATTACAGATTTCATTTACGTAGAAAATCTGACAAAAGCCACCATCACCCAATAGGTTCTGATGAGAGGTTAACCTTTTCTGCAAGAAGGCACAGTGATTTTTAGGAAACTGTTTTGGTTATTTTCAAAAACTGCTGATTCCACCAAGCAATAGGCTTCTGGGGACCAGTTCAAATATATGCCTTGTCTCCAGTACATCCTGTTAGGGCGAAGAGCTCGTTCTACAGACAAAGAGAGAAAAAGGATTGCTTTGTAAGGTTATTTCCCTGCTATGAAGGTAAACTGGATATTTAAAAAAATATACAGTCCTCTTATCTATGCATTGCAATGATTTTAGAATACTATTGTATGAATGTGTAAAGTGTAAATGCCACAGTCACCATATTTGCAAGTAATGTAATCTTACTGCAAGTAATATAATCTTATAATACTGCCCATACCCACTGCCCCATTTAGCTGAACAGTTAAATTGTGACATACTGGGTCATCAAAATGTTAATACTAAAGCTCATCTAGAACTCATTAAGGGCATGAGCCTATGCATTTTATTTATTTATTTATTTCTACTTCTTTGCCACCCTATTACCTGAAGGTTCTCTAGGGAGCTTACAAATGCTGGAACTAGCACATAAATGCAATCAATAAAACAGATAAAAACAATAAAATTAGTAAATTGTTAAAACATTTCATATAATAAAATTACATAAAATTGTACCCAACATGACCAAATACAACCTGATAAATTAACAACCGAAAGTAAATAAATAAACAATATCAATGCTGCCAGTAGTAGGACTTCTTTCTTTCTAAGCATGCATAGGATTGGGCCTTAAATTATTCTTTTGAAGGTTGCAATCCTGTATTACTTGGAAGTAAGGTCAACTAAACTCAATGTGAGGTACTTTTGAATGGACATTACACAATTGTGCTGTAGGCAAATTGGAGTGGGCAGCTTCAGGCATTCCTTTTCTTCTCCTATGCCAAGTGTATAGAAAATTTATACCAGGATGGAGTATTTGCTCATGCAGCTCATAAGTGGATGGAGAAAAAGGTAATTTTTGTCTGCCTATTTATAGACTTAGAATATGCACAAATGCATCTGTGCATATTTGCTCAATGTAATGCTTCTGAAAATGCAAATTTTCACATCACACACACACATATAAAAAGCTTTTGTATGCCATCCTTATACAAGAGCTCAGGATGGCTTACAATATTTAAAAAGACAATTAAAACAACAATTTCAATATATACTAAAACAGAACAAAACAATAAATCACAAAACAAACAGAGCGACTAAACTTAAAAACTATTAAATTTTAAAATACTGTTTAAATAAAAAGGTTTTAGTTTGGCACTGAAAAGAGTATAAACTTGGTGGCAGGTGTATCTCTCTGGGGAGTACATTCCAGAGTCTGGGCGCCACAGCAGAGAAGGCCCTACTCCGAGGTGATGACCTTTTTACCTCTCTTAGAGAGGGTTCCCGGAGTGGGCTTCTCCCATAGATCTTAAGGGGTGTGATGGCATATAAGGAAGGAGACGTTCCTTCATGTATCCTGGTCCCATATGGGAGATATGAACATTTCTCAATACTGTTTGGTATTCCGCATATTTTTCTAATCTAATTTGTGCAAAAATATGCAAAATGAAGAACTGGTCTGCAAGTTCGACACATGCTACAAAACCTAGGAAAATGTGGAGTGGCCTCTGAGGAATCTGGGCTCGTTTGAGTCCATTGTGGATTTCTCTGGCATCCCTACTACCTTAGTACTGTTTGATCAAAGGGAGAGTCAAACACATGCTCTGCATACAGAAGGTCTCTGGACTGATCACCAGCATGGTAAAATTTGGGTCTACAATCCTGGAGAGTGACTGCCAATCAGTGTTGACAATACTGAGCTAGACTGCCAATGTTCTGATTCAGTAAAAGACAGCTTCTGAAGTGCCTGTGACTTGCAGTGGCTTTCAAGGGACATGGGCAGAAGGACTTCCCATCCCCTTTCATCTTAACCTTTTTAACTGAGTATGAAAGGACTGAATGTAGGAACTTCTGCATGTTCTCTGGTCCCTCCTTCCATGAATACACTGTAAAAATACATCACAGATAAGACAGAAAATGCAATGAATAAATTAAGTGTAAACAAAAACTTTCTGAAAAAGATCCCAAGTCAGCTATATCAGCACCTCCAAGATACTCAAGCTTCTACAGGCAGTATCACCATGGAAGGAAGAAGAGAATTATGTATTTTAGAAGAGTATACTGTAACCACCAGTAGACAAAAAATAAATGCTAGTTTGATGGCTTAACAATTTGTAAGACTGAGAGCGTGATTCTATACATGTCAATGCAGAAGAAATTCTCCTGAGTTCAGTGATGCTTGCTTCCCTAGATGCAGCTTAAGTCATGATATGAGTAATAAGGACCCTTCAAGTAATGCATTTGTTACCACACTGTTTGCAGTCAGTTTGCAAGTTGCTCTTTGGTGAAAATGAAAGGCAGGAAGGCCAAGCATTTGTAAAAGCATTAGAGAGGAGCAATAAATGGCCAATGTGAAATCATCACAATCACCCTCATTCAAATATAAAAAATAAGATTGTGTTACTATCTAGATTTTTAAGAAGTGGCCTCAGACCATCACCTAATCCAGAGACCATCAAGGGACATATTAAGCTGCATTTCTGACCTAAATTCAAACAGTGGAATTCCAACTTGCTAAAGCACTTGGTATCTTCTGTGTTCCTGAGTTCCAGCATAAAGCTTCCCCATTCTCTTCCTTCCAGCTTTTACATATTTATCCATCAGACCTATCTGCCAAATCAGGTTCCCTGAAGTAGACTGACTTGGATCAGATAACATTCTTAACGTAACAATTCAAGGATACTTGAAAGCACAGATCCCAGTGAACAAAAAAGAGTGAGACTCAAACTCCCAATTTAGTGTAACTTATAGTTTGGCCCTTCATCTTGTAGCCCTCATGCTAAATCTGGAACACCAATTAAACAGAAAAGACATAGTGACAAAGATCAGTGAACTTGCAGCAAAAACGCAATAGCAGAGCAATGCAGCATAGGGAGTAGACGATCAGTCTGCCAGTGTTTCCCCTACAGGACCCTTGAAATAGATTTAATCAGGTTTTCACTGCTCACTGGAAGAAAAGCAATGATGGAGTAAGGTGAAAATTAATGTACCTCTTCCTGAAAGCATGTAAGGAGACACTTCAAGCAACCTGTTGATTAGCCTCGACCAGAAACCCATTGGGAAATATGGCATCTCGTACAGTCTAATGATAATTTCTGAGTTTTCACAGTGAGGTAACTCTATTACAGGTCGGTGATCTGACAAGCTGGAAGGAAAAAAAAAAATTAATCCCCTGAAATTAACTTTCTGACAGCAGGAGTTGGCAGTGGCTGAAGTAGACAAAGAGAACCTCCTTTGAGCATTCCCCCATTCTGATTGATGGAGAACTCCAACCCCCTCCCCCAGGAAAGCAAGTCATGAATCACTGGAATTATACACGCTTGATATAGGTATGTTTTCAGGTGTTTGTCTACCTGCTTGGAACGAGGAGCTGATCTTCTCCTAGTGGCAGTGCAATCTGGAACTTCTCCAGAAGCTTGAAGTACTGATACATGTAAATCTTTGGAAATCTGCTTTTCTTTAGCAGGAATTTTTCTACATCAGAGCGTTTTATTATTCCCTTTGGGTACTTAGGAAAGCCTTCAGCCTTCACTGTTAAGATCTATGGGAGGAAAAGGAACTCAGTGTAATATTTCTAGCAAGTGTTTTTTTTAAAGGGTGAAGTCACACATAATGTCTTTAGAACAACAAGTATGTTCTGCAAGCACCTTCACTGTTTTCATTCCAGATCTATCGCTAATTTTCCTTTACTGGAGGAAATGACAAGCAAACTAACAAATTATCTAAACTTGCAAAGTTGGCTGTTGATGGCAGTGATGTTTTTGTTGTGAGCCGCCCCAAGGCTTTGTCGCGATGGGGGCAGCATAGAAATGTTATAAATAAATAAATAGATAGATAGATAGATAGATAGATAGATAGGCAGGCTGGTATTCATGGCATCAATAAGAAAATCTGTTCCTACACCAGGTGGAGTTTTAAACTTTCAAGTGCCTTTTAGAAAAAAATACATAAAGGACAAGCAAAAATAAAAATATTCATACAAATGCTTTAAAAATGCAAACAGTTTCCCTGAAACACAGGAGGAAGACTGTCTGCTACTAATTCATAGTTCTGCATGTCTGCCATTTCAGTTGCAAAGCTAGGCTCACCCTGCATCATAGGTCTCTTTTCATTCTTAGTTGGGTAGGCTGAGATAGTTAACCAGGCCACATCTGTTATTGGTTACAGCTCACAGAATGCAGCCTGGCATAGGCCAAGGATCTGTTCATTGGGCAGCCTGACTGCTGATGGATTCACCATCACAACCTGCATTTTGGGATAACAAAGACAATAGCAGAGTAGCAGGAATAATTGGCCCCACTGTGGCATAAACCAGGAATGCAGAACTTCTTGTCGCTTGGTAGCTGAATTTGGCCATCCAAGTTTTCCCAGATGGATTCCTTTTTCTGGCCCACCTGTTCCCCCAACCACCAATCATGTAATTGTTTCCCAGCTTCGTGCAATGTTTGTTCCCATTTCAAAAGGCTGAAATGCCTCTCCTAAACTTTAGTCACTTTCAGTAAGAACTTTAAGATTCAATATGTTAACATTTTTGGTCCCATTTCCTGTCCCATTTCCTTTTGGCCTTGTCCCATTTTATCTTCAGACCCACTCACTAAGGGAACATGGCCCCTGAAAATTTCTCCATAGTGGAAGTTGAATGTTGTGTTAAAAGAAGCTCTAATCTAAACTGATGGGGTGGGGTCTGCCTGAAAAGTGGGTATGTAACAGACATGCAAGTCCCAAGCTGATTTGGGTTCTTGGCATAACACCCTAAGAACCTCAGAAGGGATTTCTGTTAAGGAAATCCCACTCCCACTAGATACCTGGCCCAATGCCTCCACAAAAGCTGTGACAGAAATAAAACAATGCCATTAAGAAACAATGTTTACCTTACATATTTTGTTGCTGTGAAGAAGGTTAAAAAAAAAGCCAGAGACAGACATGAAATTCCTTCCCAGTCTTGTCAGCCAGAGACTAATTTGAAAAGTAAACAGCATGAAGGCCAGGGAGGGTAACTTGGGAAGCTTGGCAATGGTACTGCTGAAGCCGCAGGTTAGGCCCTCTGCACGGCCCAGGGAGTAGACCAGAGGGAAAGGGCTCCCAAAGACCTGCCCACAGCAGCCCAGCTGAGTGACTTCCAGTGTGGGGTGCAAGACACAATGCAGCTGAGCAGCAATCAGGAGAATCAGCCACTGGTTCTGCCCACATGAAGAAGCAGGTCGCTTCCTCCCTGCACACCCTATGTAACTGCCAGAAACAGGGGAATCTGGTAAGTATGAGAGATTTCTGTATTTTCTTCAACTGATCTTCATTAGCCTGCGATCTCTTGAAAAACATACAATGTGAAATGGTAGCCTGGTTATACCATGTGCAGCAAAGTACCTTTGCATGGTATATGTCCGGTACAGCCAGGAACCTTCTTCATGCAAGCCTGGTGTTGAGCCACAGCATGCTTGGGCCATGCCACATTCTGGAATGGCTCACTGTCACGACCAGGCTGCACTTCACGCAGCAACTGGGAGCGGAGGAGAAAGGCCCGGCCCAGCAAGGATGACCAGGAGCAACTTCAGGCCTGTAATGCATGCCGGAATTTGCTGGCACAGCCCCCTTGGTGACAACGGGAGTGGTGCAGTCAGGATGGTGGCACTGGCAAGTTCAGCCATGCAGGCCCAGTGCTGCTCCTGGCCACTGCTGTGCTTCGGCAGCCTCCCTCTCTACTATTTCACTTTTTCTCTTTCTAGGTGATCACCATTTCTACAGTCATTTTAAAAAATTAATAGGTTTTATGGCAGTTTGTCTGTAAGTATGGGTTGTACTTGTAACTCAGGGACTGCCTGTATATGTAAGGTGCCATGATGATGTCAATTCCTTCTTTTCCCAGGCTCAACCCCAATGAAAAGCTGTTAAGAAAAGTGAGCCAGAAGACATGTGAAGTTAGTGCTTCCAAACAGTGAAAATAAGTTTAGGTTAAGAACAGAATGAAGAAAAAAGGTGCAACAGAAAGGTCCATATTCTGGACAACACATGAACTGACCTGTGCCATGATTTTACACAGCCATTTTGGGTCAACAAAATATAAATCTCTTAGCTGAAGTGCTGGATCTTGAAAATGGAGCAGAACACCTGGGTGGATAGTACTGCAATTAATATATATAAATACATTTTGTATCTACACAAAATAGCATGGCTTGGTTAAAATGTGACAATGTCTTTTGCTCAGTATAGGATAGGAAGTGGCTGCCAGGTAAGACAGAGGTGTGCTCTATATCCAAAGATACAAAACAACTCATTTGAACCCTCAGCTTTTGGAACTAACAGAAACTTATTTTACTGCAATCCCAGTTGCTAGCAAGAAAATGTGGTGGTGATGGTGATGATGATACAAATTGGTAGAGGAGGGAAATATGGCAGGTTCCAAGAAAATTTCTCAAGAATCCATTAATTTTGATGCACCAATTGCCTAGACCTGGCAAAGCGCTGACACATGCAATTCAAATGCAATGCCAATAGTGCATGCTGAAGTGATGGGCTTTTTCAGGAAACTTGGTCACTCCAGCATGTGCTACTGGCATAATGCTAAAGGTCTCTTATACTAGTGCCATGCCTATTGCCCATTATTTCCATAAAATTGTTTTTACTTGGTATATTTTAGTTGTTTTATGGTCTTATTTCCCCACATTATAAAGTTTGCATTACTTTGAAATATGTTTTAATTTTAGAAGCCCACTCACTCAGCAACAGTCTATTATCTTAGCAGGGAAATGCAGTGGTTTTATTTACCTAGGGGTTAAATTGAACATATTTTGAATAACCCCACAATTTATAAAATTATATTTGTTATCCCAGAGTGATGAGTCATATCGTTCTTCTTATGATCACTGGTTTTAATTAGGATTTCAGTTTATTGCTCTGTTCTGTACTTTGTGTTTTAGTTTTGCTTCTAATGTGTGCTGGCTGGTAGGCTGACTCTTAATTTGCCAAAATGAGTGGAAGTATCTTACTTATGGTCACTATCCAGAGTCCTTTACCTAAGAGAAAGGTGTGCAGAAGGTAGATCTCTAGATGTTTTGGACTTCATCTCTCAGCATTCCTGACCATTGTCCACGCTGGCAGAAGCTTCTGCAATCTCACTTCCAACATAGCTAGAGATCTCCCTTCTGCCTTACAAAGCGTATTTGTCTCCAAGAGAAGGAAATGGACACAATGGTTCATGGTAGAATCTAGAGAAGCTCCATACATTTCAGGCAATGATGAAGAAAAGAGCACATCTAAGAGTTTAATTGTTTAATGGGACTCAGCTGTGCTTATCTGCTAGTTTAGCATAGAGGCACAATCTCTTGGAAAAGTACTACCCACTACAGGTAAGCATAGAGTTCCCATCAGAGCTCTACTAATAGGATGCTCCTTCGGAGGAAGCAGGGAGGTGATTTCTATTGATTCTTCCTTCCTCTACACTCCACTGGGTGACAAGAAATTGTTGGCAAATAAATAAGACGGCTGGTGGAAAAGAAATGAAGAGACACCAAGTAGGCTGCCAAAGAAGGCAAGTGCCATCGCCCATGAAGCCCCTTTTAGCAGGGCTGTATGCATTTTCAGGGAACTTGGTAGCAGTCACTTGTAAAATCCCCACCCACTTCTGTGTTTATGCTGCTGACTGGCACATAAACATTTAACAAAAGTGCTTATTAGTATACTCTGTATTTCTGCCCTCATGCTGTGGTGTGCAAGACTATTTGAGGACAATCCTTTATAGCTTGGATCCATATGCATTAACAAATTTGACTTCACAATAAAAGTCTCTTATCCTCTCCCTATGGTAACTCCTCAGTCTCTGCAGAATTAGGTTTTCTGGAATGCTCAAATATCCAGTAGATTTTGTGACCACCTCCACAATCACAACAGCACAAATACCTAACCCAGTCCCAGGAGCTAAATTAGGCCTGCCTGGGATCCCAATGCAGTCCTAACCTCTTTCCTCAAACCACTGATAATTTGGTCATTTTCTGGATGTTAATACAGTTCTCCCTCATTCTAAAAGGTTGACATAGCTCTCCTTATGATTCATCACTGGCAGTAAGGGCTTTGACCTAAGCTATGCTGGCATTTTCAGCCCTGCCACTTTTACCCTTGGCCTACTCACCACTAACAGGCTGCTCCATGTAACCACTGAGCATTGTAGGCCAAGAACCACATTAAGTGAAATAGTGCTTTACCTGATTCATTCAGAAAGTGAATAGCATGGGGAAGCTCATTTTCATCCAAGTGCAAGTTGCTTTCTTGCACCAATTTCAACAACCGTTTCTGGTCGATCACAGGAAATTCAGTTGGAACGTTGGTGCGCTCCTCCAAAATTCTCTTCTCAAGTTCCAAATAGCTGTCTGGAATTAACTGCCCAACCACTGGCTGGTCTCTGATCTGTAGAACAAATGTATTTTGTTCAGGTATTTTAATGAACGCCTCAGAGATGGGTCAGACTTTTTCAGCTTGGCTTGGAATATATCTATATCTATATATCTATCTATATATATATATATATATATATATATATAACATTTTTATGCCGCCCCCATCACAATGAAGCCTCGGGGCGGCTCAATATACAGTGATTCCCCAGTAGCTGGGTTCAAACTGGTCCCAGTTCCAAATTCTATTCAACTCTATTACATCCTCAGTGTTACTGGGAGTGCAACAGGATATAATTCTTCACCTTCCATCCCCATGATGTCACTCTCAGACTCATTGCTATCAATCTCCATCCATTTACCTTTGTGCCAGCAGCAGACTAAGGGATGCCCTCTATCTGACCCCACTCCCTAATCACCAGTGCTACTAAAGCTGTGAGCCTGGCACCAGGAATGCTAACCAAGGTGTCAGCAGGGCAGGCTTGCAGGCAAAGCAGCTGGCCTGAAGGGAAGGGAGAGAGACTTTCCTCCTAGCACCGTAACCTACTATGAAGCTTGACATCTGACCTGGAAAAGAAATTTCAGGGTTGCAAAAGTCATCCCACATTCATTCATTCCAGAGAATGTCTATAGTGCTTTTCTTTAAAATAATAATGATGGTGATTCCAAAGTGATTCTCAGGATAAAAACAATGTGATAAAACGCTATGAAACTGATAAATAAAACAGTGGTAAAATAATGAAAACTCATTAAAACAGTAAGGAGTAGCTGGCAGTGCTAGCAGCCAGGAAATTAAAATTTAAATTACTGAGGGAGGTGGAAATAGAGTCAGGAGATGTTTTGGCAAACTGTGTCTTGGTTACTGGTGAGAGCACTTCGCTCTAGAGACCCCAGCGCACAGTGGGCATATTACTCCACGTGGTGGGTGCCACAGTAGAGAAACAGATTGGAGGCAAATAATATGTGGGTTGGATTTTTCAATCTGGAAATATGAAATTGGGCGAATTACTCAACAATTTATAGAACTGCCAAATAGTGATTAAATCTAATAAGCAGGCTGTGGGAGTGTGCCTTGCTGCAGCTTTCATGTCCCTTCCTGTCTTCAGCCATTATTCCTGAACTAGCCATCACTTTTGTGCAATCATGAATATGAACCCTGACCAATGAGTGGGCACTGGATGGGGAGGAATATAGACAATTGGACAAATGAAATGGGTAAGGAAGAATGCACACCCTTCGCCCATTCCTGCTCCCTTAACCTTGGTTAAGGTTTACAGCTGCACTGATGGTCACATTCATGCAAGCAAAAGGTTACTAAACGCTTAAGTCTGCACCAGTTCTTTAAGAGATGAAAAGAAAGGAATTCTGAAGCATCTTTTTCTGTTCAAACTAGTCCACCATCCTAAGCCCAGACCATGCATGTTATCTTTCAAGCGTCATAGAATCCACTGGAACAAGCAGCTTTAGAAACCACTTTTAATAACATGCTTTTATTATCTTATATTTACTTAGACCATTGGACTTACATTTAATTCTGTTTATTTCACTTATTTCACCTGTCCCTAATATCTAATTGTGCTGGAGTAATCTTTAAGGCATAACAATGCAGCTTCCCACAATGTCATGGACTTAAACAAGAGCTATCTGGATTCTAAGTGTCACACACAGAGGAAATCAATCTCACTGGGAAATCCCAGTAACAGCTACATCTTAACAGGAAACCAGAGAAAATTTAAATCATGCAAATTTAACCATCTTATATATCTGCATGATTTATTTTACTGATTTGTTAGACTACCCATGTGACACAATACTAATATTAGATGCCTCTCTTCTCACACATTCCTTTCCTAAGATGCCTTGGATCACATTTCTCATCAACCTTTACCTGTAAAATGACAATTTATGAACCACCTTTTGTTGCAAGGAAATGAGATGAGGATTTTATGGTAAACTGCTTTTGCACATTGAAAAGAACAACACATTCATATGGAGGACCCTGAAGAATTCACACTGAAATTGTGTGGTAACTATGATTGATAACACCATAAAGGTTTGATAACAAACACAAATCCTTTAGAGAATGAAGTACTAAATCAATCAGTTAAAAACTTTCCTAAGTGAGTATACATTTTTCTAAAAAGTTACACAGCTTACTTTGAAATTCAGGCTCTCCTTAATAATGGTTTTTCGAAGTTCGGCCATAGCATCAGATTCTTCTGTAGCATTCACAAAATGACAGTCTCGGATTGCTGGAAAGCCCCTCTGATTCATCAGTTCATTGGCAATTTTACTGATGCAAGCTTTGCGCTGTTTTTCACTAGAGATATCCACATGAGTACCAATGAGGATCACAGGTGATGATGATGCTCTGGCCTGCAAAGCATGATTGATGACAGTGCTTGGATTAGAACACTTATCCAATATCTGACATGCATATATTGGGTGGTTTTCCTGTCTTGGACCACCTTGGTGCTCATTTTACACAACCCCTCCTGCAGTGGGTTCTCAGCAGTGACTGTTAGTATGTGAAAAGCATCTCAGCTATTTAAGCCAAAGGCTTTCAGATGCCTTGGTCTCAAGGCTTGATTCCATCACCAGCCAAGGAATCCTTAAGAGGTCACTACTGAATCCTTGTCCATTATGGAGAATTCTTGGGTGCATTCTCCCTTCCTAGTAGAGGTTGGGTAAGTGTCGGGTAAGTATGGAAATGCTGGCCTTCCAGATGTTCTTAGACTCAAATTCCCATAAACCCCATCCAGCATGATCCATGGTCAGAGACAATGAAAAGTGGCCCAACATCTGGAAGGCCGCAGGACACTCATACTTAGAATGAGACTAGCACTTCCCTTATCTTTGCAAAATTCAAAGGAAGATTAGAAATTGTGGACCAGGTTTTCAAGGTCCCTTGACTAGACACCCTAAAAGGGTCCCTTCCTCACTGGGTCTATTTTCTCACCACTGTTACCACCAGTGGTGCTCATTCTCCTTTTTCTCATCAATGTTAGCATTTGCTTGACACACAGAGGGTTAATAAGTAAATAGGCCATGGTATCTACTGCTTCTACTCAGCAACACCATTGTCTGGGCCAGAGCAAGCACAAGGGGAAGAGACATCTTACAATGATCAAGAGAAGAAGCAACTCCTCTTTCTAGGAAACTCTCAGCAGGTGTTTAACCATGCCCACCTTGATGCTGGTCCATTTTTAATGTCACGGTCCTTCAGATACTTGAAGACTACTGTAATTTTTGCCCTTAAATTGCCTCTTCTTAGGCTAAACATACCCTGTACTTTCATTATGGAACTTAGAATAAGCTTCTGGGCAAGGCTGAAAGACACATCTATGAAAGCACGCTTAAGTGCTCAAGTTTTCCCCGCTGGCCCACATTTTCAATCTTCCTCCATTTTCCCTAAGAAGTGATTGTTGAAAAGAAGTTCCCAAATCTTGGGAGAAGTTATTGTGTATAGTATTCAGCATTTCCTTGGTGACCCTCTGTTGTTTGAGTCAAATACTCAGAAGCTGTAGAGACAGAACAGGAATCAGAGACAAGTGTAAAGGTGCAAGAGCACACATACTGGCATTGACGTCAACTTTCTGTGCATGCCAGCTGCATCTCTCTATCTCTGACCATCCAGCACCGATTCAATCATTCTGGAGGAAGCTTCTGTGTGAGTTCATGGCAAAGCTTTGATTCATGGAAGATTCTAGTTGTGCTCATACAAACATGCAGAGAGCCCCTATCTGACCTTCCTGCTCAACAAAAGATTTCTAGGGATACCAAATATCCATGACTGGCATGGCTCTATGACCCTTACATACACTGCTGTTTTGTATCCAGGTATAATACCTGGACAGGGCTAAAAGTGAGATAGTGACACAAGGATGGTCTTGGAACCAACCTGAAAGAGCCAAGGCCACTGGAAAAAAAATCAGAAGACCTTTGCACTATGTTCATAAACATTACATAAGATCACAGACTGAGACACAAACTCCGTGCAACACGAGCCTTTCAAGATTTATATACCTTGATATTAAACAGCCATGGCTTCATAGCATCCACTTCAGTCTCTCCTTTGCTAAGGTCATAGACAGCAAGGTACAGAGCTCTCTGGGTCATGAAGTGGGGGTGAGAGCAGTGGAATTCCTCCTGTCCTGAATAATAACAGTATGTTTTCATTATACACTTGTTTTATTTTTCTCTGGGCCAGTTCATGTGACATGACAAGCCATCATGGGTCAGTTAATCCATGGGGAGGCTGCAGTGCCTGCAGGATGCATGCTGCCACCTTTTTGCCTATCCCACCCTGGGAATGTGTTGCGGTATGAACCAAGAGTCGTTTGAGAGTTAGAAAAATTTCACACAACCTCAGAACAGACCATGGGTTATGCAAGGCTTGTGTAACCCTCACATAACCTACACTGGCTCACAAGACATGACAATTCCTGAGTGGGAGGTAGAGCTGGATATCCAAAACAATGACTGTGGATGTTACAGCTCATCATGGGTTAAATAATGCATGAGGAACCATGCTGTGTCATACAAACCTGGCCCTTCTACCTTTTGGGTCACTGAAAACTGTTATTCATTATCAGACATTTTTCTACTGTTTAATTTCACAAAAATAGTTAAGATCATTTTAGGCCGGGTATGGACAATTAATGGGTTTCTAGATGCTTTGGCTACAAACCCGATGAATGCTAGCTAGGCTGCCTCAGGCTGGTGAGAGCTGAAGCCAAAATATGAGGAGGGCCACAACGTGTCCACCCGTTTTAGACTGACAAAAAAAGGCAGCACCACAGAGCAGAACACTGTTCACCACAGTATTTCCTCTCACAGATGCACATGCTGGGAGAGCTCAGATAAAGCAGAAGAGAGTTCAGCCCTGAAACTTTTGACGGGTGTTTAGAAAAATAACCTGATCTGCGCTTTTATGCACATGTTTTCAAGCTCCAGTGAAGGGCTCCTGTTTCCTTTTCCTTTGCAGCGCTTACCTCTGCTGAAGAAGTTCATTTTAATACTGCAAAGTGCCTTGTATGTTTAGCAGCATTGTCAACTAATGGAAAAAGGGAAAATGAGGGTTTGGCCTTAGGTAATTGTTCTCTCATGTGCACACAGACACTCTTTGGAATCTGACAATTATCTTTATATCTAGGTCAGCAATTTATTATCCATTACTGCTAACCCAGTTTTAATACCTCACCTACCAAGCCTGCCAAGCGCTATTCATTATATTTGTTGAATGAGCTCTTGCATTTTTCATATTTCCAAATGCTCCCATGTGATAGTTTGGGTCACCAAAAGTCTACTAATGATCCTTTGGATGAACTGCTGCAAATTGGTTTGGACAAGGTACTGAGTGTGCAGTGTAGGAACGGGCAATGCATTACTAGTAGGATGCATGTGCTCCTTGCCACTCACTGTCACTTCACTGAATTCAGGGTTCTTGAAACAAATCTTTTAAAAAAGTGAGCGTGGAGAATGACATCCATAGCTGTTATGGAGCACCAAAGGGGTTACATCTAGCTTGCAAATGAGCTAAATTTGATCCATAGCAGTTACAGAAGTTATTTTTCCTTTAAAAGTTGTATTGTGAGGGTGCCTATAGACTGCAGCCCATCAGCCCCAGACTTTCTGAAATTGCCCACCCCAGTGTAGTGTCTTTGCTTGCTAACCACAGGACTCACTTTCCAGTCTCCTGGCTTGCTCAGGGCCTGGACCACATGGGCCCAGACCACACAATACTACTGAGGAAATGACAGAGCAGTTTTGGCTTACCTTTACTGGATCTTAAAAACAGGATGTGCAGTGGGATTGGCAAAAGGGAGAAGCATAGCAGATCTCAAACCAGTTGTGACCCTGCATATGTGAATGGCCATAAGAACACAAAGATCTTTCAGTTTGACTCTATATGAAACATCAATATGAGGAAATACCTGCAAAGTCCCAGACATTTAATACTAGTTCTTTCTTTACTTTGCCCTTCACAGGAATCCTCCAGTCATTCACATCAATTCCAACTGTAGCATTCTGAATTCCCAAGTCAGGTCGCTTGCATCTCATTAGCTGTTGCAGCAGTGTAGTTTTACCACTGCCACTGTTTCCCACAATCATGAGTTTCATCCGGTTATAAGGGACAGCCTTCTTTAAACGTTGTTGAAGAAACCTGGGATATGGAAAATGAACATTAAGAAAAACACCCCTTTATAGATAGTGTTTGTTTCAGAATTTAGTGTGCAATTGTTCCACTTCAAACACAGACTTTTATAAGGGCTTCCACCTGGTCATACACTTCCATCACCACTGCCCTCTGGCATGGCTGGAAGGAGTAGTTAGAAGTTTCTGTCTGAGTCCAGCCAGAATTTAGCATATCTATCCAAACACAGATGAAACCTTGGCTTGTTTCAACTATGCATCGTTAGGACTAACCACTGCTGATTTCATTTCATCCGTATAACATCCAACAGCCAAAGCTGATCTAGGTTTGAACATAATACTAAGTTCTGGTTAGCCTGAGGAAGAAGTGAAAGTTTCTGGACATCCCCTGTGTGCCATGCCTGAGGAAAAGAGGGGATTGCTTGAGCCCAAGGATCACCTAGGCTTGTTCTATTGTTACATGTGAATATGGACAAAGAAACTCATTCTGAAAGTTAAATATCTTGTGAACAAGCGCTGCAAAAAATAAAAATGACAACAAAGCAACGCTTCAATTCTTTATTAGTAATACCTGTCTAGTTTCATATAAGGAAACAGATATGAGGAAGCTGACTGTCTTTTGGCTTGTAAGGAGAATCCAGTCCTATCTTTTTTAAACAGTCCAGCATATTTCACTCACTCACAAAATGAGAGAGAAAGAGAAATTAGACAGGAAACTTACCTTATAATATCCTTGGCTTTGCATCCCACATGTTTGAAGTCCAAGTTAAGATGCAGCCCTTCCAAAGGAAGGTCCCAGATTTTGGAGAGCTTTCCCATTTCATCGGGAAAGCATCTTAAATCTGAATTGTAACTTACATCAAAAGATGTCAAGTTATCAAGGAAGCCAATCTGAGGAGGAATCTTGAGAGAGAAAACAGCAGAGTATTAGTAAAATGATTTTTTCTTGCAATCGTATAATACGTGTAAATTCAAGAATATAATCTAAGTAGCTAATGGGAACAAATATATATATTTATATATATTTTAGTCTCATTTTCATATGTCAATTATTAGTTATTTTACCATTTTCAGGATTATATTCTTTAAAATGGTGCACCAATTTACAAAGTAATCACTACATTATTCCTGTGAATAAATTACAATTTGGAACAGCTAAATAATTTAAAATAATTTAAAAGACATCATCTCTCCCTTCCACCTGTAGCAATACATGTTTCCATGAATGTGCCAGTGTACTTGTTTTTATGCTTGATCCTTGACATTATGCTACCCTTGAAGAGATGTTTAAATGGTGTCCAAATTCCCCTCCAATACCACCCTGGAAATCCTGGGCTTTGTGATTACCTCCTAGCTATCTCTCTAAAATGATCTACAGATCCAGAAGAAATATGGATCTATAAACCTGGATTTCTTCTGGATCTATCTGCAGTCCCAGAAGAAAAAGATCTACAGGTTCAAAAGACACCCTCACGTACTCACACAGCCCCCTCCCTCAGGAATACTAAAAGTGGCAAATGATCCATCCACGGTTGGCAAAGCCTCTTCAGTCCCCTCCTCTCCATTTGGCGGCATGCTAAGCTTAAGTGTAGTCTTTTATAACCTTTGTCCATGACTTGGCTAGCCAGCTGACCCCCTCCTGATGTCTCCAGGACACCCACTCCTTCAGCTCTGGCCTCTCGGTTCCACAGTGTGCAACTTCCATTCATCATATGCTGCTGCGCTCTTTAACGGTGATAAAGGTTCCTTTGCCTGTGAGCTAAGCCTTCTCTGCCTGCTAGCATTGTTGGCTGCCCTTCTCTCTTCCTCCGCAGCACATGCTTCTGCATCAAGGCAGTTCTGAGAGAGGAGCATCTTTCCCATCTGCTTCTGTGGCATGATGCTCCAGCTTGTGCGGGGTGGCTTTAGGTTTATAGGATCTTCTTTTATTTTGTTCCTAGAACCCCCAAATTCATCAACTGGAGCCTTAAAATTCATCTAAGGCATACACTTAGAATGGAAAATTTATAAAGCCAGGAATTTGTTTTGAATATCAGAATGGAGCAGAGCTTACAGTCCTTCAATGCAAAAATCATGTTCAGGTTGTTCAGAGTTCTGCATATCAGCAGGGTGAACATAAAGGGTGTCATTCCATTGCTTTGTTGCAGTTGTTAGAGCCTTGGGAGTCAGAAATCCATGTGAATCTACTGCAACTCACCCAGATATCTACAGATAGATCCAGATCTGCCTTCTGCTAGCCCTGCTCTAACTTGCTCAACTGTAAGGTCACCCAAGGCCTCAGGCATAAAAGAAACTGGTACTGGAAGACTTAAATAATTTTGCAAAGAAAACATTGGAAACATCCTGGCCCTACAAACAGTATTTTAATGACTGAACTGTGCTGAATACAGCCATCACTGGATCAATAGTTAGGCATATATGTTACCTCTATTAGCTTATTGTTGGATAGGTGTAGCTTTTCAAGCCGAGACCATGAGAAAGCTTTTTCATTCAAGTCTAGAAAGCTTATCTTATTATGATTAAAAAGTAATTCTCTTAAATTAGAGGATTTCCAGTGTATGGGCCCAGGTAGAATTTTAATTTTATTGTTGCTGAAATCCACTGAGCGCAAACTAAAAGAAATATTTAAAAAGAGAAATGTGAGTATAATTGCTTTTAAGTAATGCAAAATTAAACAATTAGAATGTAAAAATAAAAAATCACATCACATGGAACAAATGTCTGAGATGATTCAGTGTAATTCTAAAGAGAATGACTTTTGAAAAATGTATAAAAGAGAAAGTGAGAAGAGAGAAGCAACTGTCAAGAAGTTGCCAGATTCTGCAAATTCAGATTCAAAAAGAAAAAAAAGGATGGAATAGCAAACCCATAGTATAGGGTTAGGGTTGGGGGTTATTTAAAATAAATTTGGCCTGTCTTCTAAGTTAAATGAGCATATTGGCCAGTAGATGCCTATTTATTTCAGCTTCTGTACAAACAAGGAATGCTTGGCTAAAGTGATTATTTGGGTCTTGATCAGATGACTAGATTGATGACAGATGCATGGTATGGGGTCCACATTACATCTCTCCCAAAAGATCTGCACTGGGTACCAACTGCTTTCCAGTTGCAATTGTTGTTGATCTTAACCTCCGAAGCCCCAAATGACTTAGGACCTGCCCAAGTACAAAGATCTGCAAAACAGGTTCTGGTGAAGGTACTGCTACCCAAAGAGGTGCATTTGTGAGGCACACATGAAAGGGACTTCTCCCAAGTCACCTCCAAACTATGCAGTGCACCTCCTCAAATTACACTTGTCCCCCACTCTCCTGACTTTAGAAAGGGAGGAAAGGGTGTATCTTTTAAGCTTAGCACTTTAAAATTTATATATTTAAAATTTTAATTATTTGTAATGTTCTCATTCTTATTGTTTCAAATTGAGGTATAGGGCCAAAATAGCTTTTTAGCAGATAAGGGGGGGGGGAATATACAAGGGGCCAAGATTGGACTGACAAAGAAGAAATCCCTTTCCTGTGTGCCTGACAGGTGGCCCTCTGTGGGTAATGTAGTCCTTGCCAGAGCCCTTCTTGTAGATTTTTGTATTCGGGCAAGTTCAAGTGACACTGCTTTGGTCATGCACAAATCAATTAGGAAAGCTTTACTTTGCAAAACAGCCAGCAACATAGCTTCAGAGAAAAAATGGCAATTCAATAGATTAAATATATGTCACTTTTGGATAATCATCAGGAGCATTTCCAAAGTCTGGGGCAGTGGTGGGCAAGACACAGCCCATGAGCCCAGTACCCTTTCTGTGTGCATCTCCCATCTACTACTGCTGCTGAATTTGCCACAAACAGTGCTTGAAAACAAGGTACACAAGGGCCACACATCCTGTTTGGAAGCAGAATGGCACTCCTCAGAAGTTTCTGGGAGCATGATCCTGCCTCTAAACAAGGCACGCTCCCTATGCACTTACAAATTTCAGCAGCATATGTAGCAGTGGGTGAGGGTTAGGTGGGGGCGATGTAGAATGTGTCTTTTCAACCCTCAGAGGTGGATCTATGGAGTCCAGGTGGGTGATGCACAGACAGAAGCCAGAAGACCAAGGAACAGAGCTTGGTTGGTTGGTTGGTTGGTTGATTACATTTGTATACCGTCCCTTAGCCTGCAGGGCTTTCTGGGTGGCAAACAAGTACTGGACAAATTTAAAACATATAACGGTAAAATGAATGATAACAAATCGGCTGACATACTAAAAAGGATTTTCTTTTAAGGAAACTGAAAGAAGAAAACTTCAACAAAGGATGAGAGAGAAGGAAAAAAATACAGATGGGACCTGTAACGAAATGTTGCAATTTGAAATGCTGCTGTTCAAGATTCCAGATACACTATTCCCTTCCCCATGACAACTTTTTTCAGGTTCTAAGCCCATTCATCTGGGTGTTTCATGGGTCCTCCCCTCACTATAGACTTAGGCCTTGCTTGTTGGTTTTTGGGAACATTTTTTAATTAGAAACAAAATGAACCCTTAGAATATCATTTGTATTCTAAACATTTGTCTTTCCAAACAATGAATGTAGTCAATTTAGATTCCCAACAACAAGAAGTTTCACAGAAAATTATTATGAAGACTTGGCAAGAGTATCAGGTGTAGTTTTGGCTTATTGGCAGTTTTGGCAACACTTCTAGTATAGAAATACAATAGCAACTTACTGCGGAAGAAGTAGAATTGATTCTGGAACACAGGAAAAATTATTCTGAGATAATTTTAATGTTGTTATGTTGGATGGCAAGTCATGTATGGAATCTAAAAATATAAAAGGGAAATGTGATTACTTTAATAGTTTGCAAAAATTACTAAGGCAGACAATGTAACTATGGAAGTTAACAAATATGCATCTTCTTATAGCAGAGGCATTTTCAAGATAGATAAAATGTGATAATGGAGCAACTATTATATAGAAGTTCCTGTGTAATGGATTTGGAGGGTGGGAAATAACCATGCACCATTATTATGGTTTATATTCTAGGAAGTACACATCCTAAGCACCTTCCCTTTGACAATTTAACAGTCAATCCCTCTTAAGTCAGTTTCACCTGGCTTTGAAAACGGCTAGGGAAGCAGTGTACTCACTTTAATTTTCTGTTGGCAGAACACTCCAGGATTGCAGTAGCACAGTGGAGGATGGTAGATAGATGAATGCAAATGGTACAGGTAGAAAAAGAGGAGCTGCATCACTTATCAGGGATATGATAGTTAATCCCAGGTATTTGCAGCTTTTCACTCCAAACCAGGGAGTGACCAGGGAAACAATCTCTTTTCCAGCAACAACAGAAGGAGGCTTGAGGGCACAGAAAAGGAAATCTCCAAGCAGAAGGGACTCATTAAAAGGGGAGATGTCTAGATCATATGCCAAGGAATTACAAGAAGTAAATTCACCTGGAAAAGCCACATGGATAGGTCAGTCCTATGACCTCTAGACGGCCCTTAGCAGGCCATGGGATTTTTCAGAAATTGAGCTGTAAGGTCAGAAAGCAGCTTAGATCTCAGAGCTGGGAATTCATGTCTGGAGTGCTCTCCTCACACCTTGCAGCCAGCTCAGAAAGAACTGTGTCAGCTGTGAAGTTGTAAGAGCCTCACTGAGGGGAGGTGGCACCTCATTCTCCCTTCCACCCCCTTGGAAGTACTGCAGTTTCAACAGCTGAAATCAGCCATTCAGCTGCTCTGCAGAGCCAGGGGAGAAGAAGGTGACTTTTTCCCCCTCCTTCCACCTCACACAGGATGCCTCTAATCCTTCAAGTTCAAGAGGTTATTGGCAGCCCCAGAGGTTTGTGCTTTGAGAAAGAATGTGTGTGTGGGAGGGTGCACTCAAATGACACCTTCAGTCATAAACTAAAGAAGTAGCTTTCTGCACGTCATTCCCCATCTAGAATGTGATAACAGTAGGGCCACTTCTAACAAAGCATTTTATACTCTGGATATGTGGACACAAAAGTCCTGTGTATTGCATTAGTAATTAATATTTTCATTCATATCCTCCAAAATCATCATTTTTTCTTTTAACAAGAAATCACAGGATTTGTCTCTTTGTTATATAAATTTATATACCACTTTCCATGAAGATATCAAAGTAGTGAACATACAGTGTTAAGGTTACTAAAACCATACCCATAAAACACAACAAAATGAAAGAATAACTAATTGTTACTAATTAGCAAGAAAACCATACATTCCACTTTCTAGCTTGTTATAGATATTATTAAAGCTTTTTATTTATTTTTCATGCTAATTTTGTTATTTAATATATAATGCAGCTGCTTTATAATATTTCCAACAGAGCTGATACCCAGTGGCAGGGAGGTACAGAATACACTAGTGCATACTCACCAAGTAAATTCATCCCAGCATTGAGTATTTCCAGTTTCAAACACTCTTTTAAAAAATTCTCACCAAGTGAGGTTATAGCATTCTTACTAATGTTAAGAACTTTCAGTTCTTTTAGACATATAGGTGACATTATACCCGAGAGTTTGTTACTAAGAGGGAAAAAAACACAAGTGTTACAATTAGAATGAACAAATATATATTTGCAAAATGGAAAGATGGCAGATGCTAGCAGCCAATGCTTGGGCTGGTAAATGCTGTGATGCACATTTTTCCAAACCTGCCAGTTAATTACACAATTAGTGCCCACAGGATATTCCTCTCATATGATAACTGAAGTGAAATGGAAAGGAGACCCAGGCAGGCAGGCAGGCAGGCCCTAACTGTGGACACTAGAGCAAGGCACCAAACTTCAAATGTATAATAGAAATTTTCAAGACTGAGAAAATAAGTAAGAGGATTCTATTTCACTGTTGAAATCAATTTTCCAAACAGGAAATAAGAATGTGATATTTTGGCCCATGACTCAATCTCAGGCACTGGTGAGAGAGAACAGGCAGCTGCAAGTAGGTGTAAAGTGAATGAGGATGGAGGGAAAGCAGCAATGACTATATAGAATTGGTGCAGTGCAGCATCTTATTGGTTGTTTATTCCAAGACTGCCACATGTAAAAGTTATCCATTAACAGTCAAACCTGCAAATTCAAGGACACACCGCTACCTACATTCAACTATACAACTCAAAGCAAGTTTATTCAGGAGAAAAAATCACTGAATCCAACAATGTTGACTCCTGATAAAGCATTTGGAGTTTAAATTTCAGAATGCATTTAGTAGTCAGGCTTATACTTGCTGAACACTGAGATCATACAAAGCTGATGTTTCTGTTTTGGTTTCAGTTGATTATTTCAAATTGTAAGGGAGTCAATCAGCTAAGCCTCTTTCTTAAAAAAACAAGTCATGAAAGAAATCAGTACCAGTTGGACAGACATACAGTTCCCACATTTCCTGCAAACAAGGCTGCACTATTACAAGTGCTGGAGCATAAATGACCAACATATTCCTGTCCTGTCTCCTGCAGTAAATGATTGGGAAGTCATGGAAATATTGTGCACAATGCTAGCGCTAGAGCTCTGCCTATCAAAAGGAACAGAAGCACTGTGCAAGTGGAACAAAACAAATTGCCTGCAGATTTGCCTCCAAATGTGTTATGCAAAGGAAGACAGGTGACAGATGATGACAGCATATGGATTCAGGTAAGTATGTCCATAGGACACGCTTCAAGCAGAGGGCTTCCTTGGCTTGCAGTTTGTGCAGCCAGCAATCCCTGAGAAACATCTGTCAAAACCAGTGCATGCCATTCTCACCCTTCTAATATAAGGTGCTCCAGCTTTTCAGCAACACTGGCAAGAAAGCCAGGGAAGCATGTTAACTGGTTGTATGATAAGTTCAGTAGCTTTAGGGTGGGACAGACAATCTTTGCGTCCACAGTTAAGGATGGACCAATGTCGTTGCGTGAAACATCAAGGTGTGCTATATGTGGCATTTTCAACACATAGGCAGGAAAAGATGTGAACAAGTTACTGTGAAGATCCAGGCAAGTCAAAGATTTCAAGGTCTGAAAGAAAAAACCCACATTAAACCAATTATTATAAAATGAAACAGTAAAACATAGATAGTAGAATGCAAATATATCCAGCTCAAAATACAGTATTTTGCTACACAGGAAATGCTGTCTTTCATCAATTAAGTGTACCAGTTCTTATGCTATAAGTTAAGGTAGAGAAGGATGTTAAGTTGGATAAAGAAATAAAAGGTTTAGAAAGATTTAACGTTGAAAGATTGAAGACAATGAGATATTTGTGAGGGAAATGGAAAGCAGACTGAGAGAACCCGAGGCACAGCAAATGGAGGTCGAAAGCAGACTGCCAACAGGGTGGGGATTCTGCCTATTTATATTAGGGGAGGGAGTGCAGAGTTCCCACCAAAAATATTGCTAAGCTGAGAGAACTTTCCCAAATGCAGGCACTGCAAGATGCAGCACCCATATATGTGATGCACAGAGACCATGACGAAGAGGGAAACAGTTCTGTGACTGCTAGGAAAACCCACTGGATAGTGACTGTAACATAACTGTGTTTAGACTACTGCAAGGCATCCGGTATGGGGTGACCATGAAAAATGTCCTGAAGCTTCAACTGGTGCAAAATATGGCATCTAGGCTGCTAACCAGTGCAAAGTATTGGAGCCACATTACACCTGTGGTACAAGTGCACTGGATGACAGGTGCTTTTTGGGTTCTATTCAAGGACTCAGTCTTAACATTTAAAGTCCACAACAGCTCAGGGCCTGGCTATTTAAGGTGCTGCTTGTCTTGTTATGAGCCTGCCCAAATATTAAAATCTGCAAAAGAGGTCACTGCTACCCACAGAGTGTTGAGTGGGCATGAATGTGATTTCTTCTGCATTGCTCGCAAACTATGGAATGCACCCTCTCAAGAACTATTCTTGGGGCCCACTCTCTTCGTCTTTAAAAAGGGTGCAGAGATGCATCTTTTTAATTTAGTCTTTTAAATTATGTAGTTAGTTTAATGTTTTTAGTATTCTCGCTTCTTATTGAGAGATTTTATTGTTTTAAATTGTTGCACTGCTTGGTGGCTTTTTAGCAAATATGAAGGGATATAAATGATATTAATACCATTCTTAACAAGAGATGCCTTTATGTCATGAACCCATTATTTTTAAAGAATGTTCACCTTCTGTAACATCCAAGAACAGGAATGCTTCAAAGCTTTAAACTGTGGTAAACACAAGCAAGGTTTTCTCTTCCTTGTCAAGGATGGACTCATTATTTTGTGAATTTTGCTGCCTGCCCTCCCCACCTTCAAAAATCATTAAGTTCTTTGAAACAGGTGTTCTTCCTCTCTCTTTCCAGTGCAGAAGTACAGGAGGATTACTTCCACACTAAAGTCCTTTAGTACTGCTAGGTTATTCCTAGGTTAGCCTAGCTTGCTAAAATATTGGACAGATCCTCAAACAATACTTTTTCTGCAAAAAAGGAACTCATACAATTGGTGCCATGCCCCATAGATTGCTTATGGTCCTATCACATACTCTTTGTAGATTGGAAAAGTAGGAAAAAGTGTATTGATTTTGCTATTATTTCAGGGAATTCCTGCAAATCAGTTTAAGTAGTATAGCTGAATTCCAATATTTGCATTTTATCATTACAAAAATTCTGGTTAGGCCAAGCACTAGCAAACTGACTGCGGATCTGAACCTCTCTCTCTGGCTCAAGCTCCACAAACTATTTGTCATACTATCGAACCACTCTTCATGTGGCCTAGCCATCAATACATTACCAAAAATTACTGCCTCCCATCCAAAACAGGCTTAATGGTAAAGAGACATAAACATCAGCATAAAACCCTCTCTATATTACACACACCTGGCTCATTGAGGGAACATTTTCTGGCATTATGTAGACTTACCTCACACAGTTTTTCTGGTATGCATGAAAGAGAGTTTTGATGCAGCTCTAATTTCTCAAGGTGTTCCAAGTGAGTAGTTAAGGATGAGCTCTGACTGATGCCATCTATATCCTCCAGCTCATTTGATGAAAGGTCTAGCGACTTAATATATTCCTTGTCAGAGATCGATGAAGAGAAACTGTCTGATCGCTTTATGTTTGATTGGAATGTAGAGATGCCTCCTTTTTTAAAATAAATGCAGAAGCAATTTAGGAATGGCCTAATCTTCTATAGTTCCACTTTTTGTTTAATACTATGCCAAGCATTTAAGGACTTTTTAACTGATGCACTGAAGAGCCCTCAGTCTCAGAGGTTGCCTCAGGACATATGTATGTTTAGGGAGAAATTTCCTACAATTCCCAACATTACCCAGCCAGCCATGCTGACCTGCAAATGCTGGGAGTTATAGGACATTTTTATATCTAAGCATGCATTGGATTGTGCCTTCAATGATAACAAACACCTATTGTATATTTAAATATTTGTGGGTGGGAGTGTGTCGTGAGGCCGATTGTATAAACATTCAACTCTCCACAGACCAATAAAACTAAAGTCCTTCAATGTTAATTGTCTACAAGATTTATAATACTACAGATAAGTTCCCTAACAGCGGTCCCAGCTAAGCAGATGTCAGCCCTATAATGGCCTATCTTTCTGAGCCCACATGGGATCATTCTCCCAAGTCACGCCTTTCTTCTCTCTTACGCTGTCTACTTTGTAATTGTTCAAATCTACGTAAAAGACGTCTGTTCTCGGCTTTTGAGAAATCTATGACACCTGTAGTGTCTTCTGTTTCTGGTTCAGGGAGATCAGCGTCAAGAGGGGAGGAGGCAGTTTGCTCTGCCTCTTTCTGAGTAGAACTTGCAGCTCACTCTTTCTCATGACTCTCTGTCTCTGATAAAGGTCCAGGTGTTTGCTCAACGAGCTGGGGCTCAGGGGAAGACGCAGTAGCTGGTTCAGCCGTCCCTGCATTGGGTTGTGGGGGCAACTCTTGGGCACAGGGTGCCAAGTGCAAGGTCTCCTCATGAGTCACTGTTTCTGTTGGAGCTTCATGCATGACAGAGGGAGAGGAAAATATACAAAACTATATCTAAAAATACATTTTTCCAAATGGCTATTGCTACAGTGCCACAATAATGTAAATAACTCGTGTTTTACATCAAGGAGGGGCAACATTATGTTCACAGGTAACAAAATCCCACACACACCTTACCAAGTGTCCACCTAGACATCCCACTCCTCCCAATTTTATTAAAATAATTTGTGTTTTTTTTGCTGGTAGCTGGGATTGCCGGAAGGTGAAGTGGGTTCTTCTAGCTGCTGCTGCCTGAAGTTCCCACAAATGCCTCTGAACATGTATGACTTAGCCATGGCCATCCATAGCTGCCATTTTATGGTTTCCCCAGGATAGTTTCTCCAATTTCCTACAATGCCATGAACCCAAAATATTACCTGTAGACAGCCCAAGTTTGAATGTACACAATTCCACCTATAAAGACCTCATGTAGTGGAGTTTACAAAGATACACACCAGAGATCCTGGAGAACTGTTATCGGTCAAAATAGATAGTATTGGATTAAATGGTTCATGTGTTGACATTGGCAATCCCTTTTGCAGTTTTAAAAGGTCCACGTCACAAAACAATGTGGTTGAATAACTTTGGACAAACTCACAGGTAGTTTTGCCTATGCTCAGAGTATAGCTGACACACAAGTATACGGTTCACAGAATCACACAATAGTAGAGTTGGAAGGGGCCTAGAAAGCCATTGGGTTCACCCTCCTGCTCAGTGCAGGACTCCAAGCTAAACCATCCCTCTCAAATGGCTGTCCAGCTGCATCTTGGATGCCTCTAATGTGGGAAAACCCACAATTTCTCTAGGTCATTGGTTTTATTGTCACATTGCTCCAACAGTCAGGACATTTCTCCTGATATCTAGCTGGAATCTGGCTTCCTGTAACTTGAGCCCATTATTCTGTATCTCACACTCTGGGATGATTGAGAAGAGATCCTGTCCTTCCTCTTTGTGACAGCCTTTTAAGCAGTTGTGGAGTGCTATCATATCTCAATCTTCTCAAGCCGGAACACACCCAGTTCTTTCAACCTCTCCATACAGGGCCTTGTTTCCACTCCTTGGATCATCCTTGCTGCCCTCCTCTGAACCCTTTCCAGTTTCTCTGCATCTTTTTAAAACTGTGGTGCTCAGAACTGGACACAGGACTCCAGATGTTGTACAAAATCTAACAGAATACAGAAACATTGCCCAAATTTAAACTTTAAAATTTATTATAAATTTCCACTTACTATGAAATTCTTCTGAAGGGATTTTTCTTCCCTGATTCCTTGCTCCATACTGTGATCCAGCTCCCTGGACAGTGCCAAAAGTTCAGATATTACAAGTATGAACACTTGCATGCCTTGAAGGACAGAGTTTGAGTTTGCACTCCTCAAATGCAATGCTGCATTTAACAAATCACCATGACCACAGAGACAGCCCCATCCCCTAGATATGTACTCCGGCACATTAAACGTGGTATGGATTGTTTCTCACAAATGAAGAGGACGATGCAGACAAATGGCAGTCTTTGCATGGACTGTGTGCTTAGAGATTTCACGACAGATGTGTGGATGGAGGGGCTATGGTTCAGCAGTAAGCACCTGCCTTGCATGCAGAACCTCCCCGGCAGGTCCCTGGCATCTCCAAGTAAGGCTGAAAAAGCTCCTGCCTGAAACCCTCAAGAGCTGCAGCCAGTCAGTGCTGACAATACTGGGCTAGACAGACTGATGGGTTGCCTCAATATAGGAGAGCAGCTTCTAGTGTTCTATGTTTCCTGATTATTTATTTATTTAGGATATTTATAGGCCGTCCATCTCTTTGGTCTCTGGACGGCTTACAATAAAATCTATCCCAAACAAAATAAATTTGCTATACCACGACTGAAATAAATAAAATAATTAAAGTAAATTAAATAAAAATGATTATACTAATCAACATTAAAATATTGGTTGAATAAAAAGGTCTTAACCTGGTGCCAAAAAGCATATAATGACAGCGCTAGGCAGACCTCTCTAGGAAGTGTATTCCATAGTCGGGGCGCCACCGCAGAGAAAGCCCTTCTTCAAGTGTTCTCTCTCCTAATCTCCTTCAAAAATGGTTCCTGGAGGAGAGCCTCTGCTGCTGATCTTAAGGGACAGTAGGGGATATATGGAAAAAGACATTCCTTTAGGTATCCTGGTCCCAAGCCATTTAGGGCTTTATAGGTCATAACCTATTAATCAGGAGGAAGCCATTTCCCTTACCAAAGTTCACATAGTTTTGCTCTAAAGCAATGCTATCCTATTGTTAATGTATCTGTTTGTGTCCCATTGGTTTCATCTGCTATTGAGAGGGGGAAAGCCAAAGGAAATCACCTAGTGATTCAACATGCACAGATATGCCTCCTGTGTGATTTGCACCCTCTTGAGCTTCTTGACTTACCACAGACTTTGAATGCCTTGGCAGGGTAGGAGGAAGCAATTTCAAAGCTGTGTCATTCTGGAGATCTCCAACTGCCACAGAATTGGATTTCTTCTTCATAAGAACTGAGCTTTCACTCTCTGTGGCAAAAAGGAGGATTAAGTGCAATTAAAACAGCAGCCACCTAACACTAAGGCAAACAATTAACCATAATTTGATTGAAAGCAGTTCCAAGTAACAGATAGGAGCCTACATGCCAGAAATGTTACCTGCCTAAAATAGCAGCATAGCAAGAATTAACTTTAATATCTATATCAAAAGCTTAAATAACTTACGTAATGCAATATATACTATTTTTCTGCACAATGTTTTCCATTCCTTCTCCTTCTTAGATTTGTTGTTTTTATGTGCCATCATGTCATCTTCAACTTGTGGCAACCTTATGAATTGAAAGCCTTCCAACATGTCTATGTGACAGCTCCATTCATCTCTTCCAAGTTCAAGGCTGTGCCTTCCTTTATGCTTTCAATCCACCTCATATTTGGCCTTCTCTTCAATTTTCTTCCTTTGATTTTCCCCAGAATGATTGCCTTGTCCAGTGGATCTTCTCTTTTCATGATGTGTCCAAAATATGACAGGCTCAGTTTTGTCATTTTTGCTTCTAGGGTAAGTTCTGGCTTGATTTGCTCTAGAACCTACTTGTTATCTTTCTGGCAATCCAGGGTATCTACAAAACCCTCTTCCAGCATCCTACTCCCTTTGCCTTTCCTTTAACTGCATAATCCTGACTGAGGACAGTTGCTCATGCCACATATGGTATTGGCTAAAACAGAGGGAGACAGCTCATCATCCTTCAGACGCTTTGGCCCAGAATTCCCATCAGTTCTCACTGTTTGCTATGGGGGCTAGGACAGATGGGAGTTGCATGCTGGAAGGTCTCGAAGGCTGCACATTCCCAGTCCTTGTACCATAACTTGAGACAGAGTGTGGCCTGCATTTGTAATGTCAATACAAAGTTGTGATGGAAAACTCATCCCATCATAGTTCAGACTTGGTTCAACAAGTTGCAAAGCCAGTGTTTAAATTTGCTGTTACTAGAGTTCAAAGTCATAATGATTTTAAACTTACACAGTAGTATGTATGGTTTGAGGTCTTTTTAATCATTTTCTCTTTTTTAAAGAAATAATAAAAGGGCAAGCTCTCTCTGAGAAGCTAGAAAATGCAGCTACAACCATGTACTTTCAAAAGAAGTCTAGAAGCGGCCCTGAAATTGGCATGATATAACATTATTTCCAGGGACTGAACAGAAAGGAAAAAGAATGGCTGCCTTCATCTTTCTATGTCAACCATGGAAACATTACACAATCATGTGGGCTCATTTCCAGGAATAATGACTGCCCCATTTTTGAAAGTGCATAGCTATAGCTGTACACTTTCTGGTCTCTTGGACATGCTTTTAAATACTTTTAAAAGAATGCTTTAAAAGGACCCAGGCTATCTTGTAGTTCTTATTAAATGTACAGTAATACATCAGATACCACACAAACTGTGCAAAATCAGAAAAGATAATTAACTCAGTGTGAATTATGAACATTTTAAAAGCCCACTGCATCTCAGTCAGAGCTCGTTATACATTCAAGAAATTTAAACATGCCAGGTTTGATAGATGCATATTGAATTTTAGCAATATGACTAATAAAAAGACTTTCTGGGTACTTTTGAGTTATTCATCTCCACTGTACAGAAAAGGGGGGGGGGAATTGTTCAAGCAGAAGGGGATTGAATTGTCTCTTGTATTCTCTTGGATGCTAAATGAAAGTTGGGAAACAAGGGTGAAAAGCCAGTGTGTGACTTTTTATTCTGCATGTTCTTTTGATTCTGTTGCTGGTGCAGGAATGCAGCACAGCAGAACTGCTTCCCATCATAGCCAGGATGCAAAAAAAAATCACATCCAATGTATAATATTTGAAATGTGATGACTGATTCTGTGAATGCAAGCAGAGTCCTTTGGCAATGCATGAGATGGAAGGAGAAAGGATAAACACGACATTTAGTGTATCCTTTGGAATCTTCCAGAATGAGCTCCACGCATACATGCAGCGTTCATGTGTGTGATGCTCAGAAACCACAAGAATATATATACACACACAGAAACTCAGTTTTGAAGAAATTCTCAAAAACATTGACAGAGCCAAACAGGTCAGCTTAGACTAGTTCTAGGCTAACATTGTAAAGGAATAACAAATCCCTTTTCACAACAAGCGAATGTACCTTCACTATCATCACTCAAATGGAAAACGTTGTCAAGTAAAGGGTCCGGTAGGACTGTCCAGTCATCACACTTTTCCATTGCATCATCGCAGCTGTTTACATCAGAACTGGATCTTGACTGGTCTTCATAGTTGCTTGTCCTTTGGTATCTAAGCACCATCCTAGCCAATGCAGAACCTGCACCTAATGTGCAAAAAACAATAATCATTTTAGAAACACTGGACAAAATACATATAGAGCTGCCATGATCAGATGACCATATCTCAGTTTAATAAGCAGAGGTAAAAACAAGTTCATTGCCTATGTACAGAGGACCTTTGCTCATTCCCTCATGTGAACAGTAACTAAACTAGAAAGCTGCAAAGGATCTCTACTTTCATCCAAACCGGAAATCCATGTAGCTTGTTCAGAAAATGGCAAACATAGCTTCACATTTTGGACAAAAGAGGAAACTATGATTAATTGACTTCTCAATTGCATTCAGACATGGTGTAGCAGAATAAAAAAAGACATTTTCAGAAAAAAAAACTCACTCATATCTCAGCTTAATAATACAATAGTTGAACTGGGCAAATACCAAAAAATGCAAGAAAACTGACCCTTACAAGACAACACAAAGAAGAAAACACCTGAAACTAATATCCTTCTGCAATTCTCACCCTCAAAAAGCTCTGAAAGTTGATGCAATAAAGATGAAGCTATTAGTGCTTCATACCTCCAATACTTAGGAGACTCCAACTACCTTTATATGTGAAAAGTGGTGGGAGCTACTGAGACTCAGTCGAGTACTGCTGAGCTCCTACACACACACACACAAAATCAACGGCACATTAAAAAAAACCCCTCATCTTATACTGTTTGTTCAGCAGCTACCTTTAAACCAGTAAAAGTTGCAGAATGCTTTGGTACCTGCTTTAATATTAACAACCAGTTTACAGCCACTTACTTGTTTGTTTCTTGAAGGATGCTTGTTTTTCAGGAAATAAAGGGCTCAGCCAGGAAGGTTCAATTCTACCAATGCCAAATCCTCCAAGACAGATGCTGCTGTTGGCTACATCTAGACTAAGCTTCTTTAAGATCAGACTAATGAACTGGCTATCTCCTTTCTTGATGCTGACTGTTAAAGCACTCCGGACATCTTGTTCTCGAGCACCACTCTTAAGAAGTAGTTTTAGCAACTTAGGATTGCCCCCTTTCTCACAAACCTATTAAGCAGAAAGAGATGAATGAATCAGCGACATATATGATATGACCATCTGGTGAAAATGTCCCTCAATAAAATAAATGCATTATATACATTTATATTTTTGAGCATGGCTGCAAATGCAGAGTTTTCATTTTGCCCAGTCATTTCTACACAAGTTACTAAAGCTTGTATCCTCTATTGTACAGTGATATATATGCTGCAAAAAAACCTGTGTTTTGCCTTCAGTATGATTGTCTCTGCAACAGGCTAGTTTAGGAAAGTTGCCAGAAATAAAGGCTTGCTGTGATCATGTCATTGTCATAACTTCATTCACTGAAAGTCAAGAAGGTTTGCCATTGTATTTAAAACATATTGCATATGAAAGCCACCTCTCATATCACTAAGGTCCAATACATATATCTACTGTAGATTAAAAGGAGTCAGGTCAATGAAGTGTTAAGGGGGGTGGAGCTTTCTAAAAAGGTCTTTATACAACACTGGAGAGACTGGAATAGAAGGCTTTAATGCCATGTTTCTTGAACATTTTATAAAGAGGACAAGCCCATCAGAGTTTGATATTGTTCAGAATGCAATAGTAAATAAATACATTCCAGTGCCTATTTGGCAGACAGATTCCTTAGCTGCTTGCACAACATTCCTCCCAGCATCCATTGCTAGTCATTCAAATCCTGGGACACTGTGAATACCAGGAATCCTTGGGGAAAACTTTTCTTGTTCAGATTATTTAAGGAGGTGGTGTTCAGGCACTGCACAATTAGAACAAGCAAAAGATAAACACATAACATCCAAAGTAGATGGAGGTCAGTTCCACTGCAGAAGTATTGATTCATCATACAATACAGCATTGCTACAGATGCATTAGGGATGGGATGGGGAATCTCTTCAATAGAAATCACTAGCAGAATAGGAAATAGTATAATGCAGTTTCCCATATCCCTGAATCAGTCTATCTAGCTCAGTACTGTTGACTCTGACTGGCAGTGACTATTCAGGTTTTCAGGCAGGAGCTTTTCAAGCTCTATCTGGAAATACTGGGAATCAAATATGAGACTTCTACATATAAGGCATGTGCTCTACCACTGAAGCCCTCCAAGAGTGCTTTACAGGTAGGTGAGGGATATGCAGGGGATGGATTTGTCCAGTGCAAGAGCATCTCAGGGATACCTCCTGGGAACAGTTGGGTCAACCAATGTCAAGCTGAGGGCAGCTTTTGCCTTCAGCATCATCCCAAAATACAGAAAGTAATAGCATGCAAGGAAGTGGAAACACACAGAAATGAGGTTGCAAGCTAAGCCTGTGTGTCCTCTGGGGATACTGATAATCAAGTCTCTTGCTATCTTAGCTGTATGGTCCTGGGCAATAGCTTGTGATGACACTTGGGAGACAAAAGTTAGAAGAGTGAATGTTTGGAACTGTTTACTTTACTACACAGATGACGTTCAAATTGTCCTCTTGCAAAGGGCAGCTTCGAAATGAAAAAAAAATGTTCTGCTCAATCTGTTTAAAGTGTTATGGGTGGATCTGCATTTCAGTTGTTTTTGGAGACTAAAGTGGTGGTGGTTGTTCTTTAAAGCCAGGCATACATCTTTCAAAGTGATGTAATGTTTTGAGTTACATGTTAACAAACCTACTTGATAAATTAAAGAGTTTGTCTTTGTGTTCTTATTCACATCAGCTCCCAGCAACAGCAAGCATTCAGCCATAATGGTATTGTGCTCAGCACATGCTTTCTCCAGCATCAGGTTTTTTAAATCATCGTTGTCAGCTATTCTAGCAAAGCACTTGCAACAAAGACTCTGAAACTAAATTGAGAGGAAAGGCAATTAAAACAGGGTGAACACCTTCCAGAACGTTATCAAATTAAAATGTGCTGTGGACCAGGCAGGGAGAGAGCTGGAAGAAAACAGAAGAAGATTGAAAGAGAAAACATACCTGCTGGTCTCTTTGTTCAGTGAAACACATGGACATCTGATAGAAAATTGCTGTGTCAAATGATTCCTGTATTAACAACTTGGCAAAGCAAGGTGAAAGGTCAAGGATTGTTATAATTATGGAAAATCCCTACAAGTAAAAAGAGAACAAGTTGGTGGTGAGTTTTTCTACTCTGCAAACTAAATAGAAAACTAGTGGCAAAAACTACCTGGTTTCCACCTAGCCAAGCCATTCCACCTCCCCCTCATTTCAAGGAAACAATAGCCAACCTACTTCAAAGCAAGCTGAGGCAATCCTTTCATGGTGAAGGCTGTTTGTGAATGACAGATGTGGTATTAAGGGGCAGCCCACTAGGGCTGGAGCCCCAGATCTCTGGGATGCATTTGCCCCACTCCCCATGGATACTTGTTGAAGTAAAGATACAGGGACCTTGATAAATTCCATTGTATTAGATCCTCCTGGATTAGCTGGCTTTTTGCCCAAGTGTGCTATGGCTCCTACTGTTCCTCACTGTTTTTTTCCGAAATCAAGTACTTTCTTCTCTATGTATATACTTCTCTTGTCCATACATCTCTATGTACAAATAGGGGTGTCTTTAAGAGATAGGGCCCTTTAAAGACACACAGAGCCTATTCTTAAAGCATATGGATTTTAGCATATGCAAATCTGTGCTGCACCAGATCTTTCCAGTACCTAATACTACCTGGGTGAATAGGCCTATTAGGCACTCTGCCACTGGTTGCCTAAAAAGCTGAAACATAAAGGGGAACCTATTTGTACAAATGACAGTATGACATAATGCCACTTTCTATTAAAGATTCATTATGAAAGCTAAATCAGACCACAAGGAAAGGCGTGACCCAGTTATCACTTCTCTCTTTAACTGTGCTCATTCGCTCAAGATCAAGACCTGATTCACACATGCATATTCATCACTTGATGATTTGGACATGCAAATGAGTTATCAAAGATGAACACAAGAGACTGAACTTTCGTACTGCCTTGTATCACCTCAGACTGGAGTCAGTTCACACATTAAAATGCCAGTGCATTTTCTGCATTTGCACAAAGTTATCAAATCTGTTGCATGATAGATGTTCTAGCTTTCAGCAGAGCCATAATATTATGTTTTTTATATAATAGTAGAGATTAGGGACTACATGTCTCTTCATGGTAAAGGAACATTGCCAAGATTACCATTAATATTAAGTCCTACTATTAATATTTCAAGGAGCATCATTTCTGTGGGCTACAGCAACTGGAACTACCTTTGCTTTTCCAATCATTACAGCCCAAGAAAGTCACAAGTATTAGACATGAAATTATAGTCTCAGTGTCACATACATGTCCAAGGAAGTTCCAGATTTTTTTAAAAAAGAATGTGAATAGCCTTCTTTTAGAAACTAACATAAAATTGGAAGTCTTGGATGCCTAGAGCAGGAGTTTGAAGTTTATGTGTCAGAGCTGAAAAAAAATTTCTTGGAAAAATCTCTTGGGTTTGATTATTTGACATAGCACCCAGAGTAAACCAAGAGTGAGGCACAGAAGAGACTGGAAAGTTTTGCTAGTTTCCAAAGGAAGAAACTAGATCTCTCAATATAACTTTCCACAACAGGCATGCTGCTCAAACAGACATAACACCAGATACATCACATACATGTTCCTGTATTTCAACAATATCTTTAAAGCGTCGTAAAGCCAAAACCAGGATTGTTGCCAGGAAATGCATAGTTGCAATGCACAAGCTCTTTCTTGTAATCATGGGTCCCAGAAGTTTTAAACCTAAGCAATGTATTTCTAGAAAGAAAAGGGAAGAAGAAAAAGGGATGGGGGAGGAAGAGAAGTCAGGAATATTAAAACAGTGGAATTTTTAATACAGAAGGTAGTTTTCCTGCTTGCTCCCAGATTTTGAGCTGCTTTGTCATTACAAAATGTAACCCTAGAGAACGATTTTTTTACAATTTTCATTAAGATTATGTCTCTACAGGAGAACATTATTTTAAATGTCTCCATTTATACTACAGCCTCAGGAAAAATAACCTGGGCAACATGCCATCCTGAAAGAATGAAGTAGTTGAACATTCTAAGGCTGCAATCCTATATACATTTACTAAGAAGTCCTACTGAATGCAACAGAAGTTACTTCTGGATAGCTGAGACAGCTCTCCAACTGAGATGCCAGGCATCCTATACAGAGCAGGAGAAGCGGTGCAGGCAATCTCCACCTCCCTGCTCCTCCTGCTCTTTATCAACTCTAGATGGCCCTTTTCAGCTGTCCAGCCAGGACACTTCAGTGGAGGAGGGAAGGTGGATATAGAAGACACAGGATACACCTTACCCTGGTCTCTTCAGTCTCCTTCTGCTCTGCATCTACCCCCTGAATTGCCCTTTTAAATCCTCTCCAAGATTGCATTCTTAACCTTGGAGAATCAACTAGTATGGTTCTTTTGGCACCAGCTGCAAGGAAAGGTGCAGGGGACTGGAGTAAAGATTTCCAGCTCCAAAGTCAGAACTCTGTCTCAGATTCTGAATCTCAGAATCTGAAGTATCTTATGCATACTAAGGGGCCAGAAGATCATTTTCTAGGTTACCCGGTTGTACAGCTGCTTCTTCATACTGGTACAATAAAATATCCATATCAATACTAAATTGCATTCAATGACTTCCACATATGATTCCCATACTACTTTTTTTTGAAAATGCTTTTATACACAAGACATTACAAGTAGCAAACATTTTTCACTGTCTCGCCTGGTTTGCGTGGAACAGTAAACTATGCCTTAGTGTTACATGAATAAACAGGAATTAGCCAAATAAAGCATTAGGGTTGAGTGCTGCCCACCTGTTCTTATGTGGTCAAAGAAGGATTTACTAGTGTTAAATATTTACTAGTGTTTCAAATAGTGGAGTCTTGTCAAGTCATTTGTACCAGAGATTGTGACTTAAAAACAACTCTGGACACTTTCAAAACAAGCCAACTTTAAACTGGAATTTCTGCAGCCATCTTGACTAAATGAACAGAATAGTTTTAAACCACAATCTCTGGTATAGACATCACAAAAATTAGGATTCCCTAAAAGCAGAACTAGATACTACTGAAGCCCTTCTCACAGCCATGTATGAGGTACAGAAAGAGGGAAGAATGTGCAAGCCTAAGGATTTGCTTGGCTTCTTTCCTGCTTGTATGCACGAAATCTTCTCTTCAGCTGTATTGTTTTGCAAATACTATCTAAATAAGATACTTTTCTTTGTACCTATAGGAGCAGGTGATCTGGTAGACATTGTTTACTTGGATTGCCAAAAGACTTTTGACAAAGTTCCTCACCAATGACTCCTGAGCAAACATAGCAGTCATAGAATAAGAAGGCGGGGGCAGCTTCTCCTGTGGATCACTAACTAGTTAAAGCACAGAAAGTGGGAATAAATGGTAATTTCTCCCAATGGAGTCCCACAGGTTCTGCATTAGAACCAGTGCTTTTGAACCTATTCATAAATGATCTGGAATCAGGAGTAGGCAATGAAGTGGCCAAGTTTGCTGATAACACTAAACTATTTAGGGTGGTTAATGCCAAAAGGGATTGTGAAGAGTTCCATTTGATATCCAAGCTCGAACATCAAAATGGCAAATGTGATTCAATGTAAGCAAATGTAAAGTGATGCATGTTAGAGCAAAAAGTAACAACTCCCCTCTGCAAAAAAAAACACCCCAACTTCAAGTATAGGCTGATGAGCTTTGAGTTAACAGTAACTGATCGAGGTAGAGATCTTGTGGTTGTGGTGGACAGCTTGACTGAAATGTTTACCCAGTACACAGCTGCTATGAAAAATGCAAACTCCATGTTAAATATAATTAGGAAATTTCTTGAAAATAAAACTGCTAAGATTGTACTCCCTTATACAACTCTTAGGTGTGAATGTACTTAAGATTATTGCGTACATTTTGGTCACTGCACCTGAAAAGGAACATTATTGATTTGGAAGAAGTGCCGAGGATGGCAGCTAAACAATGAAGGGTATGGAACAATTCCCCTATGAGAAGCAGCTACAACAGCTAGGATTGTTTTAGCTTAGCAAAATACTAGAACTGGGGCTCATCCCATGAAGTTCACTGGTTGGAGATTCAGGACAGATAAAAGGAAGTACTTCTTCACACAGCCAGTGCATAGTTAAACTATGAGATTCATTGTCACAGGAAATAGTGATGGACACCAATTTGTATGGCTTTAAAAAGTGACTGAACAAACTAATGGAACAGAAGACTATGAGTGACTACTAGCCTTGCTGCCTATTATTGGAAGCATTATGCCTGTGTACACCAGTTGCTGAGCAGCTTCTATAGGCAGAATTCTTGTACTCCCACTGCTTGAGGCACCCTGTTGGTCTGGCACTGTGTGAATGGAGTGCTGGATTGGAAGGACCACTGGACTGTTCCAGCATGGCTTCTCTTATGTTCTTACCTTCATCATCAGGATGCTGCAGCAGTGTATGGAGCACAGTATCTGTCATTCCTTGTTGGGATAGCATTTCTAGCACACCTGAGCACGCCATTAAAGAGCAAAGTATTTGAAATCCACATTTCTGAATGCCAGGATTCCAAATAAACTAGAAATGAAAAGAAAGTTATAGCATAGAAAAAAACTAAATGTTAAGTTACTTTTGTTCACTTTTGCAGATGTGAACAATTATGGAAGAACTGAAAGTAAAGGAGAAATTTTTAAAATACCCAATTTTAGCACTTATATTTCAAAAGGTTTTTTTGTTCAGGAGTTCTTCAGCACTTGGATCACAATTTTTAAATGCTGCACTGCTGTGTTAAAGTACTTGAAAACCAGCATATTCGTGGCAAAAGGCACACCTGGAAGCTAGGATGCTTCTTGGGCCAATGGCCCCGTTCAGCAGCTGAACCATGTAGAAATCCAGCATCTAGAGAAATTGGACTATGCTGGTGACAGGCTACTTATACTGACAGGAAAGGTGCTCTTCCACACATTAAGGCCAATGCCCTGGGAAAACTCCAAGAGATTATTCTAAGCAATAAATTATAGATTATTTCAATGAGCATTTCTATGGCTAACATCATCATTTTGTCACATAGGTGGAAAACTAAATCAGTACACAAAGGGCCTGCTTTTGAATTTTAGATAGTTTATGACATGGGCGGGCAGAATGTGACACTCCAGATAATTTGGGTTACAATTTCTATCATCCCTCAACATTGTTTATGGTGGCTAGAGCTGATGGAAATTGCAGGCAAAACTTCTGGAGGGCCACATATTCCCTCCCCATCCCCCACACACACCATTTACATCATGGATCAAACATGTAGGCTTGAGTGTAGATGACCTAGAAGGAAGCTTGTTAGGAGATTGGAATTACTTTGAGGCTTTCATTAGTTCAGACAGGAGGCTTTAGGGAGAGAAGCTGAGAGTCTGGCTTCTTTCAGCAAGATGGCCATGTTCACTCATGAGTTCCTGATTCCAATTAGTAGAGCACAGTAGAATCTATGTATAGTCCGGTTTACAGGAAAGTTTCTTCCTAAGAGCAGGTATGAGGTTCAAGGACAGTCTGCTGCTGCAGCAGGAACTCTTCCTATTCAATATAATGTTTATTCCTTCTGCCTCTAGTTCCTTTGCCTCATATATAAATTTAAGCCACAGATGCAGAACAAGTACCAAAATCAATTTCAGAGATCCTTCTGGAGGCTGTATTCAAATGGTGGGTAGAGCCAGAGGAAAAAGCGCTAGGGTAATGACAAAAGAACTGGAGCAGAAGTACTTTAGATTAAGTCTCTCGCTAAGACTTAGGAAGGGCATTTCAGCAGTTTAGAACAGGGAGGTGGGTTGCACAAATACTACAAAATCATCCAGGTCTGTTTGTGGAAAGACATGTTGTTGGTGAAAAGGGATGCATTATTCTGTGCCTCCCCAGAAAACTAGATCAAGACCTTCAGAAGGTTGAATCTGGCCCTATACCTCATTTCAAAACCTCTAAAGGCACCTGTAGATTTTTTCCTCTGTATATTTCAGTTTTTAAATAGGCATCCAACAACATATTGATTCATAAGGGCTGGCTCATATAGTCATGAACAATACAACCGAACCACTGCAGCCCAGCCTTGAGTCACACACATGCTCTGAATGGAAAATAAGACATATAAAACAGCCTGGCTGTTTGAAGAATCAACCTGTAGCAATTTCTTCTGAGTAATTTTTCAATCATTGCCCCATTTGAACTGAGTGTCAAGCATTGACATGGTTTGCTCCAGCTTTAGGGAAAGTGACTGTGTGAACCAGTAATAAGTTAAGAAACTGTCATCTTAAAACACCCCAAAGCAGTTCACCTAAATCTGAGAGATTACATAAAAACATATACCAGAACAGCTACTTCAAAGATCACTAGTCAATTTGTTTTTTATCATCTGATAATTCATTCTGCACAGGGTAAATTTATTGTGAGAAAAAAATTCCAAGCCATACCTTGTTGAGAGCATCAAGAACGAGTGAATGAGTCCCTTCTAACAAACACTGGTTTTTAATAATTTTTAACTTCACCAAGTCATCTTCCCCTAATGGGCTGTTTTGCTGTTTTTTCAGTGTCCCTGCAACATACAGAAAAAACAAACATTCTCCTTGTGAAAGTAAACAGTATAATTAGCTTTAGTCAAGGATCTCTGTAAGTATGAATCCAAAATCCAGACCTGTATCCTCAATGTTTTCACCTGCCGTATTGCTTAGTGTGATGCAGTACTTAAGTTTTCTTGAACAGGCACCGTTTTTATCATGAAGAGAGCAAGCCTATGAACTACAGGCCCAAGGATGGCAATTCCATTGCTGCAGGTCCTTGAACATTCAATGTCTTTCTTGGATGCTGCTGGTAGGGCGTAGGGAAGGTCAGAAGGTTTTCTTTGCCTTTCCCTCCTCCTTAGAAACTTTTTTTCCTTAAATGGGTCTTTGTGCTGTTTAATTTACCCTCTCTGTGGCAACAGGGACTAAGATCCAACAGATTCAGAGCTTCTGCCTTCCCACTCACTGGCCCAGTCCAAATATAGCCATTTCCTTCCTTCTCAAGGTCAGAGTACCAACTAGGAGAAGTAGGCACTGAGAGGGGCTGAGGACTGAGAAACACATTTCCTACAGCCAGAGCTCTGGCTGGGGTAGGGATCCATTGGATCCTATGGCCTCTCAGATGCTATAATATTTATATTAAATGTTCAGATAATTTGTTATTTTACTTTGCTGATTTGGGGCAATACACTAATGCACTGTATTACATTTACTGTTCCCAATAGTTCATATGATATTGATGGACAAAGCACAAGTATAACATATTTTAGATTTCATTATGTTTCTTTCCGACGTCAATGCCAAAAGACAAGTTCTAAATATGCTTACTTAGTCATTGGTTGCACTGACCTCAAGTGAGATTCTCTTTTCAGTGGACATGCTTAGAATCTGGTGATTAGTTTTCAATTTAGTACTTTCTACACTTACCTACTTATAGAATTCAAAAGATCTTCAGCTAGCATGCTTTGATGATGATGATGATGGTGATAATGAAGAGCATAAAATCATTAGTCATCATCAATGAATTGACAGATTTCTAGATCACTTTTCAGGGAAATCCACCCACAACATATATTAAATCATATTCTATTTTTAATTAATCAACATGTTGAATGAGTACAGGAATAAAACGTCACTTGCTATAACATTAATACAGGCTATATTTTGTCAGACTGTCAAAACAAACTATTTAGTTCATCCCTCCTATACAGTCATGAGAAAAGATGCCATGCTAAAAATGCAGGCTGAATAAGTTACCGAGGGTAAATTGTTGGGGATAAATGACTGCTGATGATTTCAGTTGAAACTGTTTTGATGCTAGGCATGTTGCACATTTGCATAGCAGTTAATGTCTAAGTAACTGGCTTAGGGGTTACAGCCTAAGGCTGCCATCCCATGAACACTACTTTGAAGTAAGTCCCAATAAACTAAGGCTTATTTCCAAGCAAAAATGGCAAAGGAACAAGTTTGATATATTGCAATAAAGGCAAAAGTAAAACAGTGAGACCTAAGCAGGTGCGTTGAACTTTGTTGTTGCTTAGATGCAAAGTCGTGCCTGACCCATCACGCCCCCATGGACAACATTCCTCCAGGCTCTCCTGTCCTCCACCATGCCTAAGAGTCCACCTAAGCCCACACCCACCACCTCAGGGACCCCATCTAGCCACCTCAACCTCTGCTGTCCCCTGCTCCTTTTGCCATCAATTGTTCCCAGCATCAGGGTGTGTTGAACTAGGGCTACATTAAATAAATATGCGATGATTGCCTGTGTGAGAAGCTGAACTCTACATCCATCAAGCAACTGAATTTTGGCCTATTTGGACAGGACCACCCTGGACCTGCTGTTGCCTCCTGCTAGCCTCTGAGTGGGTGAGCTGGTCACACCCCAGAGCGGATTTGTATCTTGCCCATAGTGCCCTCGAAGGGGTAGGAGTTGCCAATCATCATAAAGGTGCACTCAAGGTGCACACATACCTGTACCCTACCTGCACTTCCAGCACATACTTGTCTATCATGAAAATGTGATTGAATTAACTTGATTCAGCAATTTTCCCAACAATTAACCCTGCCTGTTTCCATCACTGCATCAGAGTAAGCCAGCCAGCCAGCCAGCCAACAGGACTAATTTGCAGATAAGTAAGTCCTGAAGTAACCAGGGAAGTCTACATTGTTATAGGCAATTTCAGTGGACAGGAATTTACTACATGGATAATCAATCCAAAGTTCAACACCGTTCAAATCCCATCCATTTCAATGGACGTATCAAACACACACTTCACTCTTTCCCACAGAAATCAATGGTTGTATGAGTGTGTCCCTCTCCTGATGAAAGGCTCTGTACTATTATAGATGCTCCTTTAACCCCAAGGGATGTATCAGAGTGGGGAGGCACCATAAGGAGCTTCAGTCAGGAGGAGAAGTTGGTGAAAACTCACTTTCCTCCCTATTTCTCTGACAGAAGCCTCCACCAGCTAGTTTTCCCCCCAGTCAACCAACCTGGGCTCCTATTAGCAGTGGGTGATCGAATTTTCATGTGCTTCAGTATAGTTAATGGGAATCCGTAGCACAAAATAACTGGGCTTCAGGCTCATCGATGTCTGATCAGGGCTGTGGAGGTGGAGCTAATCCTGGGTTACTGGAGTCAGGGTCAGTAAAAATGTGCTGACTCTGAATAAATTTAAATTGCAATATAAATAATATGTTAAAATTTCCCATTTCACAGATAATAATTTGATTAACCTATTTTTAGGTTATATTTTGAGCATATATTTTAATTTCATATATTAGTGAAAGCAGTGCCCCATGAAAAAATGTACAAAGGCAAAAAGAAAGTGTCAACAAAGAAGGCTGTTTCTGAACATGTTACAATAACAACAGATGGGAAATATTATGTGTAACAACATATTATGGAAGATGATGAGTGTGCGAAAGCATGTATTGCAAAAATTAGTAGTTTTGTGGTTCTGTAGTTTTTGTAGGTTGAGCAAGAACTATATCAATCAATATAGGAAATTAATAATTAGTATATTTATTTCCTATATTGATATATAAACAAAGGAGTTAGAGTCAGTCGAAGGTACTATACATTCAGGAGTTGGAGTCTAAAGTTTTATGTACCAACAGCCCTGCTTGTGCTCACTTTGCTTTTTCCCTTTTTCAATTTCAGTGCAAAACATTTCAAAGAAAACATGAAAGAAGAGTCCTTATAAGTACCTCATTTGGATTAGGGAATGCAATATTCTTCATGAGAATTCTTACCTGGAGCCATAAAATGTGAAATAACTCCCAGTGCCTCCAGTTGTACTGATTCAACCATTTTATACTTCTGCATGGCTTTTGCAACACTGAAAGCAGCTGCTGTCATTATATCCAGAGGGGGGAAACTGGAGGTCAATTGCATAAACAATAAAGAGCACATTCCCAATTACACATTTGTTTACTAAATAGCTATTTTTCTCTATTGTAAATTGCTGCATGTATAGTATAAGCTACTTTGTATTATTTATTTTAAAACAGTAAATATTTTTCAAGCCTTTAGGCCAGCAGTGGGCACCATCCAGCTCATTTGTGAGCCCTGTGTCCCTCATTGAAAAAAAAAGTATTTGCACAAAACAGCAGTACCTGTATTGGCCATGGAGCAACAAGAGGGTTACAAGTTTATTCCTTGTAGTATGGTTTTTCCCTCTCTTAAAAAAACCTTGAGAAGGCACCCTACAGACTGCATGAGGCTCCACTGGATGCACCATGGGGCGATCCAGGGAACCTCCCAGTTGCCCATCTCTGCTTTATGTACACATGCTTTATTTTGGCCAGCATCCAACAAACAGGACAAACCTACTTCTGTTTCTTGCACACCAGCTCCACACTCTGTGCTATATGTGAAGGCAGGCTCACAACTGATGATGCCACTCAAAACAGCTTACAATATGGGATGTAGGTATGTCGTTCAATTTAACAAATACCAAACATCTCTTTGGTGAGCCTTGGACATACATAAAGTAGCACTCTGCATCCCACCCAACTGCCACAGACTTTTTGGATCAAGTAATATACACTGCATGCATTTCCATACAATGTGGTTGTGGGGAGAGCAGGATTCCGGCTCAGTGGAGAACAGTTCCCGAGCCATGCAAGCATCTACTGCAACATGACAGAAGATAATAGAAATGTCCTCAACACCCTGTAGCAAGTATAAAAAGGTAACTGACCCTCCTGAACCCCTGATATGGATGCAAAACTGTGTACTGGCTTTGGATGTAGTTTGGATTGCTTGGCCTAAACGTAGTTACCTTCCTTCAAAAGCACGATTCAGCAGTTTGCAAGCAGCTTCTGTGACTTCAAGGGAGTAGGGGTGCCTTCTCATCATTTCCAACACATTCACATGTATTCCTTTTGCCAATAGAACAGTTCTAATACTCTCTACAATGTGAAAAAGTAAACAAATCATGAATGCTGTGTGCAAGCACCCAACTTCTTACTACAATGGGGAAATGGGTGTCAACCAAATATATTGGGTTGGATCAAGACTAAATTGCATTCTTATTGTGATTTTCATCAAAGCAAAGCAACATCTAAGAGCCACAAGTAAGCAAACAAACAAAAAAGAAGCCAACATTCAATCTGCTCCACAGTATCTTATTCAAAGAGGAAATTTCTTCACTTTCCTAAGCTGTATTTGTTTGCCTATCTAGTAAAATGTTGTATTAAGATTTGTCTTTGTCTGTCTGGGACAAATACAGGTTTTCTCCTCTCCTCCATACCCATTTAGAGTTATTCAGTTCCCTTACCACTTTGCTCCAATAGTGTTGCCAAGGCATTTGCAGATGCTTGGAATACAAATGCTGAGGAAGAATGCATCAACATGGCTAGCATCAGTTCTCTGTGTGCTGGAAACCTAACAGAAAAAGAATCATGAACTATGGTAACAATGGAAGTGTCATAGCAAGAACTGATCCCAGTAAACTTGGCTATTGTTTTTTTCTACTATTCAGTTGTTACTTCATACTTGGGAAGAAGTACAAATCTAAAGTTGCTGTTAGCTGTCCAGAGACATTAGTAATTGGATGGCATACAAATTTTATAAATAAATAAATAAATAAAAATAAAGTAATCAGGAGTTAATGATAACGTACGGGTACTTTTTAGGTCTAACTTAAAGAGACAAGATTTACATCTCTTCTGCCATGATCCAACAGTTGAGTTCCTACTTCATGTTTGACATACTTTGTGATAAAAATTAAAATGCCAGAAGATTCAAGTATTTTACATCAACCCTAGTTCAAAGTCTGACTTCACATTTGCTATTCCTGGTTTGCTCACTAATGTCAACTTGAGGAAAGCTTATCAAATGTAATGGATTGGATTCTTTTGTGTAACTTCAGGGACTTCACATAAGGAGTTTCCCATCTACTCCTAAGGCAACCCTTTGTTAACCCTCAAAGAACCCCTCTATACCTGGGTAGGGGCTTTCTCTGTAATGTGCACTGGAAAATGAGGGTCTGTTGCAGAAGGGAGTAAATAAGGGAACTAAAACAGCATGCAAACAATTGCACATTTTACACACAAATAGCATTACAATGATAAAAGTCATTTAACTTAACTAAAATTGCACAAGAGTTGCCATATAATAGTGAAACAGTAAATAAAAATTAAACCAACTTAATAGTGATATCTAAGGACAAAGACAGGAAAAAATAATTGTGATAAAAACATCACAGTCTCAAATTACAAAGGAAAGCTGTAAAATTCAATGTGGTTACTTGCAAAATGCATCTCATCTAGATAAGTTTTTTCAGTGGCAGATTAAGAAGTCTTCAAATGATAGCTTCAGCATGCACCCAAAATATCCACTATATAAAATAGTGTCAGGGGAGGGACTGCTGGAGAAAAAGAAAACTTGCCTAATATTGGGCAGCCCTTTCCTAAAAAATTCCTCCTCCGCTCGGCAGCTCCTCCCCATCTTTGTCACATCTGACATGCTCAACAGTGCTACCCAGAGAGGCTTTTCAGGGGCTGAACTTGGCTGGGAGAGATGCTGACATGAATTTCCTTAAAGGTGCAAACCTAAGTGCATTCAGACAGAACAAAGGCCCAGAATTCCCAGCATTCCCCAGCTGCCTCAGGCACGCTGGGATTTATTTTCTGTATAAATTTGCATAGGTAGATTATCTTAGAGTCTGAGCCAGTGTATGCATGTCCATTCAACGGCTCCTTGCAGCATTAGCTTAACTAATATGACTACTTGCTGTGTAACTATGCCCATGCCAGTACTCCTACCCATGATATAACTTCTGTCTTTTGAAATACAGTAACTTTACCAAGAAGTCACATGAGACAAAGTCACAGCACACAGCCTTTTCATCTGATCTGTGATTTATGGTGTTACTGGACAGCCCAGATGACATCTAGACAGTCACTTACAGAGTCATCTGCACATTATTTTTCATGCTTTTCCCTCTGAGAATTATTATGCAAGAAAAGTACAACATATGAAGCACCACCTCTGTTAAGGCAGTAACCTTTTCCCAGGTTTGACTCTGCTGGTTAACATGAAGGATGCCAAAGAAGATTAAAAAGCTAGAAATATAAAATACATGTTTTGAAACATTCACTTCAAAATACTGACTTCTTCTCTTCATCTCCAATCTTCTCATGAAGACTGTGCTGGTATATAAACAGATTGTTCAAAGCCCAACATGCAGCCTCCTAAAGCAAAACAATATTAAACTATTCAGTCAATATACTCAATGTAGTTTTCAAATTATGCTAAGAATAATAATCAACATGATTTATGGCCATGATAAAAACTTCAAAATCCATACAAAAGGGCATAGTATTTTGATTTGAGATGTAAACAATATGTCAAGCACAATTCCAGTCAGCAACCGTTAATTAGCAGCACGAATCCCAATTGCTTCTGATTGAAATCAGTTAACATCCCTTCCAGGTATAATGAAATATATTGAGGTATGCTGTTAAATTAAAAAGGGCATGAAGTATTAGAAAGACAAAATGGGGTAAATAGTTTTTTATTTAAGATGGGGATCTTCTGTATGATATGAGATGGTGTGACTTAACAAAAATTTAGAATCATTATTCACACAATAAATTACCTGAAACTTGCCTTCTGAATGTAGCAGCTGGCTTGCAAACCCACAATCATATCTCATTTTTAATGGTTTGGTCATATATATGGCATATTTACCCTTTTATTGTTTGGCTATGGCTATTGTCTTGAGTATTTTCAGTTATTTTAAAAAACTTTAAAAATGTGTGTGCTAAAAAAATAAAATAACATTTCGTAAGAACTCATTAAAGTAAAGGTAAAGGTTTCCCCTTGACATTAAGTCCAGTCATGCCTGACTCTAGAGGGCGGTGCTCATCTCCATTTCCTAGCCGAGGGAGCCAGCGCTTGTCCGCAGACAGTCTCCATGGTCATGTGGCCGGCATGACTAAACACCGAAGTACACGGAATGCTGTTACCTGCCCACTGAAGTGGTACCTTTTTATCTACTTGCATTTTCATGCTTTCAAACTGCAAGGTTGGCAGGAGCTGGGACAGAGCAACGGGAACTCACCCCGTTGTGCAGATTCGAACCGGCAACCTTTCAGTCAATCAGCCCAGCAGCACAGTGGTTTAAACCACTGCACCACCTGCAGTCCCAAGAACTCATTAGGCACCATTATAATTATAATAAAAGGTGACCAAACTACAATACCACACACTTGTAAAACAATTACATTAAAATTCTTTTGACCAAAACCCCCTTAGTTGCCCCAGAATTGTTTGACTCATAGAAGATTAACAAGTATCAGTTTTAAAATAATTTCACCAGCTAACACCAAGGAATCTCCGTGGCTCCGGTGATCTTGATGTGTAACTTCTGCAACCAAGTGCAGCCCTTCCTACAAGGATCAGAACATAGTTTATGGGATTCCTGGACAATCTTCCATTTTGATGCTGTCCAGATCCATTATTAGATCACACAACTAGAAATCAGTGCACACTAAGGTGGACTATGGCATTTAAATCCATGTATTACATTGCAAGTTGAAGAGAAGTATGCAATGCTGCTCACACACCAGCAGAATAGACTGCTAAAAGAACCGGAAGCTGGCAGACCCTTCAGCAATTGGGGAAAAAAAAGACTGAATTGCTTATTTTTTAAATGGGGCAGGTCCACAGAACTTGAAGGAAACTCTGCTGACCTGTTTTGTTCTGGAAATAAATGTGTGTTTTCCAGTCAGAAGTTCTCATTCTTATTACATTTCCAGTGTGCCCTGCTAATGCACTAGAAACAATGGGATTGCAGTTGGTAGTACTGGATACTGACGCAGAACTCCAAACCCTGGATTTTGCTAGCTCTCCTGGCTACACCAGTTCCAAGGACAACTATGACTAAACTTTAGAACTTCACTAAAGAATGCCCTTAGGCAAGCTATGAACTCAGATTCCATTCCCTGCCAGTAAAAGGAGCATAACAGTAACATGACTCCCTATCCAGGTCTCTTATGAGAACAAGACAGGCTAAGAATTAGAAAACAGGATTTTAAAATTAAGAGTGCAGTATTGTAGATAAGGCAGTTAGACTTTAATAAATAAATTCTCAAGAAGAATCTTTTTATCCAATGTGATGGTTGCTTCTTCTTGTTACAATTTAAATAGGATCTATCATTCAAGATAGGAACTCTGTGTATTGAGACTCCCTTCTTATACTTCCCAATTTCTTACTTGAACATTTTCATTTTTTCGGTGCCATTTTAGTGCTTTATAGGAGGCTTCCAGCCAATATAATTTTTCTTCCTCTTCCTCTTCTCCTTCCAAGACTCTCATTAAAAATATTGTTTCCGCTTGGAGAAAAAAAATGACAATTTATTCATATTATCACATATGAATAAATTTATATTATCACATTTATTCACATATGAAAATGTGACTAATCCACTTGCTTTCACACTGCAGCACAGATTAGCAAAGGTGATTAAACACGATAATCCTCATTTCCAAAAGATTTACATTGCTTTTCTTGGCATGTGCTGGTCATTAAAAGAAGAAATAGTAAGAGGACATTTTTTACAGCAGAAACATTTGGCAGGAGCTCAGCAAAGTAAGATTTGGCTTGAGATTTTAAAATTGTGAATAATATTTTATAAATCCAAACTTCTGATATCAGAACTTTTTGGCATAGCATAATTAAGCATAATTAATAGGTAACAATGCTGGTAAGGTATACTTGCATACAAGCCCACGTAGTCCTACAGTCTACAGTCTGCTTTACTTTCAGTTCAAACAAGTAAGATTCTTTAAAATCCAAAGCAAACTCACTGTGATGTACTAGGACTGTCTCCCATTTGCTTGTCTTGAGCTAACCAACTGAAATTATTCTAGTCTTTCAAACAAGACTGTGTCTATTCACAATCACATAAACTAATTTTGTGCCTTCAAAACAATACATAAACTGAAAATCAATTATCCTTTGCAATGGAGTTTTCCATAAAAAAAACTGTAGAGGAAAGTGCATACAAAGAAGAACCTATTAATGAAAATAACATTCCATCTTGTTTATATTAGGCAAAATTGCATACAGAAATCCATGCATTGGGAGAAATGTCTACAAAACTGTGCTTGAATTTTTGTACAAATTTGTTTTTGTTTTAATTCCATTAAAAACCAAACCAAAATGGGAAAAACTCTGAAAATTCATGACTAAATAAATTTTAGACTGCAAAAAATATTGTGAGCAGAATATGGGTGATTCAGCAAGATGCAGGAAGCTATTTTCAGTAGCAGTCCTGTGGCAGTCCACAATGGAGGCAGAAATTAAGCCAAAAATGGGCTGCTAAGGGAATATGAAAAACGTGGCCTTGAGTTCAAGAATCCTAACATAAATATAGGAAGAACTCACACTTACAATCTTTTGATGTCATGCAATGTGTTCTGAATCCTTCATGACATTGCCTTTGGAGCAAGCCTATAGATATGCCCTTGCTGTCTAAACTACCTGTCAGGTAAGACAGGTAAGAAAGGTAAGAACGGCATTCAAACAGCTTTCCTTTCTTTGAACGCCTTTCTTTTCAGGTAAGAAAGGCATTCAAACAGCCAATATCAAAGAGAAGAGTTATGAAAATGAGATCACTTTAATTCATACAGTTACTTACTAAGGCGAGCCAAGCAACTGAGGCCTGCTGCTTGTAGCTTGGCATTCTCAGGGTACCTTTCAACAGCTTTCAAAATGACTTCATGAACATCATTCACTACCAGGATTTCAAAAAAGTTTTCTAGAGATGGGAAGAGAGTCCAAAAGATAACTGAGTGTACACAGAATGCACACATTTTACACGTATGTGTACTGTGCAGTGCTGGCTATAATCTGAACCATGGCACTTTTAAAAACATCCATAGCAAAGCAATCAGATTTTGCCATCAATGGCACCTAATTTTTGCTCTCAAGCCAACTCTGAATTGCTTGGATTGGGATGGAGCTCAAAGAGAGGGGCTACATGAATTCCAATAAAGAATGACAATCATGGATAAACCTTGATGTTTCAAGGAAAAGCCAAGTCAACAGAAGAACTACCTAAGGCCTGTCTGATTCTGCTCTTTTTGCAGAACCACATTTATTTTAAAAATGTGATTTGTTACATTCTTCTTTCTAGAATCGCAAAGCCCCATCTTGTGCATTTTTACTTAAAAGGCCTATTATACTCACTGGAACTTGTTCCAGGACTAGGGTGTCACTGTAGCTTTAAGAAGTCAAAAGAACCATGAAACTAAAGTTATAGGGGAAAATTCACCAAGAAATATCAGACACAGGCATGACACAATAAGGATGCAATTCTATGCATGTTCAAACAGAAAAGAAGACCTACAACTGTCAGCAATGCCTAAGACTTTTGTAAGATTTGTCCTTTTTTGTATAAACACGCACAGAGTCACATTCTAAGAAATGTTTTCTTTATAAAACAGCAAGCACACAACACCCAAATGCAAGTTTGTTCCTTCTGGAATTATTCTCATTATGCAGCTGGGTTTCTTCCTTTCCATTAAGGCGCTATTTACCTCAAGAAAAGGTATGAATAAAGGCTCAGACTAGTTCAGAAAAGATTAACAATAAGGTTACATTATTTGCCTATGTGTGCACTGAGTGCATCTTCACATGCATGAGTTTTATGGTTACATGTTTTTTCTCATTCAGCTCCTCATGTAGCATTTGTGATTGCCCCCAAACTTCTTCTGAGACTCAGGAGATTATTGTCAAACGGTAGAAAGATCTGCCTTAAAAATAAAATAAAAATTAGGAGCTACAGGAGCTTTGGCATGGGCACAGGGTTGATCACACACACTCTTTTGCTACTATTTTTCTTTCCAGATATGATAATCTTGTGCCAATGTTCATATAATAGTCTTGTTCTAGGACTCACCTAGTGTAAGTTTGTGCAGCAAGCAGCAGCTCACTTCCTGAATTGGTTCACTCTTGGGGAATGCTTTCATCATCTTAACTACAATCCTGTAACACCTCACATTTCCAGACATCAGAATTTCCACATTGATAGCTATAAAAACATACAAGAAATAAGCATACTAGTATACAAAACAAAACAAAACCAGTTCATGCTATTTAAATATACACAGGTTTAACGTTTTTTAATTGGCTGATACTTAGGCACACATGAATGTTGGGGAGAATATTTAAATGTTATTTAAGGCTAGAAAAACCTGCAGTTTTTTGTTTAAAGTTCAAAAATTCTCTATTACAATTTATGTGATTGTAGTATAAATAATTTTAATGTATCTGCAGATAACTTCTTCATCATACTATAACTTGCCATGTATCTCAATTTCGTAAAACAAATCCTTCATTTCCTCTATTTGATTTATTGCCAGACAGAGCAAGCCTAGACAGTCTACAGGATAGAATTTTTCAGAATCCATGCTCCAATACTAGAGCTGGGACTCTGCTCCTGAAGACTCTGGCTTGCAGCCAGCACAGAAAGAACGGCTCCAGCTGCTTCTTTGAAGTCTTAAGAGCAACCTTAAGATTGGATTGAGTGTGGGGCCTGGGGAGTGGAGGAGAACATTGCCAAAATATGAGGTGATGTCTGGTGATGCCTCAGCCTCCTTCCTTCTCCATGTGACGCACCAGTCAGACAGACAGAATTAGTGGTCTCCCTGCTTTGCAGGGCAGAAGGAGTGCAGATGCCACCTTTGCCTTGTGTAGCAAAGGCTCCTCACAATCCTCCATGTTTAGAGGGTATGGATAGCCTCTCTGGACTGCGCTCCAAGGCTCTGATCTATAACAAGCTGTGTGCTATAAGATATAAAGCCTTCTTAATTCTGGGGTGCTAGCTCATCAAATCTGCTACCAGCATAAACAAATCACTAATCAAATCATATCAACAAGCTGATGCATTTTTAAAAACATTAATTTGCTTTAATTAATAAATAAATTAATGAACAGATAAACAGATAAGCATGCAAGCAGCTTTTTTTTAAAGAAAAAGTGGAATAGAAAGCCTTCTGAAAGCACAGGGAAGAAGCAAGACAGACTTCTGAACTAGCTTTTGATTTGCTAGTGAGAAAGTCTAATGTTCAGATTGCAAGATGGGAAGTCTCCTGACACACATAGTGGCTGAAAGACCTGCTAAGAATGCTGATGTTATCTTATGTCTTTCTTCATTCTTCTATTTAGAGTATTAATATACCACTCTATACATTGAAAGAAAGCAAGTCAGCAGTTTTAATTTTTAAGTCAGATTATGTCTCTAAAAACTGCTTACTCAGGAAGGCCTGTTTAAATAAAACAGTCTTTAGAAGGCATTGAAAACAAAATGTATTTTTTTTCTTATTGCATTCTCACAATAATTTTAGTTACAGAAAGTTAGGATCAATGCAATGTTTCATGAATTGAAACAGGTGAAGTATCCAGTTTGCTGTTAAGTTTACAGGCCACTGGACAGTTTACGAAAGGGTTTGCTGAACTTGTGTTTCACTGTCAAAATAAAATTCTGAGAAGCTTGATGTTTTGAAGCTAGATCATTTACACAACCACAAAATAACAGCAAACAAGATAATCCAATGAAAATCCTAGTGTTAAGAGTTAACCCTGTATTAATAAGTTATGCAGAACAACCCACAGTATTAAACTTTTTCATTCTTAGCTGCACTGTTATTTTCAGCTATCCTGATCTGGATGCACTTCAGTCTAAAAAAGACATTTTTTTTGCCAATGAAACAAAGGGGGTGGACAACACACAGCACAGGGCCCCATATGTCCACTCATCGTCCTAGGTATGCCTCCTTCCATCCCTGAACTGTTGAAATTCAGTACAAATGGAAAAAAACGGATGGTGTGCTGCTGGAATTTAGTGGCGACTTGGTTCTGAGTCTCAAAGGAATAATATGTAAAGCAGTATGTAGCTTGTATTCAAGCTTAGCATGACCCTTTTGAGTCACCAAAGTGGGATGCCACTATTGTTTTCATTTTGTCACTGAGGTGATACAGGAACAGGCATGCAGCCCAGGGGAAGAAGGGGGCAGAAGGGAGTTTAAGGAATGGAAACTGCCTGCACTTATCTTCCCATGAATTTTTTTTATTATTACTGTGTTGCATTCATATCCTGCCTTTCTTCCTCTTGCAAGGAACCTAATACGGCTTCCAGTTTCTCCTACTCTCCATTTCACCCTCACAACAACCACCTAAAAGACAGTGACTGGTTCAAAGTCCCGTCTAGATCATTCCTTGTCCTTGGAAAGCCAGTGAGGTGTAGTGGTTAAGAGTACAGAACTTACACTCAGATGATCCGGGTTCTAGTCCCCACTCAGTCATAGAACTTACTGGATAACGTTGGGAAAGTCTCTGAGTGACCTGGGCTAGTCCCCACTCAGCCTCACATAGTTGTTGTTGTGAGGATATGAGGGAGAGGAAAAGGAAAATTACACAAACTTCCTTGAATTGCTTGAAGGGAAAGAAGGCAGGATAGCAATATAATTAAAAAATAAGTCACCCAGTGGGTTTCATGGCTGAGCGGGTACTAGAAGTCAGATTTCCTACTCTCGGGAACACTAGAAGTCAGACAGTTGGGTTCATCGAACTCAGTCTGCCTGTACCAGACTTCCCCAAACAGGTGCTTCATGAATGCAGCAGAATGCAACAACTGTCAGTCATTGGCCATGTTGACTAGGAATGATTCTGTCCTGCACATTTCAAGGGCACTAGCTTGAAGCAGACCACCCTGAACTGACTGACAGCAGCTCTTCAAATTTCAGTCAGAGCCAGTGTGGTGTAGTGGTTAAGAGCATGGGACTGGGACTCAGACGATATGGGTTCTAGTCCCTGCTCAGCCATGGAGCCAACTGGGTGACTTTGGGCCAGTCACAGACTCTCAGCCCAACCTACCTCACAGGGTTGTTGTTGTGGGGATAAGATGGAGGAGGAGATTGATGTAAGCTGCCTTGAGCCCTTTGTAGGAAAAAGGCAGGATACAACTCGAATAAATAAATAAATAAATAAAATAGATGCAGATGCCAGGGACTAAACTTGGAACACTCTCCATGTAAAACATGTGCTGTATAAAAACAGCTGTAAATTCTCACATGCTGAACTCTGCACAACCATTTTAGCAACCAATCAAGTTCTGTTTACATAAGAAAAAGTCCTACAACTCCCAGGTTCCTGCAGCCAGTTATAATGACTCAGGAATGCTAGAAGTTGGGGCGGGGGGGGGGGGGGGTTCTGCCCAGACATTCATAGGATTGTGTCTTTATTGATGTTTTTTAACTGCTAACCTAGCAAAACTGTGTCCACACAGCACCTTCCGAATATTCTAGGAGCATGAAGAGTTCACTGCACTGTTATACTATTCAAAGCAATATTCTGAGAAACCTTTATTTATAAGGTCTTCCATTTTGGCTATGGAATGCCAGATGTGGGCAGAGCAGTACATAAAGACAGCAGCCATCCCTTCTATGGTTCACACCCACCACGGAAATAATCTTGGCATTTTCTCATCAACTACCCCCTTGCACTGAGTCTTGTTTCATACACCACTGTACTGTGCTGCATTTGTTCCCAAGGATAACGCAACAGTTAGCCCTTAGTTGTTTTGAACAATCTGATGATACCAACCCCAATGACTTGCCCTGTCTCCCCTTTTCAAACACAGAACTGACAGCAAGAAAGGAGTATAGTCAATGAGGGAAATTAACTTCCAGTAATGCAAATCTGAAACACCCTAATTTAGACAAAAATACAATGCAGGGGAGGGGTCTTTTTGGTTGTTTACTTTATTTGTTTTTGTTTTTTTAAAGAAAAGGTGGCAATGCAGAGATTAAAACTGGCAGTGGTAGTGGAGTCTTCTCATTCTGTACTACTTTGCACCATTCTGCCACTGTGCTGACATGTTCAAGCTGGACACATCCCTGACCTGCCAATTTCATGTTTAGGTTTGTCACCTGTTTTACTGAACCTGCTTTGTGCCTCTATCAAAGTGAAGACTATATGTATCATATAGCTCCATGTCAGCAGAAGCTTTGCTTGCCTAATTGGTGCCTTCTGTTGGATCAGACCACTGGGCAATTTTGCTCAGTATAATTTATAAGAGCAGCCATCTAGAATTTCAAACAGGAGCCTTTCCCCTCATCCCCCAAAATGCTCAGAGATTATTGTTATACACCACATAAGTATCAGAGTACACCAGTTACATCTTTAAGAATTATCATTATCATTCTTAAAGACAGAAAATGCCCACACTCACCCCACCAATATAAAAACAGCAATACTTACATGGTCCAGCCAGTAAAGATAAAGACAGAAGCGCAAGATGGACTAGTTCCTCTTTCTCAGGGAATTTTTTAAACACATTTAGTAGGATCATATAATCCTTGTCATCAATAAATTCAATCAGCTGCTCCTCTGGAACTGAATTGAAATACAAAGACTCAAGTAAAGCATAAACAGATGATTGTGGATATACTGATCAAATCATATTCACAAAAGGTGGTCCTAGGACGCAAGTGATCTCTTCTGAGCATGGGCCAGATACCTTTTGCCTCTTACCACAGAAAATCTGAGTATATCAGTATGTGAGAAGGAAAGTAGTCAAGGAGTTCTGGCTCAGGTGAGCAATACCTGAGAAGCAAACTTAAGAATGAGGCTGGAGAGAAAAGAAGCTGGGCCTAGGCCTCAAGTAAGAAGGTTTTGAAAAATGTCTTCAAAGAAAAACTCCCTGACTGGTAGCTGAATAAAGCAGTGTCTGCATCAAATTCCAGGAGATCTCCATTTTATCTTCTTTTTCCTCTTCCACTGGTCAAAGTTTCTGTCATTCCCTTTCCTTCTTTCCCTCCCTTACTCTGCACCTTTTAGTTTTATTCTTCCTGAACCACCATATCACTGAGCTGGTGATAATTTCTTTTATAACTAGAGAAATTCTCTCATGATTTTTTCCTAAGCAACTGGTCTTCCAATGGTATTCTGTTCTCGAGCAGTTCTTTCTTGGGGTATGGAAGATGACCAGTCTGCAGTTATCTCTGCTTAGACTCTCTCCTTTTATACAAAAACAAAATTTCTTCCACCTTTCCCTTTCTTCCACCTAAGAGGTATATAATTTCCCAACATGATGACGTTTTCATATCCTCCCAGTCATTGGAAAATGCAGAGTTTTTTCTTCTTCTGGATTAGAAAGAAAATGCATCTTTCCTTATTCAGGATTTCTGCTGATTGCCCTTGCAATGGGAATTTGCACTTCTGCTGTACAGAGGAAACCCATACTTCCTGTATAGGGAAAACATTCTATTTTGTAGATAATGATAGTAGTAGTAGTAGTAGTATTTTCATTTCTATACTAGCCAAAGCTCTCTAAACAATTTACAACATTTGGTGGTTTTTACATTTGCCATACTGCAGGCTCAATGTGTTTGTTTATTCCTGACTTAACATCCCCCCATCCCTTTTTGCACACTTCTGCCCTTCCTTTGCCGGCTGCCACATTGCCTTTGGCTGTTACTGATGCTAAGCAGCACCAACTGGGATGGTGTTTGGGAGTCATATCAGGATGCTGTCTGAAGAAGCAGTGGGGAAAACCTGGCAGCCTAGAATCCTGTAAAACCTGGAGGTGATTTCGTACTGGGTCAAAAGCATTTAAATAGTCATCTCACTTCCAGTTCTGTCATCACCTAACAGTATATCATGAATTGTTTCTCTCAGTTCACTATCCTGCATTCTTATTTCCTACAGAACACTCTTGGTGACCAGTTTGATGCCGCTCAAGCCTCTCATGCAAAACAGATTTTTTTTGGCAAATGTCTTCCTGTGCAAAATTATTGTATTATTGTCTCATTCAATATCTGTGCAAACACCAAAGAACAACATTTTTCCAAATATAGTTACATCTCTGTATTCCAACTCTCCTGCATCTAGGAATTTCCCTTATTTAACACTGATAATTTTGTATTGTATTTTATTGTGTTGTAAGCCGCCCTGAGGCTTCAGCAAGGGGCGGCATAGAAATGTTCTAATCATCATCATCATCATCATCATCATCTCACCAAGTAACTGGGAACACCTAATTTTAAAGCAAAACATGTCCTTTGTGCCATCTGGTGCTATGTTAAAATTACAGATACTCTGTGTTAGAACTTGAACATAATTTATTGGTAATTGCCAACATGATAAAATGAAGCTTTATTGCACCATTCTTGAAAAGTGCTTATACCAGCTTTCCTTAATGCCTTCCAAATATTTGAAATTTCAATTCCCATCTGCCTCAGCCAGCACTGAGTGAGTAAGTTGAAGATTGCAAGTCATAACATCTGGAGGTTATCAAGTTAGGGAAAGTTACATCAGAGTGGAATGACTGGTGTCCCCTTCTACTTTCACTTCTTACCTCAATTCTCTGATTTGGCAAGGCGGAAGCAAGTTCTCTTCACAGGAATGAAGCACACAGAACATTCCTGATCTTTTAAATCAGGGAAAAGAAAACACACAGTACTATAACCTACCCTGATCTCTTAACCATAGCATGTGTGTACTGGCCTTCAGTTGAGTCCCTTACACATGACCCCTGATTTTATCATTCTTAATGCCCATCTAAGTGGAGAGCAACAGAAAAGCTACTAAAAATAGTTAAAGAGCTATGTTTTATTTTGCAAAACCAAGAGAACTGAAAGTTAGTTTCTTTTAATGCACAGGCATTTCCATGTGCCCTGTTTTCCACATGATATGGCCCCTACCATTTACCTGCTCAACATGGCTTTACCACTAACAGTTCTGTCCTTCGTTTCTGGGCTGCTTAGCAGGTCAATGATCTTAGCACCAGGAACACCCACAGTATTCACTGTGTAATTCGGAGTAATTCTGAAGTCATTTTCAGTTGAAGGAGAAATACTGGACAAGAACCTGAAGTGTGCACATTTGGATTGCAAAGTCTTTGCAAAATGGTAGCTGGGCTATTGGCTTCTAATCATTGGCTCAATATAATCATGTGCAAAACAAATGAGTCAATAGTTATTAACTCAGTACTACATATTTGCTTTCATGGGTCTGACTTTACACAGAAGCAGATTTTCACAGATTAGTAAGCCAAGCTTGCACACCGAAGGGATGCTGCTGATCTGCACAGCCCACAAACTACAGTTACCCCTCCTGCTGCTCTTGCAGGGAAGTTTTACAACTCCTCAGGCACAAAGAGAACAGTGAAGGTCAATGTTTGTGCTGGCAGCACAAAGAATGTAATTTAAAGAGAAAGGAGGAGATCTATGGCTAAAGGCTGTTTTGGGGTCTTTCATGTTTTTTTGAATATGCACCCCAGTTAATGGACAGTCTGAAACTTTCTACTTTAAAGATGATGGACTGTGTTGAAATCTGCACACCACGCCTGCAAGCGGTCAACCTAAGATAGATTTCAAGGCTTTCTGGAGACCATGCTATTAGATCATTTAAAAGCTATTAAAAAAAACAACAACAACAGCTTGACTATTAATCTTCTCTGAAACATGTTAGTTAATGCTGTTGCTTTATGGGTTGACAAGGCAAAACAGTGCTTGGAAAATGAGAAAGTGACAATGATTTTACTGAAAATCTAGATAAAGGAGTATTTTTCTTCTTTTCTTTACTTATCTTCCATCCCTCTTTCCTGTTCTCCACGCAACACCACAAGCATGTAGACCCAAAGTATATTATCACATTATTTACCTTTTTCTAAAAGTAGGTGCAAAGCTTTGCATCCATATTGCTGGATCTTTTCATTATCAGAATAACTCTCCATGGCATCAATTATCAATAGAAATACATCCGTCCCTTCTTCCAAAAGAAGAAGTGTTATTTCATCTAAAACACAGAGGAAAAAATCTACAGGCAAATTGTTTACTAAATATTCATCTCTTCATTGACTCATAATGCATTTAAAAGTGCACAATTATCTTGTAATACAATTTTCTCACACTGCCTTGAAAAGCCAAATTCTGTCTATATATTTGGACAGAATTCTGTCCAATATCTCGTAAGGCCTATTCAGAAGTAGGCCTTACTAAACCCAGTAGGGCTTACACCCAGAAAAATGTGCATAAGTTCACAGCATAAAGTACACTGCTACCTTGCTCATTCAGAAGGTCCACTGAAATCAATGTGATCTGCAACCAAATCATTTCTCATATATTTTTAATATTAGAAATATACTCAAGAGCAAAAACTGTTAGTAGCATTTTACAGAACTGCGTAATCTGACAATTTGTAATTCAGCACTAAAAAGGCTTGCAAACAGCTCCACATGTACAGAAAATGCCAATAAAGCTTGCGTCCGTTAGCTAAGTAACAGGGTTTACATTTTCACTTTGAAGCTTGCGCAACATAATGTGAAACCACCCTCTTGGCTGAAGTATGAACCCTTTCATTCAGGGATATTAAAGCTCCACTCCCTCTCATCTTTTGTGTATCTTTATTGTACCAAGAGACTTTGATAAAGTACACATAGACTGCAACCCTACATCCACTTACCTCAGGGTTAGCCTCACCAAACTGAATGAGACTTGCTTTTAATTAAAGCACTGTAAAAAGTGTGTATTTTGCGAGGAACTGTTATTAAAAATACATATGTAAATGCACACTTTCATGCACATTTTATTTTTTAAATCACAGATTAATGTGAAAAGAGATGAAACAGACACATGAACAAAAATATGCAAAACTGGACCAGAAACAGACTGATCTGACCATCCCTATTTTCACTGAAACAAGCCTAGTACTGGAGAATATGGAACAATTTCCAAATCTTGGGAGTTTTCTTCCTGTTCCTTTGGAACCTTAAAGTAAATCATGGAGCTCTTTGGCTCCATTCCCCCTCTTTTCCAAGAATTTATCTGACTCTATGCACATATTCTGCCAGCTACCAGGGTGAATGCCTGCTCAGTCATGCACTCACACACAGAATCTTTTCTTCTCCTGTTTTCATTTATGTCTTGAACTGCAATAGACCACAGTACAAAGCAACAGATTAGGATACAGAGCATATGCCAACCTCTCTCTTGGGGGTGGGGGGAGATTAGATTTACCTATTTATTTTTTATAGATTAAAAGCAAAACAAAGTCAAGGATTTCATCCGACAACCCTGAAAACAAAAGCTGGCAGTATTGTGCATAGCACTTCCCCCTTCAGAAACTATACACTTTTATGTGACAGCACACTGAGGGTAAGACAGTACCTGAAGAAAGAAGCAGGTTTAATGTTTTAAGGCCAGTTGTTGACAGGAGTATGCTCGCATTGTGGATTTTAAGCATCTTAAGAATATGCCTAAAGAGAAAGAAAAAAAATGAACCTAGTACAAAATATGGAAAGTTGGGTCCTCTGTCTCGGTGTACCACTATATTGGTTATGTAACCACAGAATGCTACACTGGGTAAGCATTTTCCCTTCTGTGAAATATCTGTAATAAAATAAAGGCTGTAGTATTTATTCATGGTAGCCATTCTTGAGCCAATGCTCCCCATCTGAGCAGGCATTTCTCCACTTTGTTGAAGCAAAACACATAATTGGCAGCACATGGTACATCTTTTGGCAAAAGATCCATTTGTTCTCACTTTTGTCATAGCATGCATATATGCATGAGTTCATGTATATATGCAAACAAAGTATGTTTACTAACAAGGATGCTCTGAGTTCAAATCCTTTCTTGGTTATGAAGCAGTAAGCCTTGAAGCTAATCTAACTCTTAGCCTAACCTAACTCTCAAGTTTGTTGTGAGTTATTTAAAAGGAGGAAGTACTATGTACACATCCTTGTGGGGAATGATGTGGTATCAATACAATCATGTAAGTAATAACTAAAAACCTGCCAGATAATTAGAGGCAGATGTTATATAAGGGAGCCAGTGTGGTGTAGTGGTTAAGAGCATGGGACTGGGACTCAGACAATCTGGGTACTAGTCCCTGCTCAGCCAAGGAGCCAACTGGGTGACTTTGGGCCAGTTATAGACTCTCAACCCAACCTACCTCACAGGGTTGTTGTTGTGGGAATAAGATGGAGGAGGAGAATGATGTAAGCTGCCTTGAGCTCTTTGTAGGAAAAGGCAGGATATAAATTGATAAATAAATAAATAAGCAAGCAATTACCTAATTCCCCCCACTGCGCCACACAAAAGCACATTGTCTTGCAATGAAGTTATTTATTTTAAAAATTACAGCCAGATTTCAGTAAGAGGCATTCTTTGCATTAACTAGGGAGGGAATGATTTAGCCATTGATAAAGGGGTTTCTGACATTTAGAAAGAAAAAAACACACAGTCATTAGGCTCAATGCTCGTTAAATTGCTATGGTGTCTTGTCAATATTTATTATGCCGCATAGCATTTTCCAAGGGCAAAATTGTCACCTGGGCAGCCATCTTGTATCAATAATCTACACTACACTGTCATACTCCAAGCAAAGATTCAACACAGCACAAAAACATATCACACAGCAGGGTGAAATGATCCCTGAGAATTTAATTATTAGATTCAGTCCATGTAAATAAACTATAAAGACATGAAATGGAGTAAGAAAGGGATAAGTTTCCTCAAAATCTGTGGAACTATCTGAGCAGGATACAGCACTTAAGGCCGGGGGGGGGGTGGCGGGGAGACATCATGGCACCCCTTAAACTCACACTACTAGCAGATCAGGTGTAGTGAACAAGAAGAACCAGCAGATATAGTCAGAAATAAAGCATTTGTATACGGTTAAGCAGCAATGAAAATTGCAGCATTACAAATCACATTGAGGTGGACAACTTCTCTTATTCTGAAGGTCCACCTCAATTTTAGAGAAGCTTCTGGGGCCACATTCCAGTGGTAGATAGTCCAAATGTGAAAGAGGCCAAAAACAAAAAATACCACTTTAGTGTAACTTAAGAGTTGTTAATACTGGCAAATGTTTAAATGATTGGTGGTTGAGGGAAATGGGGTATAGCCACAGGGAGAATACTATAGAACTAGACTGGGAGCCTAGGAGGGTTAGTTTTGAACTTGAGACCTAAGCTCCCCCATCCATGAACTACATGCTCCAAAGTATCAAAGGAAAATTTTTAGACTGCGTTCTCAAATAAAATTTGGGAGAACAGATTGTGCTTAGTCTGATTTCCAAAAGAAGAGCTCTGTTTTGAACCCCTTCTATTTGTCCTGAAAGAATGACTTCTAGGTTCATGAGTACTGCAGATGATTCCCAGTGATGACAGGCACTCTGTACATTTTCAAAGGCATTTTTCTTTATTAGGTTATTGTAGGAATACTATTTTAAAAGTGGTCAAATGGGGACTTTTTAGGTAATATGATCCATGGTTCACTATTTCCTGCAGGTACAGTCCAACTGGTTCAGCTGCTAGCATTATTGCTGTTTTTATTATGTGCCTTCAAATCATGCTTGACTTGGAGCAAACTATAAATGAAAGATCTTCAAAATGACCTATTCACAACAACCCTGTTTAACTCATGTAAATTCCAAGGTGTGACTTCCTTTATGGTGTCAAATCATCTCATATTTGGTCTTCCTTTCCTTCTCATCTTCGATTTTCCTTAACTTACTCTTTTCTTAATGCTTCAAATGGGTAGTCCACCTACACACGCTACACATCCACTTAATTTCAAAGATTTGATTCTTTTAACTTGCACTCTTTGAGAGTAAATGCAGTAATACAGCTTCAAATTCTAATATTGCATATGCAAAATATGAACTTGAATTCCTGTAAATTCAACAGTTTTTGATATGAACACTAAATGAAGTTTATCAAGATGGCTGTATACCGTCCATAGAGCTGATAGGCTAAAGGAATGGTATAAAAATGTTTCAATAAATATTATACACAGCAATCTTCTCCCTTATGTTACAAAGCTAAAGCATCAACGTACTAGGGCTTACTGCATTGTATTGAGGGATTTTCTTAAATTCATTTGATTGATTCATATATGAACTCCTCATTTTCTAGGAACTGTACTTTTATTTTACTCTGTAAAGCATTATGGATTGGATCAAATGTACCCTTCTGTCAACCAAGAAGGCTTGAATTCAGCAATGGCTTTGCAACCAGAAATGAGGAGTAGGTGATGTTTCAGTGATCCCCCTGCAGCCTCCATACTGCCTCCCATGTTGTTTCAGAGTCCAGCTGAATCTGGCCCTCCAGATTTTTTCGCCTACTAATCCCATTGTGCTCGTCATTGGCTGCCGGGCTGCAAGTTGTCCCCTACTGCACTGGAACAAGTAATGATAAAGCTGCTACAGGCTTTTCTTTAACCTTCTCAAAGGCAGTTTAAAGAGGGAAGTGAAACACTGACACTTCCCCTACTTCCTGCAAACTGTGTAACAATAGGTGTTGAAATTATTTATCAGCATTCAGAAATGTCATGAGAAAAGAACTTCCTATTTCCCCCTTCCTGAGGAACTTGTGTTACTTGACTAATAATATTCCCCCTTTATTACAATATTGGCCTGTGAAGTAACAAAACCACTGTTCATTTCAATAATTTTTTTCAGTCCATTAAGCCTAATTCCATAAAAGACGTTTCTGTTCTCCAAAAATAAATCAATGCCTTTTGAAAGATTTATCACTGAACTCCAATGCAGCACAGTTGTGTGTTTTTTTTTTTTTTTTTTTTTGAATTTCTTTCACAGTGGTCTGATATCTGTAGCATACCCACAGAATAAGTATGAGATGGACAGACTAAGAAAATGGCATAATGCCAACATATTCTGATTATTTATTTTTCATCTCTTTTTAGCATGGATTATATGGACATTTCTACCAAAAATATCTTCAAACATGAACAGGACATAAACAAAAACAATTTGCACATGGTAAGCAGTATGACATACAAAGGATTTCTTAATACACTTCATTCCTTTCTGAAGTTGAAAAGCAAACACATTTTTTTCAAATGGGGACAGCAGGATAAGGTGGTGGGAACCCTACATAATGTACCACTTCAGAAAAACAACTGATCTGATATTTGTTCTATATATGTTAGTGAGTTGTATGTATCCTGATCTAATTGCTCTTTGGCCCAAGTATTATGGAAGCAGTAACCTATGGTTTTGCTGAGCATCTGAAATGTTCTGATAAATGTTTAAAGGAGAAAATATTACAATTTATCCAGTAATGAAACAGGTGTTTCCTATTTCCCTACTATACAGACAGTGACTCATACACTCTACCCTGTTTTTTACACATTAACATACTTACTGGTGAACACCAAGTACTTCCCAGTCCTTTCCAACACCTTGAGGAGTGGCTAAGTTATGAAGAGTGTCTGGACAAACTTCAATAAGTTTGCAAAGAAATTCCCAACCAACCTTGAAAACAAACAAAAAAAAGCAAACAAAAAATTCAGTTTTTATAGAATCAAGGCCACTTATGCCCAACCTGAGTCATAATAGTTAGTTCAATCTCGCAGCCCATGTGAACATCTCTTATTGTGATAGGTATCACTTACCTTATGACAGGTAGAAACAAAACTTTTCCTACTGTTGGGGTTTGATTACAAGCTTTTACTTTTCAGAATGATGCACTCGTCTATATGTGCATCTTGAACAGCTACCAGACTGAATTTTCTTTATGTTCCCATTCATGCATATTATAATATATAGACATTCACACATTCAAATGTATATTTAGCGACACAAACACAGACATCTCAAGTCTTTCTCCTGTAGCCCAATCTGGATGTTTTCATTCTGCATTTTTTGTTGAAAAATACAGCCAAAGGATCAGTTGAGGCACATATGATTATTTTCATTCAGTCATATGATGTCTTGGGAGATGGTATTTATTCTTAAGTATAGGTATTTCCCAACATTATTCAGTTTTTCATGGTGAAAGCGTCAGGATGCTAGCTTACCAATGATATAGATCACAGATTGAAAGAAGACACTGTGGACTCCACTGTGGATTCATGCACTACCAAAGCACTCTGAGCCCAGATAATATGTAAGCAATCTCCACATTATTCCAGCACAAAGAATATCCATTTAAATGGCAAAGTGCACACAAGTTGCCATCAATTGTGAATGGCCCACTTTAAATAGCTACATCTCTGCACAAAAAATATGTAAGTGGTAGTCTGGGAAGGCTCTGACCACTTCTAAGCTTCTGACAGAGAAGTCTACATTTTCAATTCACAATTGACTAGAGTATGAATGCAATGCTGTTTCAGCTTAGACACTTTCCGTAGCTGGATTCACAAAGAAAACCCTGAATTGGTCCAAAAATATAAAGCAAAGCTAGTCATTTATGGGAAGACAGGAGTGGGGAACCCACGGCCCTTGTGATGTTGCTGGATGACAACTTCCACAACCCATCTGCATGGCCAATGGCCAGGGATAACAAGAATTGTAGTTTGCCAATATCTCAAGGGCCATGGTTTCACACACCCTTGATCTAAGGGCATTGGGGTACAATCTGGCTGGGGCATGCTGGGAATTATAAGATAATTTTGCTTTCAACTTTCTTCCTAAAATGATCAAGGCAATCCAGATAGACATTCCTTCTTCTATTTCAAAAGATAAAATACATTAAAGTGTGATTCCTGTTAATTTGTGGAGGTCACTCCCTCCAAATATACACAGATAGCCCACATCTTGTTCTGTGTTGTTATGCTGATCCTGTGCAGTAGCTGTGGTTTCAGGAGCTTTGCTGCCAGTTCCGATTTCAAAGGAATAGACCCAGCTACTAGTGGAGCATTAGAGCACTTGTGAGTCTTAACAATGCTACTCCAAGGGCTTTTGGAGCATGGTGAGGAGATGAAATGATTGTGAAGGCTGCCAGAAATCCCTTATACTAAAACCAAAGGGATACCAAGACAGCCCTGTTCCCCTACAGTCAGTGTAGAAAAAAGCAGGAACAACTGGTAAAATTTATCCTGGAATCTATTACTTCAGGCTGCTGCTGTTTGTTTGCATGTTCAAATGCTTCACCACAACAAGTAAATTCCTATGCATAAAAAAATCCAGGTCAGAGAAATGAATTGGTCTAGCTTTCTCACTGACATACTATTTTTATTTATGCCATTTTCATCGTCATAAGGCTTAAAAATTTCCTGGTCTAATTTCCTTCGGACCCTTCCCCTCTCATTCCGAAGGAAAAGTTTTCCCACTTGATTTCCTAGATTTCAGAAAGCCAGAGCAGCAATGTTGGGGAGGGCCCTAAAATCAGACACAGCAGCACTGCCTTATGTAGGATGCTCCATCAACTTTAAGCCACAAGTTTTCTGCAGCAGTGAAGCTAAACGTAGAACTAGGATGTTCATTTGTTCAGATGAAAAGGACGCTGTAAAGAATACATATTATCAACACTCCAAAATGTACAGGCTCTTTTACTATACTGAAAAATTAAACCTCAAGAAGCACTAAATGAATAAGAATATTTGCATGGTTCTAGACAAGATGGATGTTGGATACCTACTCCTTTGTTTCTGTCTAAAAGCCTCTGTTTTATTATGCTAACTATATACCCACATCATTCTCACTTTAAAATTTTGATCTGTACTCCAGATGTTTCCTGTATTTAAAAACACTGTTCAAGTTATGTTATTTGCTTGTTAAACAATATGCCATGCAAATATATTCTTAAATTTAATTCATTGAGAGACATTCTGGATGGAATACAAGTTCATTTCTTAAGATTCAGTCTGATTCCAATCAAGAGTATTTGAAAATGTGAATGCTTTTTGTAACAGTTTATTATTATTAACAGTAATTAAAAAAAGATAATATGAATGCTCTAAATGCATATTTCCTAGCAACTTTACTTGTGGTTTCATATTTCATTGACAAAATGTACATGTAAATCAAACAAAGCCAAGTAACTTTCTTTTAAATAGTATGTTGTGCATTTTTAAAACTGGACTGATTTGTTAGAACACCAAAAGCCACTAATAAGACATACAATTGAGAAGTTCCTGCCCCTCTCCAAAAGCTGCAGTGTTTTTAAACTTAATCAACATTGGAAAACAGTTGTTTAGGTATGAGATCTTTTCCTTTTGACATCCCATGGCAGTCCACATTTAACAATTAAATCTTTTTCCCGACAAGGAAATAACCTGATTAATTCATCTGAGTATTTATGTCTGTTAGACAACAGCTAAAAGGCCTTGGTGTTAGTCAACTCCACTTACTACATAACAGTAAAGTTGGTTAGACGTTAAGTTCGCTAATCACTTATCTCGGAGCAACCCAATTTCTGAATAACTTGCATTTACTCTGATAGGAACTGTTTTGGAGCAGTAACATTCCAGAGCTGAAGTTAAATTCCCTTTAGCAATTCAGATGTGAAGTGAATTCGGTTCAGATCTCTCTCTCTTCCCTCTCCCTCTCTCACACACACATACATACGTACGTGGAAAAAAGATGGTGGTGGGAAACCCCTTATACTTATTTACCTGTTGTACACTCGCTGATCTCATGTAAGAAACCAAAACCAGCAACAAAGGCACGTGGATATTTTTGCCACTGAATAACTTTGGACCTGAGCAGGACCAAGAAAAAGAGAATAATCGTGAGGGGAGACAAAAGACAGATTTTGCCACGTTACTCGCGGCTCACGCATGGAACTTTAAGAAGCTAGAAAACATCGCCTACGTCAGAGGCGGGGAACCCGCGGCCCGCCAGCGACAGATGCGAACTGACTAGATCTCCCATCAGCGCTAGCTCCGCGCGGCCCATGTCCGTGGATGATCGGATTTGTAGTCCAGCGCTATCTGGAAGGCCACGGGCTCTCCACCGCCCCTATGGCTGAACGTCAGCATATATACAAAACTTGGGATGGAAGCGCCGAACTTTTACCGCATGGTAGCGAGGCCAAGGAGAGGAGATCTTGCAGGATTTGGACGAGGGTCTCGATCTGCTTGCCCTCCTGGACGTTCTTCAGCCGGACGATCAGTTTCTTGAGGGCGGCTTCTTTCTTTTCTTCGTCGTCCCCGTCCTGGCAGCAGCTCTTGGTCCTGCTGCTGGCCATGACTCTCGGGCCACGAACTCCTTCGTCCCAGATGGCTGCTTCTGAGGCCGCGACACTTCATCCCCGCCGGACGGGTGGGAATTTCCTCTCTTGGCCAACAGCGAGTGCCTGTCTCGCTTCTTGCCCCATCAGCCTTACTTGAGCCTGGGTAAACACAGGCGGCGCGCTTTCACCGGAGGAGGAGGAGGCTTCGAAATAGTTTACAGCCCCTTTCACTGTCTCCTCCCCTCCTTCCTTCCCCTCACAGTGCCAAAATTTGGGTGGAAGAGGAGGGGGGTGCCCATAGATGGCGCTGACACTGCCGCTACAGGACGCCGGGAGCAAGAGAAGCAGCCGCAGAAGGGCCGGGAAGGCCGCCCAACGGCTCGACAGCTGCCCTCCCCAAGCCTCAGGATCGCACCTAGGAGAGCTGCCCCCGCCGCCCGTCCCGGTTCCTCTGAAGCCACGCTTCCAAAGAGGAAGCGCCCCACTTAGAGCCAGCTGGCGGCTGAGAAGCGCGCGAAAGTAGCGAGGGAGGCTGTGCCTTGCTCAAGAAGGGACGTGACCGCTGCGAGCGAGCAAGCAAGCAAATTGGGACTTGGTCGGCTCAGGCTTTCCTTTCCGTGGTCACGAGTGTAGAGGCGGAAGGGAAAGGGCGTAAGCCCGGATCCTTCTCGCTTCGGATTCATCGGAGCAGCTGCTGACTGTCAGGAAAGGCGAACGAATCCCTGAGGGTAGGCTGCGAGGTCTGCTCTGCATACAACTCCCGTTAGCCCCACTCAGCATAGCCAGTGGGTTAAAAACCTACTGGGTCCAAAACCTTTGGAGGATCCCACCAGGTTGCACTGCTAACGGACCCCCACCCCAAGTATCCCTGATCAGAAAGGACATCTGAGATCAAATATTTTACTTATTTATTATATTTGTACCCTGTCCCTTTTCCTGCAGGGAACCCAGGGCAGTTAATCTTCCTGCTCCTCTCCATTTTATCTTCACAAGAACCCTGTGAGGTAGTTCAGGCTGACAGTGAGTGACTGGTCCAAAGTCACCCAGTGAACTTCATGGCCAAGTGAAGAACTGAACCCAGCTCTCCCAGTGACCAGACCAACATTTCAACCACTATACCACACTGGCTCTCAGTATGAAAATACTGAAAAATTGGTGATAGGAAACCATTTTAACCCACCAGGTCACTCTTCTACTGGTTTTAGGTAGGCCATTCTTGAAGAAAAGTAATTCAAAAGGAAGTTCCACCATGAACTCCTGGATTACAAGTTCAGTTCTGTCATTTAGTTCAAAAGGGACAGTGATTTCCTGGCCCAGGACAGATGCTAATTTAGTCAGCAGAAATAAGGTGCCAAGACTTTTTATTGGTTAAAAACTATATCCCTGCCTTCCTTGAACCCCCACTTTTAAAAAGGTCACTCCTTGTCTCTAATGTGCCAAATATCCTTCAATGCTAAAGACTGTTGCGGCATCCATCAAGTGAACAGTGAAGATGGTTGTAAGCTTCTGTCTCATGGCTGGTTGCCAGAACTGAGCAGCTGTGATTCCAGTAATACCAGCTCTTTATTATTGACATAAAGGGTGAAATGGGATTCCTACATGCAAACCCTTCCCAATAGATGTAATAAATATGTATTTTATATTTTGATATCTATATCAGAGTACAAACTGTTAGATGAAATATCATTTGTTAGTCAATAAGCATTTGTATCTAAAGTGAGATGCTTATATAACTCCTTTTCATTTTTAATGTGTACATTGCACAAGGATTCTCTTCCCAGAAGCTGCAAAAAGTAGATTTAGTCTTAGGTGGACAGTGTATATCCATTTCATGATTTCTTTTTACTACTCGTTGTAAGATTAGTATCTTCAATAGGAACAAACCATTCACATCCAGCCATGGCAGGAGTTCTCTGTTAACTAGTTACCAGTCCATCCTTCATTGTCTATTTCTCCTCCATGTGCACATATGCAGACCTCTCTCTAAATTAATAGCAGCTATCAAGGAGTGCCATCTAATAATACTGTCTTTTTTGCCTAAACACAGGTATGGCCATTTGGTCTCCCTCCAAATGTTTGGACCTACAGCTCTCACAGTCCCTCATAGGTATGCTGGCTAGGGTTGATAGGAGCTGTAGGTAAAAACATTTGGAGCGCCAGAAGCTGCCCACTTCTGCCATAACATATTCAAGATGGCTGAGGCCACAAGCCTATACATACTTTCTTGGGAGTAAGCCCCACTGAATACATAGGGGTCTTCCCATTCATCATACATAGCAGTGGCTGCAGTGACACTGTGGAACAACTTGCCCATGAAGCTCAAGGTGGGCCTGTTTCAGGCTATCGTTGAGAAGCTTATGTGAACTAAGGTAAATAGTATTGGTTTGCATCTTAAAAGTCCTAGTCTTTAAGGTGCAACAAGACTCTACTGTTTTTGTGGTACCCGGTTTAACATGGCTATTCCTCTGGAAATTATTGTAAGCCCCCTAAGTAAGGCACTAGAAGGCACAATAGAATTGTCTATATAAACATAAATATGTACATATATCAAGTAATCATAAACACAAAGACAGTAGGCAAGATAAAACCTTGTTGTTGCATAGAAGTAATACCAATAGAATGTAGCAGTTAAATAATGCCAGCAGCCAATAAGCCTGAGCAGACAGACAGCATAATATAAAAAAGCATACAATAAAATATATTTCACACACATTCCCCCCCACCCCCAATGTTCAAATAAGCAGAAGAAACGTTGGCACCTAAAAGGTAACTCAAGAAGGCACCAGTAAGTCACATTTCAGAAGGAATACACAATCGAAATCACAGAGCACAATCACAGAAAAGGTCATCCCTCTGGTAGCCATCTGTCTAACATTTGCAGTTGAGGGGACCCTGAAAAAGTTTCCAATTTCTGGTTCACAGAGGAACATTGAGCCCCTCAGGTGTTCCAGTCTTGGATCATTTAGGGTAGGGAAATTTTAGCCCTTCAGATGTTGCTGGACCACTACTCCCATCAGTTCCAGTCAGGATGCCAGTAACCTGGGATGACAGGAGTTGCATTCCACCTGATTTACAAACATGTACATCCCATTGTGTTCAGTGGGGCTTATAACCAAGCAAGCATGCAGACGTTTGCAGTTTAAAGGTCACACGTAGTCTGTTGAATGCATGCTGACCCCAACCAAACTTAGCATAACCCGGGATCTGTATTCTCTACTAACCAAACTTTCAAAGACTTTTCAAAGGCAGTCCCATTATAATGAGGAGAGTTTACCAACCAGTGTGGCCAAGAAGCTAGAATTATGTACAGCGTATATCTGAACTGTTAAAAGGCCTAGGAGGATAGTGTACAGCATTTAACTGTTAAGCTATAATTCCAGATAAGTATAAGGGGAGAACTTCAGTACCATTGCTGGATCAGCTACATAATGTTTTTGTTGTCTCCTTTACTGAATCCACTCATTGTCTAGTAAAACTGAGTTCTAATCATTTACTTTGCTTAATTATATGCAATTAAGTCTGACTGGAAAAACAGAAGACTGGGACAGTTCTGTATGTGTGTGCTGAGGGGAGAAATACATGGTCATTCCTGAATCCAAGACATTAGTTCTTTTAGGTACCAGGTTAACTCATACACTTAAGTCAAGTTGCCACATGGTGGGCTTGGAGAGCAACAGAACAACCTGTGCAACTCTTCAAGGACTTGTAAGACTATACTAGTTAGAAAAGAGAGATTTCTGTTAGCCTGGCAGCAGCGTACCAAAATGATCTGAGCTCTGTTCAATAGGCTTCACATGTTCTGTAAAATGTATTATCACTTAAATGTAATATGTAATCTGATAATATGTGTCTTAGATTTATAAGAAGCCAGGCTCATCTAAGTATTAGTATGATTTACAGTATATGAGAGACAACTCTGTTGTAGTCTGTGTAAAAGAATGTAATCATTTTCTGGATGCATCTTAAGTACATCAAAAAGGAACTCAATAGCAATCGCCAGAGAGACTTCTCAGGGGGAAGCAGAACTATTCAATAAGTCCCAAGTTCTGCTGTTTCAGGTGAGGGGGCAGGGAAGGAAAGTGTGTAAACCAGTGATCCAGAGTAGCCATCTTGGATTCTGTTGTACACCAGAGCACTACATTATTCCTCTAGGAAAACACTGTAGGGCTATGAATAAATTTTCCGAATAGCCACAGTTAAACATTATGCCTGAACAAGGAATTCCAATTTTTACAGGGAGCAGGGTGCCCTCAATATCCCTCCCTGCATCAACTTTGCAACCTCTGTAACATGATCAGTGGAACAGAAGTTAAGGAGAACAGACTTTCTAGAGTGGGGAATGGCTCCATGCTGCATGTGCGATATTTAGATAACACTGCATGCTTAGCGGCATTGGGGAAGAAGTGGATTATGGACACCAGTGACTGATCTGCCCACAGGGACTAACCACACTTTCTTACTCCCACATCCAGTGAATCTTACCTTGGAAGTAAGAGCACTCTCTCTTCCCCAATCCTCCTTAAGGAAGGGTGTGTATGGTCACCTCCCCTCCAGTCATGCAGATTTCAACAGACTCTAAACTGTACCTGCATGAACTAACTCACACGCAAGACTACCAGCTGTTTTGTGAATATATTAAAACCCTCTTGTTATAACTACCCTGGATTATCTTTAATCCTAAAGAGCCTTCCAGATCCTAACAGTTCATGTGGTGAACAGCCTTGCAATTGAATACATTAGCAGTAAGCTTCTGCATATAATTCTCCTTCCCATTGCCTCATGGGGGCTTTTATCCTGACAGTGGTTCTGGTAGACCTAGATGATTACTTGACAGATAAAATTAAACTATTCAATGGCACAGATTTTTCACTAGAGAGGAATCAGAAGGAAAAGGTATTGATTCATAGGTTGCTGCCTTGCATATACTGGCTACAGCTTGCAGTTTTGGAGGCTTAACAGATTCTTTGATTAGAGGCAGGATATCCTGTAGCTCTGTGATCTCATTTTTGACCAATGTTAGGATACAGGATATGCAGCAAAACCTCATGAGAAAGAGTGAAACCCCTGGGAGGGGCTGCACTCCCTGAAATACATGTAGTGCACAACAGCTGAAGAAAGCAGTAACCCAGCCTTCCAGTCCCAGTGTAGATATAATTACCCATGGGAGATAGCATGAGAAAATAATGAAGAAGTATTTGGTACTAAGGCAGTGCTGCTGAGAACATGACAAAATGAATCATTTCAGCAATATGGAAAAGGAACCCCACTGCAGACACTTGTTTAGGAAGTGCATAGTACATCAGACATAATGGCTGTTTCCTTTGGTCTGCAAGAAAGTTGGGGTGGGATGCTGTAGGGTCAGAAAGGAAAAGAACCATTAAACAAACTGAAATTGTTGCATACCCAACACCCCGTGAGCTTTCAGATAGATAGTGGAGCCCCCTGCAATGTGACTGCACTAACTGAATATGATTCCAGCACAC